TTACTGTAGAGCCCCACTAGACCAGATGTTGCCAAACTTACTGATAAATAACAGCACTGTGTTACACGAGCAGATTCATTGATCAATTTATTGGAATGTAAACACAAATATTCAATGGCCACAACTTCACTTACCACAACAATAGAACAATGGCCAGGTGACTACTGCTACAAACAACTGAAAACCACAACAATCTAGGACATTCTCCATTATGCCAACAACAGTAGGACATTCTCCCTTATGCCAACAACAGTAGGACATTCTTCCTTATGCCAACAACTGTAGGACTTATTAGGTCTGCCCTACTAGTTCAAGGTATTGTTGTTTCCCCTTGAATTTATCAGCAAGTCAGTTGTAAGTTTATAAACACATAAATCTTACACTACAAAATTCTTGACGTCAGCACTAGTCACTAGTCACTTCATGACTTCAACAAGGACTTTCTATCGGTGTAAACTAATACAGTTGGCTGGTGCGTGTTTTTACAAATGCGAGCATGCAACTTTCTCGCTCATTTCTTTCTTCAATAAACCTGTCGTATCATTACTTCATGTAAACAATCTGAAGCGAGGGTCAAAACTTGACGGCTACTTCTGTCCACACAAGGATCGTAACTATCAGAGGTTTTATATGTGAGTAATTCATAGTAGGTCTATCAACGTGTGCAGACAATTTTAACTGATTTCACAGACTTTTTAGTTTCAGGAGTGTCTGAGTGAGACCTAAATCTCGAGTATGTTGTGTTATATGAAGGCCGATGTTGGCTACCCATTGTGTTGTGTTATATGAAGGCCGATGTTGGCTACCCATTATGTTATATGAAGGCCGATGTTGGCTACCCATTGTGTTGTGTTATATGAAGGCCGATGTTGGCTACCCATTGTGTTGTGTTATATAAGGGCCGATGTTGGCTACCCATTGTGTTATATGAAGGCCGATGTTGGCTACCCATTGTGTATGTTATATGAGGGCCGATGTTGGCTACCCATTGTGTTATATGAAGGCCGATGTTGGCTACCCATTGTGTATGTTATATGAAGGCCGATGTTGGCTACCCATTGTGTTGTGTTATATGAGGGCCGATGTTGGCTACCCATTGTGTTGTGTTATATGAAGGCCGATGTTGGCTACCCATTATGTTATAGGAAGGCCGTTGTTGGCTACCCATTGTGTTGTGTTATATGAAGGCCGATGTTGGCTACCCATTATGTTATATGAAGGCCGATGTTGGCTACCCATTGTGTTGTGTTATATGAAGGCCGATGTTGGCTACCCATTGTGTTGTGTTATATAATGGCCGATGTTGGCTACCCATTGTGTTATATGAAGGCCGATGTTGGCTACCCATTGTGTATGTTATATGAGGGCCGATGTTGGCTACCCATTGTGTTATATGAAGGCCGATGTTGGCTACCCATTGTGTTGTGTTATATGAAGGCCGATGTTGGCTACCCATTGTGTTATATGAAGGCCGATGTTGGCTACCCATTGTGTTGTGTTATATGAAGGCCGATGTTGGCTACCCATTATGTTATATGAAGGCCGATGTTGGCTACCCATTGTGTTGTGTTATATGAAGGCCGATGTTGGCTACCCATTATGTTATATGAAGGCCGATGTTGGCTACCCATTGTGTTGTGTTATATGAAGGCCGATGTTGGCTACCCATTGTGTTGTGTTATATAAGGGCCGATGTTGGCTACCCATTGTGTTATATGAAGGCCGATGTTGGCTACCCATTGTGTATGTTATATGAGGGCCGATGTTGGCTACCCATTGTGTTATATGAAGGCCGATGTTGGCTACCCATTGTGTATGTTATATGAAGGCCGATGTTGGCTACCCATTGTGTTGTGTTATATGAAGGCCGATGTTGGCTACCCATTGTGTTGTGTTATATGAAGGCCGATGTTGGCTACCCATTGTGTCATGTTATATGGACATTAATTTAACTTCGTCAACTCTGTTCAACTTCTATACTGGAGCTAAAAAAAAACAAACATTTTGAAGTAAATTTTGCATCACAATGACAAAAATCACGCCTTGTTAAGTCAGCTGATCTATTTTATTTGTTTACAAGTATTGATTCCATTCCAACTTTATGGTGTAATTGTACCGCTGGTTTATCTGGCAATATTGTACGTTATGGGCCGTGTGTATGGGCGGAGTGCCAAGTTGACTTTTTGCTCTTGACAAATGTTTTATTTCATCTCTTCTGCAATCTTGAACCTCTCCAAGTCTCAAGGTTTTCTAGACAGAAAAAAATTTGTTTCAGATCAGTACAGTTATCTGTGTCATAGTTAGGTTTATGGCGAGAGTCAAGGTTAGGTTTATGGCGAGAGTCAAGGTTAGGTTTATGGCGAGAGTCATGGTTAGGTTTATGGCGAGAGTCAAGGTTAGGTTTATGGCGAGAGTCATGGTTAGGTTTATGGCGAGAGTCAAGGTTAGGTTTATGACGAGAGTCAAGGTTAGGTTTATGGCGAGAGTCATGGTTAGGTTTATGGCGAGAGTCAAGGTTAGGTTTATGGCGAGAGTCAAGGTTAGGTTTATGACGAGAGTCAAGGTTAGGTTTATGGCGAGAGTCATGGTTAGGTTTATGGCGAGAGTCAAGGTTAGGTTTATGGCGAGAGTCATGGTTAGGTTTATGGCGAGAGTCAAGGTTAGGTTTATGACGAGAGTCAAGGTTAGGTTTATGACGAGAGTCAAGGTTAGGTTTATGACGAGAGTCAAGGTTAGGTTTATGGCGAGGGTCAAGGTTAGGTTTATGACGAGAGTAAAGGTTAGGTTTATGGCGAGAGTCAAGGTTAGGTTTATGTCAAGGTTAGGCTCGGCCTTGGGTCTTGGGTCAGGCAGTAGCTTCAAAAGGAAAGATTGGGGGGGGGGGGGAAGCTGTTCGCACCGTATGACACCATTTTGGGGGTTACACCAAGACTAAAAATCATTTAACCGTAATGTCAAAAAAAGTTTTATCAGATAACAGAATAAAATAATAGGGGGAGGGTGACACCAAACCAAACGGGGCAAAATAGTTGGAGGGGGGGGGGGGTGACTGAAGCAAGAATTTGGGGCACAATTGGGCAGAATTGCTTGGCTAGAGTTTGGGGCATGACTTAGTTATGCCATTTATGTTTACATTTTCTGTAATAAAAAATATAATCAACAAAATTATTTTTGGCCTTTTTATTAAAAAAAAATTGGTTTGTTAACGAAAATAGTAAAACATCAATTACACCCAATCTTTGGTAAAGTACAACAAAAACTGTCAGATAATTTATAACCATATTTATTTAATTTCCAGACCAGAGTTTCTTCCAGGCATCTCTTCGGGGCCCCCCCGAAAAATTTTTACCGCCCCCCCGAACGAAATGAAATTTATATAATTTATATAGAAAATATATACTTTTAACAGTGTCCGCCCCCCCGAAGAAAGTTTACCGCCCCCCCGAAGATTTCAAGTGCCCCCCCCGGAGAAAAAAGTCTGAAAGAAACACTGTTCCAGACTAGTCCCGGTTGGGTCCATTTGAACATACATTAGTTCGGTTGGCAAAACAAAATCCACAGAGTAGCTATAAAAATGTTATTTCAATTTTCCACTTGTGAACAATATTTTTTTGACCTGAAATACTACATACACATACATTTTAAAAAAACCATTCACAAATAAACGTGGACGGTTTATTTGATTTTTCAACAACGTTTTAAACCGATAATGAAACCTCCCTCTGCCCCACCCTCCACTCCAAAAAATAGGACAAGCAGGCCAATGACGTAGATGTTAAGGGTCAGTGACCTCCCGTTAATCTTCTTACACGACAGTCCGTGTTGTGTTTGTGTGCTGCTTCCCAGTGAAAGCTGTTCCCATCTACCCTCCCCCCCGTGAGATCTGTCCACATCTAACGTGAGATTTGTCCCCCTTCACCCCCCCCCACCTCCCAGTGAGATCTGTCCCCATTGCCCCCCACCTCCCAGTGGGATCTGTCCCCATTGACCCCCCTCACCTCCCAGTAAGATCTGTCCCCATTTGACCCCCCACCCCGTGATGGCTGTCCCCGTTGACCCCCCACCTCCCAGTGAGATCTGTCCCCATTGACCCCCCCCCATCCTTGTGAGATCTGTCCCCATTTGACCCCCCCCCACCCCGTGATGTATGTCCCCATTGACCCCCCCACCCCCCACCTCCCAGTGAGATCTGTCCCCATTGACCCCCCCCCTCACCCACATCCCTGTGAGATCTGTCCCCATTGACCCCCCTCACCCACATCCCTGTGAAATCTGTCCCCATTTGACCCCCACCTCCCAGTGAGATCTGTCCCCATTGACCCCCCCCCCCCCACCTCCCAGTGAGATCTGTCCCCATTTGACCCCCCTCACCCACATCCCTGTGAAATCTGTCCCCATTTGACCCCCACCTCCCAGTGAGATCTGTCCCCATTGACCCCCCCCCCCCACCTCCCAGTGAGATCTGTCCCCATTTGACCCCCCCCCCGTGATGTCTGTCCCCATTGACCCCCCACCTCCCAGTGAGATCTGTCCCCATTTGACCCCCACCTCCCAGTGAGATCTGTCCCCATTGACCCCCCCCCCACCTCCCAGTGAGATCTGTCCCCATTGACCCCCCTCACCCACATCCCTGTGAAATCTGTCCCCATTTGACCCCCACCTCCCAGTGAGATCTGTCCCCATTGACCCCCCCCCCCACCTCCCAGTGAGATCTGTCCCCATTTGACCCCCCCCCGTGATGTCTGTCCCCATTGACCCCCCACCTCCCAGTGAGATCTGTCCCCATTTGACCCCCCCCCCACCCCCACCCCGTGATGTCTGTCCCACATCTATCTTTACCTGTATGTATCCGTCAAGTTGTCTCCGCCAACAGCTTTTACATGCGCAGACAAAGATGTTTGATGTCAACACACGTCGGCCCACCTTCAGCGGTCGCTAAGTTCTATTGTGGCCACCTTCAGCAGTGGCTAAGTTCTATTGTGGCCACATTCCTTGGTCGTGTGGTGTATGTCACAGCTTAGCCTAGATGGAGCTTGGTAAACTGATATAAAGATATCAGTCGAGCTGTTATATAAAAATAGTCACATCTTTATCATGTCTTAAAATAGACCGGATATTTTTACCACACGCAAACATATTTAATTAGATTTTAACAATACGTCGCCGAATATTTTCTGATATAGTCGCATGATATAGTCTTGAACCTCTGCCACTAGACCACACCACTAGACCACACCACTAGAACACACCACTAGACCACACCACTAGACCACACCACTAGACCACACCACTAGAACACACCACTAGACCACACCACTAGAACACACCACTAGACCACACCACTAGACCACACCACTAGACCACACCACTAGACCACACCACTAGACCACACCACTAGAACACACCACTAGACCACACCACTAGACCACACCACTAGACCACACCACTAGAACACACCACTAGACCACACCACTAGACCACACCACTAGAACACACCACTAGACCACACCACTAGACCACACCACTAGACCACACCAGTGAACACAATGCCCATCAATTCTTACATCCGCTTGTCATCACTCAATTTTTTTTTACTCTTGCAGGTTGCTGACAAACAAAATGGCCGCCACAAACAAAATGGCCGCCACAAACAAAATGGCCGCCACAACCAACCAACTGAGCCTGGTCAACTTTAAGCTCCAACTACTGGCAGATGAGCTGCGCCTGGTTCAAACCTCAGTCGAGCGATACTGTAATGATGTAAGCATTTTGTTTTCGATACTGTAATGATGTAAGCATTTTGTTTTCGATACTGTAATGACGTAAGCATTTTGTTTTCCATAATGTAATGACGTAAGCATTTTATTTTCGATACTTTAATGATGTAAGCATTTTGTTTTGTAACACTCGTAGAACAAATCGAATGTCGGCTTGTATTACTTGAACACGGTTGACTGAAAGTATACATTTTTGTTTTAGTTTTTGTTTATATTGAAACCAGAGTGACGAAACATTTTATAAATAACAATGCAAATTCAAATCCTATGACCTAGTTTTCATTTTTTTTTCGCTTACAATGTGTACAATAAAATTTTTGGCAGCCTATCGAATAGCAGGATGCCATAGTTTATGTCGCCATTAAAAGAAAAACGAAATTGTTTTTGCTTTTTTTATATTTTATTTTTATTTAATTACCGAAAATATTAAAAACATCAAATACATCCAATCTTTTGTAATGTCCGAAAAAACAACAGGCAGACAGGATTTTATAACCATATTAATTTTTACTACGCCATGCATGATTTTAAAAATATTTAAAGGGCCTCTCGAATTCCTTTGGGAATTTTGCTGTTCACGCTACTGCGCTGATGGGCCAGTGTACGAATGCCTTGAGTATACTGTTATCACCCTCCGTTACAGTAAGGTAGAACACACCGCTCAAGTGTCACAGCGGGGTGCTCTCGTGAGCCACCGTTTCCACTACCGCAGGGGCGCCGTGTACGACCCCTGGTACAGTTTAGCCATCAAATGTAGTAGCCCACCGTCCCCTAGAGTAGAGTGCTCTTTAAACGAATATAGGAGCCATAGTGCTCAAGCAGCCCAGTAGCTCGGGCCAATCGACAGCTGGGACGCCAGGAGACTCCCCTGTTACAGTTTGACAGTTGAATCAAGTAGTACACCGGAACCCCCCCCCCCCCCCCCCCATGCAGCATGTCCAGTGAATGTACGCCATGTGCAAAGTAGCCGCTGGGAGACTCTGGGCGCCCAGTTTTACACTTCTGCTGAAGAGCTGGGGTTGTCCTCTTGACCTATTTATGGATTGGATATAGTAGCCCATGAATTTATAGTGAATGGCGTTCTTTAAAAAGAATGTAGTGCTATAGTGCTCATGGGGGAGCCTGAGATGCACCTGATGACACGAACTCCGGGGCGCCTGAGGACGCCCCTTACTAGGTTTAGTCATCGACTTTAGTAGCCCACCGAGCCCCTAGTGTTTGGTGCTATTAAAAAACCAATGTAGGCGACATAGTGTCACGGTGACCACCGTTGCGCCTAGCGCAGTTTGACAATTAAATCAAGTAGTATTACATATTCAAGCATACATACAATCTTTACAATACAGATGGTGTCTAATCTCACTGTTGTCTAGTCTCAGAGCCACACTTAATAAAACACATTGATTTAGATATTGTCTAGTCTGAGTGTTACAATTTATAAAACACGTTGATTTAGATGTTATCTAGTTTAATGTGACTCTCTCAGGTGATGGAGATCGGTACGACGTACTTAGGAGGGCGGGCTAAAACAGGGAGGACGCCCCAGGATTTTATCCCCATCTACCAAAAACATGCCGAGTTTTTACAGGAGAAAATTGCTGAGTTGGAGAAACACAGTGAGATATGTCTTCTTGGTCTCAGTCATGTCTGTGTGTTGGTCTGTCTCAGTCATGTCTGTATGTTGGTCTGTCTCAGTCATGTCTGTATGTTGGTCTGTCTCAGTCATGTCTGTATGTTGGTCTGTCTCAGTCATGTCTGTATGTTGGTCTGTCTCAGTCATGTCTGTATGTTGGTCTGTCTCAGTCATGTCTGTAAGTTGTTTCATTCATGTCTGTCAGTTGGTCTGTTGTGTCCTTCATGTCTGTCTGTTGTGTCATTCATGTCTGTCAGTTGGTCTGTTGTGTCATTCATGTCTGTCAGTTGGTCTGTTGTGTCATTCATGTCTGTCAGTTGGTCTGTTGTGTCATTCATGTCTGTCTGTTGTGTCATTCATGTCTGTCTGTTGTGTCATTCATGTCTGTGAGTTGGTCTGTTGTGTCATTCATGTCTGTCTGTTGTGTCATTCATGTCTGTCAGTTGGTCTGTTGTGTCATTCATGTCTGTCTGTTGTGTCATTCATGTCTGTCAGTTGGTCTGTTGTGTCATTCATGTCTGTCAGTTGGTCTGTTGTGTCATTCATGTCTGTCAGTTGTGTCATTCATGTCTGTCAGTTGGTCTGTTGTGTCATTCATGTCTGTCTGTTGTGTCCTTCATGTCTGTCAGTTGGTCTGTTGTGTCATTCATGTCTGTCAGTTGGTCTGTTGTGTCATTCATGTCTGTCTGTTGTGTCATTCATGTCTGTTTGTTGTGTCATTCATGTCTGTCAGTTGGTCTGTTGTGTCATTCATGTCTGTCAGTTGGTCTGTTGTGTCCTTCATGTCTGTCAGTTGGTCTGTTGTGTCATTCATGTCTGTCTGTTGTGTCATTCATGTCTGTCAGTTGGTCTGTTGTGTCATTCATGTCTGTCTGTTGTGTCATTCATGTCTGTCAGTTGGTCTGTTGTGTCATTCATGTCTGTCTGTTGTGTCATTCATGTATGTCTGTTGTGTCATTCATGTCTGTCTGTTAGTCTGTTGTGTCATTCATGTCTGTCAGTTAGTCTGTTGTGTCATTCATGTCTGTCAGTTGGTCTGTTGTGTCATTCATGTCTGTCAGTTAGTCTGTTGTGTCATTCATGTCTGTCAGTTAGTCTGTTGTGTCATTCATGTCTGTATGTTGGTCTGTTGTGTCATTCATGTCTGTCAGTTGGTCTGTTGTGTCATTCATGTCTGTCTGTTGTGTCCTTCATGTCTGTCAGTTGGTCTGTTGTGTCATTCATGTCTGTCAGTTGGTCTGTTGTGTCATTCATGTCTGTCAGTTGTGTCATTCATGTCTGTCTGTTGTGTCCTTCATGTCTGTCAGTTAGTCTGTTGTGTCATTCATGTCTGTCAGTTGGTCTGTTGTGTCATTCATGTCTGTCAGTTGGTCTGTTGTGTCATTCATGTCTGTCAGTTGTGTCATTCATGTCTGTCTGTTGTGTCCTTCATGTCTGTCAGTTGGTCTGTTGTGTCCTTCATGTCTGTCTGTTGGTCTGTTGTGTCCTTCATGTCTGTCAGTTGGTCTGTTGTGTCATTCATGTCTGTCTGTTGTGTCCTTCATGTCTGTCAGTTGGTCTGTTGTGTCATTCATGTCTGTCTGTTGTGTCCTTCATGTCTGTCAGTTGGCTGTTGTGTCATTCATGTCTGTCTGTTGGTCTGTTGTGTCATTCATGTCTGTCTGTTGTGTCATTCATGTCTGTCTGTTGTGTCATTCATGTCTGTCAGTTGGTCTGTTGTGTCATTCATGTCTGTCAGTTGGTCTGTTGTGTCATTCATGTCTGTCAGTTGGTCTGTTGTGTCCTTCATGTCTGTCAGTTGGTCTGTTGTGTCCTTCATGTCTGTCTGTTGGTCTGTTGTGTCCTTCATGTCTGTCAGTTGTCCTGTTGTGTCATTCATGTCTGTCAGTTGGTCTGTTGTGTCATTCATGTCTGTCTGTTGGTCTGTTGTGTCCTTCATGTCTGTCAGTTGGTCTGTTGTGTCCTTCATGTCTGTCTGTTGGTCTGTTGTGTCCTTCATGTCTGTCAGTTGGTCTGTTGTGTCATTCATGTCTGTCTGTTGTGTCCTTCATGTCTGTCAGTTGGTCTGTTGTGTCATTCATGTCTGTCTGTTGTGTCCTTCATGTCTGTCAGTTGGCTGTTGTGTCATTCATGTCTGTCTGTTGGTCTGTTGTGTCATTCATGTCTGTCTGTTGTGTCATTCATGTCTGTCTGTTGTGTCATTCATGTCTGTCAGTTGGTCTGTTGTGTCATTCATGTCTGTCAGTTGGTCTGTTGTGTCATTCATGTCTGTCTGTTGGTCTGTTGTGTCATTCATGTCTGTCTGTTGTGTCATTCATGTCTGTCTGTTGTGTCATTCATGTCTGTCTGTTGTGTCATTCATGTCTGTCAGTTGGTCTGTTGTGTCATTCATGTCTGTCTGTTGTGTCATTCATGTCTGTCAGTTGGTCTGTTGTGTCCTTCATGTCTGTCAGTTGGTCTGTTGTGTCCTTCATGTCTGTCAGTTGGTCTGTTGTGTCCTTCATGTCTGTCAGTTGGTCTGTTGTGTCCTTCATGTCTGTCAGTTGGTCTGTTGACCCTGTTATGAGTTAGCCGGTGCCACGTCAGCACCCAACCAATGCCAGCAGCACGAGACAAATATTTGATTGTATTCCAGCCCAGGTGCCATCACCCAAGACCAGACGACTGAAACCCTCAGAGAAACCCTCAGAGAAACCCTCAGAGAAACCCTCAGAGAAACCCTCAGAGAAACCCTCAGAGAAACCCTCAGAGAAACCCTCAGAGAAACCCTCAGAGAACCAGCTCTTTAATGTTCTCACCAGCATACACCAGCTCAAAGACGCGAAAACAACAATACAAAAGATGCTTAAAAACATCTTCACAGAGGTAAGCAGTTAAACTAATCTACACAACACAACGTGTGTCCACAACACAAATTATATTTAATGTGACAACACATTTTATTCACAACACAAATTATATTTAACAACACACATTATATTCACAACACAAATTATATTTAACAACACACAATATATTCACAACACAAATTATATTTAACAGCGGACATTTTATTCACAACACAAATTATATTTAATAGCACACATTCTTTTCACAACAGAAATTATATTTAATAGCACACATTTTTTTCACAACACAAATTATGTTCACAAAACAAATTATCGTTACAACACAGGACAGCATCTGATAAATATTATTTTTAAAATAATTTTAAATTATTTACCAGATGGCTATTTTAGGAAGCACGTTCGTGACGTCACAAGGTGTCCAGGGACCAAGCTTTAAGAAAGTCAGTCAGGCGCTAGAGGACGCTCTGCTGGTTGTCATGGAGAAACGGTCCCAGTTCTCAGGTTCTAGCATTAAGTTTTCACATACACACTTGTAGCATGACATACAAACTTACGGAGAAACGGTTCCAGTTCTCAGATTATCACATACAGCTCTCACATACACACTTGTAGCATGACATATGTCCTCCTCTTGTCCTACTTTTGTCCTGCTGTAGAACGATACTTCTCCTTGCTCTAAATAGAATTATAATGTAGAAAAAAACGGTGCTAAAGTTATTTTCATAGCACCAGCCAATAAAGAAACCAATGACGCTAAGTAATCACCATTGGCCGGCGTTACCATTAGAGGCTTTTTATTGAGAATATTATTTACCGAATAATTAGAATTTTTCAACGAATTAATTAGAATTTTCTGATTATAGGACCAGCAGACGTAGAAACGGCAGACTTGAACCAGACATTGCACAGTAAACAAAACCTTTTGTCCAGTGTATCACACAAGCCGGAACCAACTTTAAGTGAGTCAATGACACGTCAAATTCTAACAAAAATGTCACAAAAATTATTCAAATATTGCAAGGTAGGCCTATGTAGTTTGATCCAATGTTTGCCTCAGGGCTGATGGTAGAATAAACGTTTAATTCAATGTTTCCATTAGGGCTGATGTAAAAGTTTGATCCAATGTTTCCATTAGGGCTGATGTAAAAGTTTGATTCAATGTTTCCATTAGGGCTGACGTAAAAGTTTGATCCAATGTTTCCATTAGGGCTGATGTAAAAGTTTAATTCAATGTTTCCATTAGGGCTGATGTAAAAGTTTGATCCAATGTTTTCATTAGGGCTGATGGTAGAATAAAAGTTTGATCCAATGTTTCCATTAGGGCTGATGTAAAAGTTTGATTCAATGTTTCCATTAGGGCTGATGTAAAAGTTTGATTCAATGTTTCCATTAGGGCTGATGTAAAAGTTTGATTCAATATTTCCATTAGGGCTGATGTAAAAGTTTGATTCAATGTTTACATTAGGGCTGATGTAAAAGTTTGATCCAATGTTTCCATTAGGGCTGATGTAAAAGTTTGATCCAATGTTTCCATTAGGGCTGATGTAAAAGTTTGATCCAATGTTTTCATTAGGGCTGATGGTAGAATAAAAGTTTGATCCAATGTTTCCATTAGGGCTGATGTAAAAGTTTGATTCAATGTTTCCATTAGGGCTGATGTAAAAGTTTGATTCAATGTTTCCATTAGGGCTGATGTAAAAGTTTGATTCAATGTTTCCATTAGGGCTGATGTAAAAGTTTGATCCAATGTTTCCATTAGGGCTGATGGTAGAATAAAAGTTTGATCCAATGTTTCCATTAGGGCTGATGTAAAAGTTTGATTCAATGTTTCCATTAGGGCTGATGGTAGAATAAAAGTTCGATCCAATGTTTCCATTAGGGCTGATGTAAAAGTTTGATTCAATGTTTCCATTAGGGCTGATGTAAAAGTTTGATCCAATGTTTCCATTAGGGCTGATGTAAAAGTTTGATTCAATGTTTCCATTAGGGCTGATGTAAAAGTTTGATCCAATGTTTCCATTAGGGCTGATGTAAAAGTTTGATTCAATGTTTCCATTAGGGCTGATGGTAGAATAAAAGTTTGATTCAATGTTTCCATTAGGGCTGATGTAAAAGTTTGATCCAATGTTTCCATTAGGGCTGATGTAAAAGTTTAATTCAATGTTTCCATTAGGGCTGATGTAAAAGTTTGATCCAATGTTTCCATTAGGGCTGATGGTAGAATAAAAGTTTGATTCAACGTTTCCATTAGGGCTGATGTAAAAGTTTTATCCATTGTTTCCATTAGGGCTGATGGTAGAATAAAAGTTTGATTCAATGTTTCCATTAGGGCTGATGTAAAAGTTTAATTCAATTTTTCCATTAGGGCTGATGTAAAAGTTTGATCCAATGTTTCCATTAGGGCTGATGGTAGAATAAAAGTTTGATCCAATGTTTCCATTAGGGCTGATGTAAAAGTTTAATTCAATGTTTCCATTAGGGCTGATGTAAAAGTTTGATCCAATGTTTCCATTAGGGCTGATGGTAGAATAAAAGTTTGATCCAATGTTTCCATTAGGGCTGATGTAAAAGTTTGATTCAATGTTTCCATTAGGGCTGATGTAAAAGTTTAATTCAATTTTTCCATTAGGGCTGATGTAAAAGTTTGATTCAATGTTTTCATTAGGGCTGATGGTAGAATAAAAGTTTGATTCAATGTTTCCATTAGGGCTGATGTAAAAGTTTGATCCAATGTTTCCATTAGGGCTGATGTAAAAGTTTGATCCAATTTTTCCATTAGGGCTGATGTAAAAGTTTAATTCAATGTTTCCATTAGGGCTGATGTAAAAGTTTGATCCAATGTTTCCATTAGGGCTGATGTAAAAGTTTGATTCAATGTTTCCATTAGGGCTGATGTAAAAGTTTGATCCAATGTTTTCATTAGGGCTGATGTAAAAGTTTGATCCAATGTTTCCATTAGGGCTGATGTAAAAGTTTGATTTAATGTTTCCATTAGGGCTGATGTAAAAGTTTGATTCAATGTTTCCATTAGGGCTGATGTAAAAGTTTGATTCAATGTTTCCATTAGGGCTGATGGTAGAATAAAAGTTTGATCCAATGTTTCCATTAGGGCTGATGTAAAAGTTTGATCCAATGTTTCCATTAGGGCTGATGGTAGAATAAAAGTTTGATCAAATGTTTCCATTAGGGCTGATGTAAAAGTTTAATTCAATGTTTCCATTAGGGCTGATGTAAAAGTTTAATTCAATGTTTCCATTAGGGCTGATGTAAAAGTTTGATCCAATGTTTCCATTAGGGCTGATGGTAGAATAAAAGTTTGATCAAATGTTTCCATTAGGGCTGATGTAAAAGTTTAATTCAATGTTTCCATTAGGGCTGATGTAAAAGTTTAATTCAATGTTTCCATTAGGGCTGATGTAAAAGTTTGATTCAATGTTTCCATTAGGGCTGATGTAAAAGTTTGATTCAATGTTTCCATTAGGGCTGATGTAAAAGTTTGATTCAATGTTTCCATTAGGGCTGATGGTAGAATAAAAGTTCGATCCAATGTTTCCATTAGGGCTGATGTAAAAGTTTGATTCAATGTTTCCATTAGGGCTGATGTAAAAGTTTGATCCAATGTTTCCATTAGGGCTGATGTAAAAGTTTGATTCAATGTTTCCATTAGGGCTGATGTAAAAGTTTGATCCAATGTTTCCATTAGGGCTGATGTAAAAGTTTGATTCAATGTTTCCATTAGGGCTGATGGTAGAATAAAAGTTTGATTCAATGTTTCCATTAGGGCTGATGTAAAAGTTTGATCCAATGTTTCCATTAGGGCTGATGTAAAAGTTTAATTCAATGTTTCCATTAGGGCTGATGTAAAAGTTTGATCCAATGTTTCCATTAGGGCTGATGGTAGAATAAAAGTTTGATTCAACGTTTCCATTAGGGCTGATGTAAAAGTTTTATCCATTGTTTCCATTAGGGCTGATGGTAGAATAAAAGTTTGATTCAATGTTTCCATTAGGGCTGATGTAAAAGTTTAATTCAATTTTTCCATTAGGGCTGATGTAAAAGTTTGATCCAATGTTTCCATTAGGGCTGATGGTAGAATAAAAGTTTGATCCAATGTTTCCATTAGGGCTGATGTAAAAGTTTAATTCAATGTTTCCATTAGGGCTGATGTAAAAGTTTGATCCAATGTTTCCATTAGGGCTGATGGTAGAATAAAAGTTTGATCCAATGTTTCCATTAGGGCTGATGTAAAAGTTTGATTCAATGTTTCCATTAGGGCTGATGTAAAAGTTTAATTCAATTTTTCCATTAGGGCTGATGTAAAAGTTTGATTCAATGTTTTCATTAGGGCTGATGGTAGAATAAAAGTTTGATTCAATGTTTCCATTAGGGCTGATGTAAAAGTTTGATCCAATGTTTCCATTAGGGCTGATGTAAAAGTTTGATCCAATTTTTCCATTAGGGCTGATGTAAAAGTTTAATTCAATGTTTCCATTAGGGCTGATGTAAAAGTTTGATCCAATGTTTCCATTAGGGCTGATGTAAAAGTTTGATTCAATGTTTCCATTAGGGCTGATGTAAAAGTTTGATCCAATGTTTTCATTAGGGCTGATGTAAAAGTTTGATCCAATGTTTCCATTAGGGCTGATGTAAAAGTTTGATTTAATGTTTCCATTAGGGCTGATGTAAAAGTTTGATTCAATGTTTCCATTAGGGCTGATGTAAAAGTTTGATTCAATGTTTCCATTAGGGCTGATGGTAGAATAAAAGTTTGATCCAATGTTTCCATTAGGGCTGATGTAAAAGTTTGATCCAATGTTTCCATTAGGGCTGATGGTAGAATAAAAGTTTGATCAAATGTTTCCATTAGGGCTGATGTAAAAGTTTAATTCAATGTTTCCATTAGGGCTGATGTAAAAGTTTAATTCAATGTTTCCATTAGGGCTGATGTAAAAGTTTGATCCAATGTTTCCATTAGGGCTGATGGTAGAATAAAAGTTTGATCAAATGTTTCCATTAGGGCTGATGTAAAAGTTTAATTCAATGTTTCCATTAGGGCTGATGTAAAAGTTTAATTCAATGTTTCCATTAGGGCTGATGTAAAAGTTTGATTCAATGTTTCCATTAGGGCTGATGTAAAAGTTTGATCAAACGTTTCCATTAGGGCTGATGTAAAAGTTTGATCCAATGTTTCCATTAGGGCTGATGTAAAAGTTTGATCAAATGTTTCCATTAGGGCTGATGGTAGAAAGAATTGATAAGCTGGAACAAAGCGCTAGAGAAAACAGTTCCAGCATAGACTACCTGACGTCAGCACTAGGCCAAGTCATCTCAGACGTTGACGTGTTACAGCTGACGTCATCTGACCTTGACGAGCTGACCAACAAGGTGCAGGAGGTGAAGGACGAGGTCAACAACCTTGAAGACAAAGTGCGGGCGATGGAGAGCGCGTACGACGAAGAGATGCAGACCGTGACCGACAACATCCAGATCATCGCCACAGAAGTGGAGGAGCTGTCTCTCAGGTTCGAATCCTTCCTCCGTGCCTTCTCCGCCAGCAAGTCTGAGAACATGAGAATGCTGAGCCAGTTTGACCGCAGGATGAGCGACGTGGAGACCAAAGGACTGCTAGCCCGTATAAACATTTCGTCCGGCGGGGATAAACTAGCGGCTCACGACAACACGGACAACGGAAGCGACTCGGAAGTGTTTAGAGAGGACGAAATCAAAGATGGCGGAGGGACGGAAGCGGAAGTCAAAAAGACTTCACCAGCCGGAGAAGTAGTCAAATCCCCCTCACATTCGACGGACCTGATGTTGAAGATGATGAAAGACGAAGAACGAGTCAAGAAAGAAATGATTAGAATACGAAGCATCGAGGATAGTTTGTTGACTAGAGTGAAGGAAGAGGCAAGAAAAGATGTACTGGCTCTAGAGGCTATAGTCAAAAACATGGAGGTTCGGGTAAGTCGATTCACTTCTCTACTGGCTGTAGATTCATTTCTATCTACGAGCTGTAAATTTACTTCTGTTCACATATACCCCCTCCCTACCACACAACAAAACAGTTGTTAAAAATTAGGGGAATCACTCAATATATTTAAGAAAATAGGTCAATTCGCCTTCATTGCAACAAAGGCGAGCATATATATATATATATATATATATATATATATATATATATATATATATATATATATATATATATATATATATATATATATATATATATATATATAATGTTTAAAAAAATCATGTTATCCTCCTGTTATAATATTTATCCCGCTTTGTAAGCACCACAACTTTAGTTTTTTTTAAATCAACTTGCCCACTTCATATAAAAAAATATATGAAATGATAAATCACTAGCCCAACCTCCTTCACATTGTGTGCACTATCCCTACATCTGTGTTCATCCTTTTGACATCCGTGCCTACCTGTCATGTCTGATGACATCTCTGTCTCATCTTTTGACAGCTTCAGCGATGTGAATCGGAGAAAAACTAATGTATGTGGAGACAAACTGGATAAGGTTAGAGACATTGATTATCTGCCCATTACTAAAACTTTACTACCACGTTTTAACACACGAATCAGCCAAACCAAAAACCACCATCACAAGCTCTAACACATGAATCAACCAAACCTAAAACCACCATCACAAGCTCTAACACATGAATCAGCCAAACCAAAAACCACCATCACAAGCTCTAACACATGAATCAGCCAAACCTAAAACCACCATCACAAGCTCTAACACATGAATCAACCAAACCTAAAACCACCATCACAAGCTCTAACACATGAATCAGCCAAACCTAAAAACCACCATCACAAGCTCTAACACATGAATCAACCAAACCTAAAACCACCATCACAAGCTCTAACACATGAATCAACCAAACCAAAAACCATTATCACAAGCTCTAACACATGAATCAACCAAACCTAAAACCACCATCACAAGCTCTAACACATGAATCAGCCAAACCTAAAAACCACCATCACAAGCTCTAACACATGAATCAACCAAACCAAAAACCATTATCACAAGCTCTAACACATGAATCAACCAAACCTAAAACCACCATCACAAGCTCGAACACATGAATCAGCCAAACCTAAAAACCACCATCACAAGCTCTAACACATGAATCAACCAAACCTAAAACCACCATCACAAGCTCTAACACATGAATCAACCAAACCAAAAGCCACCATCACAAGCTCTAACACATGAATCAGCCAAACCTAAAACCACCATCACAAGCTCTAACACATGAATCAACCAAACCTAAAACCACCATCACAAGCTCTAACCCACACATTGATACCTAGGATTTAAGCCATAAACTCTCACCCATAGAAGAAACCTGACTGTATAACACGTTGCTGTTGGTGGTGGGCGTGGCGGTGGTGTCACTGTTGTTACTGTCATTGGTGTCTAAAACATATTTGTGATTGTTTCATGACTATTGTTACTGTTATAGAATGTTATATTCTAACCAACAAAATATCATTGTCTTTTAGAACAGGAAAAGAACCAAACTTAACGAATCGACGGAAATTTAAAAAAAACAGAGTACATACAAATAGAACGTAACAGATCAGAGTGTAGCAGCACGGAGCAGAACAAAGCAGAATATTTAAGCATAACGTCTGCATACAATACAAACGGTCTTCATTCTGGCGCTAAAATCCTAATATATAAAAGCCAATGTGCGCACTTCTCCCTCTGTCCATCGCATATTTTCCGAGGCTATGAAATCAGTATCTTCAGCAATATATGGAGAATTTAAAGAAACGAACTTATTTTTGAAAATAATATGTTGGATGTATCAAATGTATAAACTAAATTTTTATTTAAGTTAAAGATGGAAATAAAAATAAAGGCATATTCGAATGTAGAAACATTTTTAATTATACCACCTGAGAAGTGTTTGTGATTTTGTCTGTATTTGTGGTTTTGTTTATGTTTGTGACAAGAACGATCTAGACAAAATATAAGCAACTTAAAAACAAAAAGAATGGCGTCACATGAAACGAATAGGAAAATATCCTAAATGAAACATTGTTAACAAAAAGTTTCAAGTATGGAAAGTACACTAAACGAACGACTTCATTAATTGTAGAATAGACAATAGAATTATAAATAGAAAGTAAAAGGTAAAACAATACAAATGACGTAATTGATACTAGAGACACACACTTAAAGTTAAACGCCTAAAGCTTATGTAGATATAAAAAAAAATACCGCAAAAGTAATAGATATTGTTATGGTCAGGTTTAAGGTAAGGGTTATTATTAGTGCAATACTTTCGGTTAAATTTCCGGATCAGGTTAAAATGCCGGTTCGGAATAAATTTTCGTTTGCCGTCAAATTTCTTGCGTAATAAGGTTCCGATTTCAGTTAAATTTAACGATTCCTGTTAACTTTCCGTTGCCTGTTAAGTTTCGTTTCTGGATATATTTCCGTATCTGGATGTATTTCGGTTCCCGTTTTTGATTTTCGTATTCAGATGAAATATCATTTGCGGTTAAATTTCCGGATCAGGTTTGTGCCTGTTCTGAAAAAAATTGTTACGGTTAAGGTTCAGATTTCGGTTAAATTTCCGGTTCCGAATAAAGTTCCGTTTCCGGTAAAATTTTGTTTCTATTTGAAATTTTAGTTCACGGTTCAACTTCCGGAGCCAGTTAAAATGGCGGTACCGGATGGAGTTCCACCCCGGCAGCACCCGCTATTTACTGATTACTGAAACACACAAGCCGCGGCCCATTACAGTTCATTTTTTTACGTAGGCCAGTGCAGAGCCTCGCCGTGACGGCTAGTTTGAAATATTGAAGTATATTCTCATATATTAGTACTGGTTTGAAAGAGCTTCTAAAAAAATTGTTGATGTTGGTCGGTAAGTTTGTTACAAAACAGTTTTTTTCTCTCGAGAAAATATAAAAGTTCTAAGCAAATGTTACTTCATGATAATTTGATACACATTTTGATACAATTTCCAAGGGTTTCTGAAAAATCGGAAATAAAATGCCACTTCCGGTTCCCGGAAATAGTTTAATAATTGATAAAAACCTACATGATCTGTATGATCTGAAATTTCGTCTACCTAAGTAAAACGGCCTCCCGTTATCGTCTTCACACACACACACACACACACATACACATATAGACTCAAGCGGCTGTAAACATTTGTTAACATCTTGATTCCGATCTACTGTACGAATACAATACTTCCCCACATTCGAGAAATCGAGAAAGTAAAACCAACCTTTGTTTACGGAACAACCTGTGTTTAGAACAGAAATGTGGAGAAATTCAGCGGAAAGAACTGAACTTAGATCTTTACATTTTTTAATAAAATCTTTACCATCACATTATCAGACACATTGTTTCTATGACAATACCATTACAAATGGTTCTATTTGAAGTATTTTCATGGCATATTTATTTAACTAGTTAAAAGGTTCTTGACCTGGGTTTGATAGAACCATAGGGGTTCGGTGATGACAGTTCAATACAACAACACGACAGCATTACATAGTAATAACGTTCGCCAGAGCGAGATAACACGTATCAGTTTTGTAACATTCCCATATCGCGAAACCCTTGACGTCAAGACACACATTCGTCACAAATCGTGTCGACGCCACCTATACAGGCGCGCGTTGATCGTGAATTTACGTGCTGTTATGAACATACTTTTTATTTTCGTATCGTGGCCAGTAGTCGACTTGTGACTGCACGGTTCATTTTCTGCACCAGTAAAATATATTGGGCCTATATTTGTTTATTTGTTTTGAATTGAACACAAAAAATATTTTCTATAAAGAGGGGTTCGGTGAATTAAGCTCGTGGGGTTCGGTACCTCCAAAAGTTTAAAAACTACTACACCAGCTGCATGTAACATTATTGTACCAGCTACTTGTAGCATGTACCAGCTACATGTAACATTATTGTACCAGCTACATGTAACATTATTGTACCAGCTACATGTAACAGTATTGTACCAGCCACATGTAACATTATTGTACCAGCCACATGTAACATTATTGTACCAGCTACATGCAACATTATTGTACCAGCAACATGTAACATTATTGTACCAGCCACATGTAACATTATTGTACCAGCCATATGTAACATTATTGTACCAGCCACATGTAACATTATTGTACCAGCTACATGTAACATTATTGTACCAGCCACGTGTAACATTATTGTACCAGCCATATGTAACATTATTGTACCAGCCACATGTAACATTATTGTACCAGCTACATGTAACATTATTGTACCAGCCACATGTAACATTATTGTACCAGCTACATGTAACATTATTGTACCAACTACATGTAACATTATTGTACCAGCTACATATAACATTATTGTACCAGCAACATGTAACATTATTGTACCAGCTACTTGTAGCATGTACCAGCTACATGTAATATGTGCCGGCTACATGTAACATTATTGTACCAGCTACATGTAACATTATTGTACCAGCTACATGTAACATTATTGTACCAGCTACATGTAACATTATTGTACCAGCTACATGTAACATTATTGTACCAGCTACATGTAACATTATTGTACCAGCTACATGTAACATTATTGTACCAGCTACATGTAACATTATTGTACCAGCTACATGTAACATTATTGTACCAGCTACATGTAACATTATTGTACCAGCTACATGTAACATTATTGTACCAGCTACATGTAACATTATTGTACCAGCTACATGTAACATTATTGTACCAGCTACATGTAACATTATTGTACCAGCTACATGTAACATTATTGTACCAGCTACATGTAACATTATTGTACCAGCTACATTTAACATTATTGTACCAGCTACATGTAACATTATTGTACCAGCTACATGTAACATTATTGTACCAGCTACATGTAACATTATTGTACCAGCTACATGTAACATTATTGTACCAGCTACATGTAACATTATTGTACCAGCTACATGTAACATTATTGTACCAGCTACATGTAACATTATTGTACCAGCTACATGTAACATTATTGTACCAGCTACATGTAACATTATTGTACCAGCCACATGTAACATTATTGTACCAGCTACATGTAACATTATTGTACCAGCTACATGTAACATTATTGTACCAGCCACATGTAACATTATTGTACCAGCTACATTTAACATTATTGTACCAGCCACATGTAACATTATTGTACCAGCTACATGTAACATTATTGTACCAGCTACATGAAGGATCTATCAGTATTTATCAGAACCAGATTTGTGTGGACATTATGTTTAAACAATTTCAAAACCTGTTTCTTTTACTTTGTTCAATGATGTGTGAATTCTTTGAATATTTCCATTGCATTAAAACGATTGTATGTTTGTTTTGTTTGTGTTAATTTTTTGAACACTTAATAATGAAGCCAGTATGCGACGTCCAGATGGAACAATTGATTAGTGAATACGAGACTAAAATGTAGGACAATGCAAGTTTTAAAAGTTAATATAGTACATTTTCATTAAATCTTTGTGTAATTATTTAACATCTAATTAGATAGTTGGGTCTTTACCTACGTGTCAAGTTTAAAACAAATCGGTTGGAAATTTCTACCAATGACGGACGAACTACAGACAAAAGTACGAAAGACAGAGGAATCAAGTGAAATAAAAATGTAAAATACCCCATCGGCTACGGCGTGACATAGCGGTAGAGCTCGAATCCGGGTTCAAGTCAGTAGAACGTCTCCGAGTCCACCCAGCTCTGATGGGTACATAACTTACGTTAGGGAAAGTAGAGGCATATAAAAACCACACTATCCCATTATATTCCGAGGCCACAGAAACATGTGAACTCTACTTCACTTGCCCCATATTTTGTCAAGTTCGTAAAGGAAAAATATGAAATCGTTTATAATATCCAACTTTTATTTATACACTGAAACAAGGTGGATTGGCTTCGTCCAAGATGCCCGGGAAATTTTAAAAGGAGGGCCACTGAGATTTTGTTCCTGTGGGCCCACCGGAATTTTTCTCGGTAGCCCACCGGCCAGTCCACGCCGGCACTGAAAAGAATATAATCATCGTGTTTTCTTTGAAGTGATGCACCACATTTTCAAGTTGATGTATGTCCTGTAATACAAGGGAACGAACTCTGTTAATTTACTCACAATTTGTTGCACAGTTCTGTCCCATTGTAATTGCGGGTTATGAACATTTTTAACACGTGGGTCGGGCAGATTTATGATTAAAGCGAAAAGCACACAACACACGAATTTTGGAAATTTGATGGTGAACGTACCCACGTTTTTTGTCATCAAATGTATTTGAACCTGCACAGCTCGAGGAAGCACAAAATCTACGAGCAGTCATTGGTAGATCCCCTAGGGTCGGAAGAAAAATCTATTTTCTACTTTTTAGTCCACAAGAAAAACGTGTTTTTTAAAAAAAAATTTTAAGTATTTTATTTACTGACGAAAACAATGTCGTTCAAACCAGCCAATAGTTGTGCTGAGTGAATACAACAAGCCAATGGTCTTTGTCTCTAGATCTAAATTTCTTGTAAGCAAAACGAGCTAACCCAAGCGTGCTAATCAAAGAATGTTAATCAACGCATATTTTAATATATCAGACACATGTGTTAACATATCAGACACATGTCTTAACAAATCAGACACATGTGTTAACATATCAGACACATGTGTTAACAAATCAGACACATGTGTTAACAAATCAGACACATATCAGACACTTGTCACAGATAAGATAACTAGTTAATTTAGTGAGGGGGTGGGGGAGTGTGTAGATATAAACTGTTGTAACACATCATATATAAACACGTCGGGTTTTACTCGAGTAGACAAGAAATTTGGTTACATCATACTTAAGAAAGTCGCAAGTCAAAAGGTTGTTTTATTATATTGCCAGCCAATATTGACAAAACTGTTTTGGTCATCTGATTAAACTTCAACTTGTTTTGTTGATTTCTGAGATGCTAAATCTGCATTAGGTTATTTTTTAAATTTAATTATAAGCTCCACTACTGGAGAATAAATGGAAGGTAACGACGTCACATTGTTGCAAAACTATACGTCTACAACAGATGGACAACAAAACTATACGTCTACAACAGATGGACAACAAAACTATACGTCCACAACGGATGGACAACAACACTATACGTCTACAACAGATGGACAACAAAACTATACGTCTACAACATATGGACAACAAAACTATACGTCTACAACATATGGACAACAAAACAATACGTCTACAACAGATGGGGAACAAAACTATACGTCTACAACAGATGGACAACAAAACTATACGTCTACAATAGATGGACAACAAAACAATACGTCTACAACAGATGGACAACAAAACTATACGTCTACAACATATGGACAACAAAACAATACGTCTACAACAGATGGGGAACAAAACTATACGTCTACAACAGATGGGGAACAAAACTATACGTCTACAACATATGGACAACAAAACTATACGACTACAACATATGGACAACAAAACAATACGTCTACAACAGATGGGGAACAAAACTATACGTCTACAACAGATGGACAACAAAACTATACGTCTACAACAGATGGACAACAAAACTATACGTCTACAACAGATGGACAACAAAACTATACGTCTACAACAGATGGACAACAAAACAATACGTCTACAACAGATGGACAACAAAACTATACGTCTACAATAGATGGACAACAAAACTATACGTCAACAACAGATGGACAACAAAACAATACGTCTACAACAGATGGACAACAAAACTATACGTCTACAACAGATGGACAACAAAACTATACGTCTACAACAGATGGACAACAAAACTATACGTCTACAACATATGGACAACAAAACTATACGTCAACAACAGATGGGCAACAAAACTATACGTCTACAACAGATGGACAACAAAAGTATACGTCTACAACAGACCGAGAAAACGATATGATAGAACTTTTGAACCCACCAAACTTTGCTGATCGTCTGCTTCAGATTGAGAACATCAAACGCCAGGAGCAGACGGTGAAGCGATGGGAAACTGAAGCCAAGCTTGTAGGAGTCACTGGTGTGGAAGACAGAGTCAGACTTTTGGAGTCAGAGATTGAGAGCACTACCCACATAGAAGATAGAGTTAGACTTTTGGAGTCACACATTGAGAGAACTAGGCACATAGAAGATAGAGTCAGACTATTGGAGTCACAGATTGAGAGAACTAGGCACATAGACGATAGAGTCAGACTTTTGGAGTCACAGATTGAGAGAACTAGGCACATAGACGATAGAGTCAGACTTTTGGAGTCACACATTGAGAGAACTAGGCACATAGAAGATAGAGTCAGAATTTTGGAGTCACACATTGAGAGAACTAGAAACATAGACGATAGAGTCAGACGTTTGGAGTCAGAAGTCGCGAGAATTAACCACGTGGAGCTTGAAAATATTAAAAATATGTCTTTAGAGCTAGAGAGGTTAGCCTCTCTCGTTGATGTCATTTCCGGTAACAGTTTGGCTATTTATATACGACTCAAAGCTTTGGAAGAAACCCTAGAGGTAATGATCAGATTTATATATCGTGTCGTTTCTTATAGTCTCTATTTGCATTGATAATTTCAATAATGTTGTTACAAGTTACCTTTTAGATTATTTACTTTTTATAACATCCATTTTTAATTTATAATTTTATTATTTACATATGTTTATTTACATTTGCAAACAAAACTAGCAAGATGGTTTTAACTTTAATTAAGTTTTAAAACTAATTCTTCTTCATCCAGGTTAGAACAGTAAACACAAAGCAAAAGATTCGAAGACGTTTGACCTTGTCTGAACAAGCGGCCAATGTCAAGGTCGGTTCACGAGTTAAGAGAGGGCCACGTTGGAGGAGAGGAAGTTTGGTGAGTAAAAGCTGTATGTATAGATATTTTATTCTGAAATCATTTAGCCATAATCTGTCCTGAAATATTTTGTCTAGCGATATATTTGTCCGTATGATCTAAATATATATATATATATATATATATATATATATATATATATATATATATATATATATATATATATATATATATATATATATATGTCTATATACATTTGTGTAGGACGGCACACCACCAGGACCTGGTACAGTATGCCAACACTGGGCTGAATATCACGTGGTCCAGGTACTCTGGGACTCTGGGAACTATGGCAGGCACAGGATGGGTTACAATGGCATCTTTGACATTCAACTCGATGACGAATATGTATGGGAGGATTCAGCTTGATGACGAATATGTATGGGAGGATTCAGCTTGATGACGAATATGTATGGGAGGATTCAGCTTGATGACGAATATGTATGGGAGGATTCAGCTTGATGACGAATATTTATGGGAGGATTCAGCTTGATGACGAATATGTATGGGAGGATTCAGCTTGACCTCTGTCATTGTACCTGGTGTCACGTGTCAAAATAGACAACATTTAAATAAAATGTTAACAAAATTAATATTGTTGTTAACGTTTTGGTTTCTGTATGTAGTGTAGGTTGTATGGCGACACAACGTACAAGGTAGCCATGCTGTCAACAAACACAGGAAATCTTCTGGTAACATCGATTACATTAGTAAACAAAGCACACCATCAAATTATACCAACAAACAAATTATACCACCAACAAATTATACCACCATCAAATTATACCAACAAACAAATTATACCACCAACAAATTATACCACCAACAAATTGAACAAACAACAAACTGAACCACCAACAAACTGAACCACCAACAAACTGAACCACCAACAAACTGAACCACCAACAAACCGAACCACCAACAAATTATACCACCAACAAATTATACCATCAACAAATTGAACAAACAACAAACTGAACCACCAACAAACTGAACCACCAACAAACTGAATCAACAACAAATTGAACCACCAACATCTACCCACCACCTTATATTGCCTTAAATAGCAACTATGAATATAAAGCTGGATATTTAAGTCAGGATTTAAAACAATTTTTTTTATCTTTGGCTAATTGTTATCGCTGATTACACGGCACGGTTATGGTTGAGATCAGCGTGTGTAGGTGGTGTGTAGGTGGCGTGTAGATGATGTCATAGAGTTGTGTTTTATGTGATACATTTTTGAGTTTGTTACATATCCAGTCTTCGTGTGTTGATAATGGAATTTTAATCTTGATCTGCCTCTTATTTATCTTCTGGTATGTCTAATTTGTTATTTATAAATACAGATGTATATATATATATATATATATATATATATATATATATATATATATATATATATATATATATATATATATATATATATATATATATATATATATATATAATATATATACATAATATTAAATCATATATATATATATATATATATATATATATATTTATATTTATATATATATACATATACATATATGTATATATAACATTGTTATACAATTATTTTAAAGTATTTGTATAAATTTTTAAGACGCTTGCAGTCTTGATAGAAAAATACAAAATGATTGTTACGGATTGTAGATACCAGAAATCCTTGTCAATTACCATAAACTAAACATCATTTTAAAATTTTCCGAGCATGTTTATTTAATTAAACAAAAAGTAATCTAGAATCATATTTTAGAAACATGACATTCAATTACCTAGTCTTACAATAACAAGGTTTCTAAAAAGAATAAAAACGTTTTGATAACAAGCTTTAATGTAATGATAATGCACTAAAAAGGAGAAAAATAAATGATTTTTTAAATATATAATAATGAAGTAATATTTAAATAATTAAAAAGAAAAGTGGGCATTACAATATTTTGTATTAAATACATTTACGTGAATTCAAGAAGCGACCCCTGCTTGTTATTAGAACGGTTTTTTTCTGCAGAAAGGGGAAGCAAGTCAAATAAAAGCTTGTAAAAATACACAATGATCAGGACAATAGGGCTGGTAAGTAGGTCATAAACCTGTTCTACGGCTCAGTAAAACCTGCCTGAGCCATAGAACGGGTTGATGACCTACTTACCAGCCCTATTTTCAATCGCTACGTTGCACAAGATCTACAACCAACTAAAAACTTTAAAATGTTTTAAATAATGGCTGAATTGTCCGCTTTCTTTACTGTATGTCCATATTGCTCTAATATTTGTCCACATTGGTCTAGTATTTGTCCACATTAGTTTAATATTTGTCCACGTTGGTCTAATATTTGTCGACATTGGTCTAATATTTGTCCCCATTGGTCTAATATTTGTCTACATTGGTCTAATATTTGTCCCCAGAAAAATGTGCGCGTCAAAAAACCAGGTCAATCTGGTGGCCTTAAAGCTGCAGGTGTTGGAAGATGAGAGGAAACAGTTGCATGAGTCTGTTGACGTCTTTGTTGACGAGGTATAGTTGCATGAGTCTGTTGACGTCTTTGTTGACGAGGTATAGTTGCATGAGTCTGTTGACGTCTTTGTTGACGAGGTACAGTTGCATGAGTCTGTTGACGTCTTTGTTGACGAGGTATAGTTACATGAGTCTGTTGACGTCTTTGTTGACGAGGTACAGTTGCATGAGTCTGTTGACGTCTTTGTTGACGAGGTATAGTTACATGAGTCTGTTGACGTCTTTGTTGACGAGGTATAGATGCACGAGTCTATTGACGTCTTTGTTGACGAGGTATAGTTGCATGAGTCTATTGACGTCTTTGTTGACGAGGTATAGTTGCACGAGTCTGTTGACGTCTTTGTTGACGAGGTATAGTTGCATGAGTCTGTTGACGTCTTTGTTGACGAGGTATAGTTGCATGAGTCTGTTGACGTCTTTGTTGACGAGGTATAGTTGCATGAGTCTGTTGACGTCCGAGGTACAGTTGCATGAGTCTGTTGACGTCTTTGTTGACGAGGTATAGTTGCATGAGTCTGTTGACGTCTTTGTTGACGAGGTATAGTTACATGAGTCTGTTGACGTCTTTGTTGACGAGGTACAGTTGCATGAGTCTGTTGACGTCTTTGTTGACGAGGTATAGTTGCATGAGTCTGTTGACGTCTTTGTTGACGAGGTACAGTTGCATGAGTCTGTTGACGTCTTTGTTGACGAGGTATAGTTACATGAGTCTGTTGACGTCTTTGTTGACGAGGTATAGTTGCACGAGTCTATTGACGTCTTTGTTGACGAGGTATAGTTGCATGAGTCTGTTGACGTCTTTGTTGACGAGGTATAGTTGCATGAGTCTGTTGACGTCTTTGTTGACGAGGTATAGTTGCATGAGTCTGTTGACGTCTTTGTTGACGAGGTATAGTTGCATGAGTCTGTTGACGTCTTTGTTGACGAGGTATAGTTGCATGAGTCTGTTGACGTCTTTGTTGACGAGGTATAGTTGCATGAGTCTGTTGACGTCTTTGTTGACGAGGTATAGTTGCATGAGTCTGTTGACGTCTTTGTTGACGAGGTATTAGTGAAGTGTTGTTGTTTTTTTCCACACAAGATTGACACCATTCTATTTAAATCAACTGACCACATACGTTTGACACCATTCTATTTAAATCAACTGACCACATACGTTTGACACCATTCTATTTAAATCAACTGACCACATACGTTTGACACCATTCTATTTAAACCAACTGACCACATACGTTTGACACCATTCTATTTAAATCAACTGACCACATACGTTTGACACCATTCTATTTAAATCAACTGACCACATACGTTTGACACCATTCTATTTAAATCAACTGACCACATACGTTTGACACCATTCTATTTAAATCAACTGACCACATACGTTTGACACCATTCTATTTAAATCAACTGACCACATACGTTTGACACCATTCTCTTTAAATCAACTGACCACATACGTTTGACACCATTCTATTTAAATCAACTGACCACATACGTTTGACACCATTCTATTTAAATCAACTGACCACATACGTTTGACACCATTCTCTTTAAATCAACTGACCACATACGTTTGACACCATTCTATTTAAATCAACTGACCACATACGTTTGACACCATTCTATTTAAATCAACTGACCACATACGTTTGACACCATTCTATTTAAATCAACTGACCACATACGTTTGACACCATTCTATTTAAATCAACTGACCACATACGTTTGACACCATTCTATTTAAATCAACTTACCACATACGTTTGACACCATTCTATTTAAATCAACTGACCACATACGTTTGACACCATTCTCTTTAAATCAACTGACCACATACGTTTGACACCATTCTATTTAAATCAACTGACCACATACGTTTGACACCATTCTATTTAAATCAACTGACCACATACGTTTGACACCATTCTATTTAAATCAACTGACCACATACGTTTGACACCATTCTATTTAAATCAACTGACCACATACGTTTGACACCATTCTCTTTAAATCAACTGACCACATACGTTTGACACCATTCTATTTAAATCAACTGACCACATACGTTTGACACCATTCTATTTAAATCAACTGACCACATACGTTTGACACCATTCTATTTAAATCAACTGACCACATACGTTTGACACCATTCTATTTAAATCAACTTACCACATACGTTTGACACCATTCTATTTAAATCAACTGACCACATACGTTTGACACCATTCTCTTTAAATCAACTGACCACATACGTTTGACACCATTCTATTTAAATCAACTGACCACATACGTTTGACACCATTCTATTTAAATCAACTGACCACATACGTTTGACACCATTCTATTTAAATCAACTGACCACATACGTTTGACACCATTCTCTTTAAATCAACTGACCACATACGTTTGACACCATTCTATTTAAATCAACTGACCACATACGTTTGACACCATTCTATTTAAATCAACTGACCACATACGTTTGACACCATTCTCTTTGAATCAACTGACCACATAACAAAAACACCTTTTTATTTACAACAAAATTACCATCACACCCACACCTGCAATCCGACATTAATTTGACCTAGTTTCTTCCCAACCCTACTCAAAATGTTGTCACGTGACCGGCTTATCATGTGACATTTTTCAAAAAGATTACAGTTTGTGTAGGCCCTACTCTCCATTACTATTGAATTGTTCTTACAATTACCATAACCTTTCTGCTTGTTCATTCAATTTATTATGGCACCACTACGCGCAGTATTAATGTAAAAGGAAAAAAAAAGGTTTACATTTCGTTTTTTAACCACCTGAATGTTTACAGACATTATGTCACGTGGCAAGATAAACTTAGTCACATGACTGTGTCTGATGGTGTGTAGACACATGACTGTGTCTGATGGTGTGTAGTCACATGACTGTGTCTGATGGTGTGTAGTCACATGACTGTGTCTGATGGTGTGTAGTGGTGTGTAGTCACATGACTGTGTCTGATGGTGTGTAGTCACATGACTGTGTCTGATGGTGTGTAGTCACATGACTGTGTCTGATGGTGTGTAGTGGTGTGTAGTCACATGACTGTGTCTGATGGTGTGTAGTCACATGACTGTGTCTGATGGTGTTTAGTCACATGACTGTGTCTGATGGTGTGTAGTCACATGACTGTGTCTGATGGTGTGTAGTCACATGACTGTGTCTGATGGTGTGTAGTCACATGACTGTGTCTGATGGTGTGTAGTCACATGACTGTGTCTGATGGTGTGTAGTCACATGACTGTGTCTGATGGTGTGTAGTCACATGACTGTGTCTGATGGTGTGTAGTCACATGACTGTGTCTGATGGTGTGTAGTCACATGACTGTGTCTGATGGTGTGTAGTCACATGACTGTGTCTGATGGTGTGTAGTCACATGACTGTGTCTGATGGTGTGTAGTCACATGACTGTGTCTGATGGTGTGTAGTCACATGACTGTGTCTGATGGTGTGTAGTCACATGACTGTGTCTGATGGTGTGTAGTCACATGACTGTGTCTGATGGTGTGTAGTCACATGACTGTGTCTGATGGTGTGTAGTCACATGACTGTGTCTGATGGTGTGTAGTCACATGACTGTGTCTGATGGTGTTTAGTCACATGACTGTGTCTGATGGTGTGTAGTCACATGACTGTGTCTGATGGTGTGTAGTCACATGACTGTGTCTGATGGTGTTTAGTCACATGACTGTGTCTGATGGTGTTTAGTCACATGACTGTGTCTGATGGTGTGTAGTGGTGTGTAGTCACATGACTGTGTCTGATGGTGTGTAGTCACATGACTGTGTCTGATGGTGTGTAGTCACATGACTGTGTCTGATGGTGTGTAGTGGTGTGTAGTCACATGACTGTGTCTCATGGTGTGTAGTCACATGACTGTGTCTCATGGTGTGTAGTCACATGACTGTGTCTGATGGTGTGTAGTGGTGTGTAGTCACATGACTGTGTCTCATGGTGTGTAGTCACATGACTGTGTCTGATGGTGTGTAGTCACAGGACTGTCTGATGGTGTGTAGTGGTGTGTAGTCACATGACTGTGTCTGATGGTGTGTAGTCACAGGACTGTCTGATGGTGTGTAGTTGTGTGTAGTCACATGACTGTGTCTGATGGTGTGTAGTCACAGGACTGTCTGATGGTGTGTAGTGGTGTGTAGTCACATGACTGTGTCTGATGGTGTGTAGTCACAGGACTGTCTGATGGTGTGTAGTCACATGACTGTCTGATGGTGTGTAGTCACATGACTGTGTCTCATGGTGTGTAGTCACATGACTGTGATGTGGCAAGTGGCTCATCTCACCTCTGATAAAACAATACGAAAAACATCCACACGAAATGTTCACTACAAAAATCTGCATAACGCTGCAGGGCATATTAAAACAAGGGGAAGCTATCACCAATCAAGATTATTGCGAGTGAACATAGAGCATCCACACTACTAAACAAAGGGGAGATAATGACCAACTCTATGCAAATTAGGAATAGTGACAGCCAGTTGGAGATCTTGTAATTTAACACATTTCTCTATTTATTGGTACATCTTATCAAATAAATAATAGGACAGCAGATTCGTAATACAAATATAGCATCAGAACAGTGGCGTAGGCAGGGGGGGGGGTTAGGGGGGCCATAACCCCCCCCCCCCCCCCCCCCATAGACCCCTCGGTATATATATAAAAAGTATGAAGGGGGGTGCAAATCGAAAGTTTGACGGGGGGGGGTGCAAATCGAAAGTTTGTCCCCGGGTAAAAATTGGAACCCCCCCCCCCCTTGAGACAATCCTGGCTACGCCACTGCATCAGAATACACTGTAAACTATAGCTATATATTTAGCAATCACAAGAATGGGATAGGAAAGTTTTTACACGCTAATATCTGAAGGAAGAAGGGGAGGAACTAATTAGTAGTTAGACCACACGAACATTTTACTGGCTTAAATATTCATTGCCTTTGGCCGGCCAAGTTATTAAAAGATGCGGCGGCTTTTATGGATTTTGTGACTAAAGAGATAAACAGCATCATATTTCTAAATCTTCTAAATGACCATGAGTCCAAATATACTAAGCCAAAAACAGCTGACCACACAATCCGCCATTGTGTTTCTACATCCTCAAATGTTCTTTCATCTAAATATTCTGTCATCTTGATCACACAAACACAGAATGACAAAAATAAATATTAAAAAAAAAACCAGAGCACCCCCCCCCCCCCCACACACACACACACAAACAAACAATCCGCCATTTTTATTCTAACGGTCTTCATCAGGTTGTCTCCCTGGGCACGACCTTTGTTGCCAGTGAGGGAGGTCAAGGTCTCAGCTTTAAGGAGGTCAGTCAGGCCATAGAGCGTGCCCTCACGTGCGTCATGGAGAGGAGAGCTGAGTACTCACGTGGGTAAACCTTGTCTAATGAGAAATATTGGTCCAACAAAATTTGGTCCAATAAAAGTTGGTCCAACAAAAAATGGTCCAACAAAAGTTAGTCAAACAAAAGCTGGTCCAATAAAAGTTGGTCCAATAAAAGTTGGTCCAACAAAAAATGGTCCAACAAAAGTTAGTCAAACAAAAGCTGGTCCAATAAAAGTTGGTCCAATAAAAGTTGGTTCAGCAAAAAATGGTCCAATAAAAGTTAGTCAAACAAAAGCTGGTCCAATAAAAGTTGGTCCAATAAAAGTTGGTTCAACAAAAAATGGTCCAATAAAAGTTAGTCAAACAAAAGCTGGTCCAATAAAAGTTGGTCCAATAAAAGTTGGTCCAACAAAAAATGGTCCAACAAAAGTTAGTCAAATAAAAGTTGATCGAACAAAAGTTCAATTGTTTTTTGTTACAAAGTTGTAGAGTTCTCATGATGATCAGGTACCAGATATTGCCTCTGTACCACTACCATAAGTGCTGTACCACAGCCATAAGCCCTATACCACAGCCATAAGCCCTATACCACAGCCATAAGCCCTGTACCATCTTCAACCTCCCTTTAAACACATCGTTTAGCCCCTCGTCTGTTTCATAATAAAACTAATTAGATCAGGCGTACACGACATATTGCTTGCAGTTTTAACATTTTATCTATTAATTAACACTTCATGCACGTCCATGTACGTCGCCAGTGCTATTGTAGGACTTGCCGCTCATTGGCTTCTGCTTCTATCAACAGAAGCCGGAGGACCGGAACTAAAGACCGTACCGGCACAATCTGTCGCACCATCCGGTCAACCACTGGCAGCCCTACCAGCAGAAGACAGACCACATCTGGTACAATCGTCGTCATCACTGACAGGTCAGTCGACCAGTGTTTCTTCCAGACTTTTTTCTCCGGGGGGTGGGGCGGGGGGGGGGACACTTGAAATTTCGGTGGGGGGGTAGACTTTTTTCGGGTGGGGGGGGGGGGTGGGGGGCGGACACTGTTAAAAGTATATATTTTCTATATATTTTCAGTATAAATTTCATTTCGTTCGGGGGAGAGGGGCGGTAGATTATTTCTATCCCTAATGATGTGTAAACTGATGGAACAGTCGCTGTATATTTGACTGTATAATTTTAATGACTATATAATCTTTAATAATTACATTTAATTAATATACTGTATGTTTTGACAACACCGTATAATATTAATGACTATATAATATAATATTTGATAATTAAACTTAATGATTATTTTATACGTTTTTCAACTTAATCTTAATTATTGTATTTTATAAGTTTTATATCTTTACTTGAAGTGATTATATTTAATACCCTCTAAACTTTAATAGCAGATTTAAATCTATTGACATTTAACCTGAACGATTATTTTACCCCCCCCCTACACCGTGTGAGCAGAGAACGTACTGGGCACATTGAGGGACTGGATGGACCTGGTCCAGGGTCATGTCCGGACTAACGGCTCTAACCTGGACATCCTGTCTGCCATGGTGCCACAGATTCTGGCAGAGATCGGCGCCATCAAAGACCAGGTCAACCGTATCGAGGGCTGGAAGGATAGACTGGACGATATCGATAACAGAGTTACCCATATCGAAGAAGACGATACCATACCAAACCTGCAGATCAAACTAAAGGAAGTCGATACTAACGTCTGTGGATTGGCCAGTCAGTTTGAGAAGCACGTGCAAGAGTTCGTGTCACATACTTTTCAAAACGAAAGTTACTTTCGTGACGTCGATATCCGGTTGGGAGATGTTCAGGTGGAAACAAAAAATTTGAACGTTCAAGCGGACAAATTAACACATGATCAAAATGTTCACGGAGAAAAAATAAGTTCACTTGAAGCGAAGGATGAAGAAAAGTCAAAAGTTTTGGATAAAATGGAGGTCAGACTACAGAAGGAGGAGAAGGAAAGTTTCAACTTAAAGAAAAGTTTGGAGGAAAAGTTTGACTTGAACGGTCGGGGGATTGAAGATTTGAACGTGAGGCTGAAGAAAGTGGAGGAGATGTGGTCGGACAGGGAGTTGAAGAATGTCAGAAAGATGGAGGACAAGCTACAGAGAATGGAGGCAGAGAGGAAGAAAGATGTTTATTACTTGAGCGAAAGTGTGGAGAAGATCCATTCTCGGGTAAGTCTTTTGGATCAGTTGTGTCTTAAAGTACAGCAAAGACGTTTCAGGACAAACTGTTACGTCTAGATGCAAATCTTTAAGCCTTCATATCATAACAGTATTTACATGAGTTTTAAAAACCAAATGTTACCGAGAAATAAACACTAGCCGTAGCAACACTAACAAAAGCAAGCTCTATGTTTTTATTTACAGCTGGACACCATGGCAACCACGGAGAACTCTATCACCACCAGGATCCTCAATCTAGGTACGTCTGTCGTCTGCTCTTTTATTTTTATCTATGCATGAGTGGCGGGATGGTAAAAAAAATAAGACGCGATTTAAACTTGACAAGCTAAAACTGTAGCCTTAGACAATCAGGGGAAGTAGAGTATGGCTGAATAGTATGTTGGTCGAAAGATCTCCGTCTATGTCCAAAAGATTAGTTAAGAATATGTTGTATTTTTTTTTATAGTTCATATTTCTTACCCCTTCCCCCACCCACAAATTTATTTGTGGACACCTCTATAATTTCCTTTAGCCTGTTGGGGTCTTGTTCTACATGTGTAATGTCAATCTGGCTGTGTTACTGTTTACCTTGAAGTTTTTCTTATTGCCTGTTAACTCTTTCAGAAAAACGCCACAAGCGCCCCCTAGGGTTCACGGCAAAGCTGTCCGTGTCCTTCTCTACGCCCATCAAACGCGCGGTCATTCGAGACTTCACCGACATCGTGGTGAACAAGGGCGACCACTACCAGCCACAGACTGGGGAGTTCATCGCCCCTGTGGAGGGCCTCTACGTCGTGGCTCTGTCACACCGACAGTGGCAGGACGGGGAGATCTGGCTGGTCGTCCTAATGACCCCTAACCCCGGGCCCAACGGCGGCAAGGACAAGGTCGTCTGCGAGACCAAAACAGACGTGAACAGGACCAGCAGCTGTGGGTACAGCGCCGTCTGGATGAACCCTGGGGACAAGGTCTGGGTCAGCGTGCGCAATGTCAAGGGCACAGACGTCTGGATAGACGCGCCTTCCAGTTTTTCTTGTTTTCTGGTAGCCTAGGTCAGTAGGTCAAGGTCAGTCTAGGTCAGGCATCAAGATCAATCTAGGTCAGTAAGTCAAGGTCAATCTGGCTCAGTAAGTCAATATCAATCTAGGTCAGTAAGTCAAGGTCAGTCTAGGTCAGGCATCAAGATCAGTCTAGGTCAGTACGCCAAGGTCAATCTGGCTCAGTAAGTCAAGGTCAGTCTAGGTCAAGAAGTCAAGGACAACCTAGTAGTCTTTTCAGTAGTCATATGACCAATGACGCTCAGTCATACACATTCAATGACATTTTTATCCGTGTGTGGATGAGTGATATTTTTATACTTGTGTGGATGAGTGATATTTTTATACTTGTGTGGATGAGTGATATTTTTATACTTGTGTGGATGAGTGATATTTTTATACTTGTGTGGATGAGTGATATTTTTATACTTGTGTGGATGAGTGATATTTTTATACTTGTGTGGATGAGTGATATTTTTATACTTGTGTGGATGAGTGATATTTTTATACTTGTGTGGATGAGTTATACTTTTATCCTTGTGTGGATGAGGGATATTTTTATCCTTGTGTGGATGAGTGATATTTTTATACTTGTGTGGATGAGTGATATTTTTATCCTTGTGTGGATGAGGGATATTTTTATACTTGTGTGGATGAGTGATATTTTTATACTTGTGTGGATGAGGGATATTTTTATACTTGTGTGGATGAGTGATATTTTTATACTTGTGTGGATGAGTGATATTTTTATACTTGTGTGGATGAGTGATATTTTTATACTTGTGTGGATGAGTTATACTTTTATCCTTGTGTGGATGAGTGATATTTTTATACTTGTGTGGATGAGTGATATTTTTATACTTGTGTGGATGAGGGATATTTTTATATTTGTGTGGATGAGTGATATTTTTATACTTGTGTGGATGAGGGATATTTTTATACTTGTGTGGATGAGTGATATTTTTATACTTGTGTGGATGAGTGATATTTTTATACTTGTGTGGATGAGTTATACTTTTATCCTTGTGTGGATGAGGGATATTTTTATACTTGTGTGGATGAGTGATATTTTTATACTTGTGTGGATGAGGGATATTTTTATACTTGTGTGGATGAGTGATATTTTTATACTTGTGTGGATGAGTTATACTTTTATCCTTGTGTGGATGAGGGATATTTTTATACTTGTGTGGATGAGGGATATTTTTATCCTTGTGTGGATGAGGGATATTTTTATCCTTGTGTGGATGAGTGATATTTTTATCCTTGTGTGGATGAGTGATATTTTTATCCTTGTGTGGATGAGGGATATTTTTATCCTTGTGTGGATGAGTGATATTTTTATACTTGTGTGGATGAGTGATATTTTTATACTTGTGTGGATGAGGGATATTTTTATCCTTGTGTGGATGAGTGATATTTTTATACTTGTGTGGATGAGTGATATTTTTATACTTGTGTGGATGAGTTATACTTTTATCCTTGTGTGGATGAGGGATATTTCCGAGAATGGGTTCTTGTGTAAGTTGTGACTTGAATGCTGTGCTAAGTGTGTAGTTACATCTTGAATTATACCCATGCAGTTTAACTTGTGCAATGTAATACTTGTTTTCAATAAAGTGTGGAGAAACTTTTGTATGTTTTGATAAAATAGACTTTCAGTTGGATCGCATGAATTGATAATACAGAACATAAACGCAATTCACTTTTTAAGGGAAATCCTATATCAGTTCATCACGTTTATTTGGAAGCAACAATATAACAAGAATTAGATAAACAAACTGGTGACATGGTATGAAATAAACCTCAGCGTAATTTGTACCAGGTACATTTCCGTTAGAAGTTTCACATAGCCCTGGTATTCATTGTTCTTGTGGTGTTTGATTGGTAGGATCACGGAGCATGGTGGCATGATATGTTTAGATTTAGTTTAGGGTTAGGTTTGAAGACTGAGATATGTTTAGAATTAGTTTAGGGTTAGGTTTGAAGATTGTGATATGTTAAGTGCTAGGTGTAAAGGTTGTGATATGTTTAGATTTAGTTTAGTCTCATCATATATATATATATTTAAAACATTATTTTATCAACTTTATAATTGGCTTTAATATTCCCCCTATCTCAATCATTCCCCCCTATCCCCCCTCCCTCTCTCTCTCGCTCTCTCTCTCTCTCACACACACTCTCTCTCTCTCTCTCTCTTACACTCTTTCTCAACCACACAAAGATTCCTCCTGTTTTAACGTATTAGAAATCTTGGTTCATCCTTCACTTCCCAACATTTCTTCTATTTGCAATGTGTCCGTCCACACACAGTGGGACGGGATAGCGAATTATCCAGCGTTGTTAGTTGTTCTAAGAAAGTTGCTGTCGTGTGTTCGCTAGAAAGTTGCTGTCGTGTGTTCTCTAGAAAGTTGCTGTCGTGTGTTCTCTAGAAAGCTGCTGTCGTGTGTTCTCTAGAAAGTTGTGTGTTTTCTAGAAAGTTGTGTGTTCTCTCGAAAGTTGTGTGTTCTCTAGAAAGTTGTGTGTTCTCTAGAAAGTTGTGTGTTCTCTAGAAAGTTGTGTGTTCTCTAGAAAGTTGTGTGTTCTCTAGAAAGTTGTGTGTTCTCTAGAAAGTTGTGTGTTCTCTAGAAAGTTGTGTGTTCTCTAGAAAGTTGTGTGTTCTCTCGAAAGTTGTGTGTTCTCTAGAAAGTTGTGTGTTCTCTAGAAAGTTGTGTGTTCTCTAGAAAGTTGTGTGTTCTCTAGAAAGTTGTGTGTTCTCTAGAAAGTTGTGTGTTCTCTAGAAAGTTGTGTGTTCTCTAGAAAGTTGTGTGTTCTCTAGAAAGTTGTGTGTTCTCTCGAAAGTTGTGTGTTCTCTAGAAAGTTGTGTGTTCTCTAGAAAGTTGTGTGTTCTCTAGAAAGTTGTGTGTTCTCTCGAAAGTTGTGTGTTCTCTAGAAAGTTGCTGTCGTGTGTTGTCTAGAAAGTTGTGTGTTCTCTAGATAAACTGTTCACTCTGCCTTCCCGTCGTCATGCCTCACAGATGTACCAGCGTTACGCCTGAGTGACTTCCTGCTATAACGCAGCTGATGAATCCTTGTGTTGAAGAGCTCCACAGCGAAGTTATAAAGTCGCATGTCGAGACTGTTGACGGCGGCCATCTTGGCTCGCAGGTGTGAAGGCGTGTCGGCCCGACTCATAGCGTTGGGTACATGGATGGGCGACAGGAAGTGGAGGCCAAGCTCCGCCTCTGATGACGACAGAAAGACGAGTTAATAATAAGCAGAGTGCATCTGGTTTAGGTTTAAAATTCAGGGGGAAGTACATTTAGATTGAATGAAATACGATCCACGTTGTAGTCTTTTTTTATCATGCATGTTGTTGTGTGAATGATTGTATGCACCATTTATCTGTTACTAAAACAATCGATGTCAAACAATCCTAACATTAAAGTTCTTTAAATAAAGCTGTGATACCTAAAAGTACCACAACTAAAAGCGTGCTACCTAAAAGTACCACATCTAAAAGCGTGCTACCTAAAAGCACCACAACTAAAAGCGTGCTACCTAAAAGCATTACAACTAAAGCGTGCTACCTAAAAGCACCACTATTAAAAGCGTGCTACCTAAAAGTACCACAACTAAGAGCGTGCTACCTAAAAGTACCACATCTAAAAGCGTGCTACCTAAAAGTACCACATCTAAAAGCGTGCTACCTAAAAGTACCACAACTAAAAGCGTGCTACCTAAAAGTACCACAACTAAAAGCGTGCTACCTAAAAGTACCACATCTAAAAGCGTGCTACCTAAAAGCACCACAACTAAAAGCGTGCTACCTAAAAGTACCACAACTAAGAGCGTGCTACCTAAAAGTACCACATCTAAAAGCGTGCTACCTAAAAGTACCACATCTAAAAGCGTGCTACCTAAAAGTACCACAACTAAAAGCGTGCTACCTAAAAGTACCACAACTAAAAGCGTGCTACCTTAAAGTACCACAACTAAAAGCGTGCTACCTAAAAGTACCACATCTAAAAGCGTGCTACCTAAAAGTACCACATCTAAAAGCGAGCTACCTACAAGTACCACAACTAAAAGCGTGCTACCTAAAAGTACCACAACTAAAAGCGTGCTACCTAAAAGTACCACAACTAAAAGCGTGCTACCTAAAAGTACCACAACTAAAAGCGTGCTACCTAAAAGTACCACATCTAAAAGCGAGCTACCTAAAAGTACCACAACTAAAAGCGTGCTACCTAAAAGTACCACATCTAAAAGCGAGCTACCTAAAAGTACCACAACTAAAAGCGTGCTACCTAAAAGCTCCATCGTGTCCTCGATGCGACTGAGTATACCAAAGACGGCCAATCGTTGCAGATTTCTTTTGGCGCTCTCCAACAGCGCCTCGTCATAGGCGTCTCCAGAAAAACCTAAGGCGTCAACCATGGTTAGGTTGGCCAGCATCCTCGTCTGTCGGTTGTTGGCTGGGTTGTCCCTGGGGGGGGGGTGAAAGTAAGAGAATGTTAACAGACTGACAACCGAAAATAATAAGTGTGAAGTTGAATTTTCTGACCGTACGATTTTTAGAAAATATAAAAATAATAATTCTAATCAAATACTGGTTTACAAAAATACTTGAGAGCGCAGATTATTTAAAAGAACTACTAGTCCGTCGTTACCTGAGATAACAAAGTGATGTTGTTACCTGAGATAACAAAGTGCTGTTGTTACCTGAGATAACAAAGTGCTGTTGTTACCTGAGATAATAAAGTGCTGTTGTTACCTGAGATAACAAAGTGATGTTGTTACCTGAGATAACAAAGTGATGTTGTTACCTGAGATAACAAAGTGCTGTTGTTACCTGAGATAACAAAGTGATGTTGTTACCTGAGATAACAAAGTGATGTTGTTACCTGAGATAACAAAGTGATGTTGTTACCTGAGATAACAAAGTGCTGTTGTTACCTGAGATAACAAAGTGCTGTTGTTACCTGAGATAACAAAGTGCTGTTGTTACCTGAGATAACAAAGTGATGTTGTTACCTGAGATAACAAAGTGATGTTGTTACCTGAGATAACAAAGTGATGTTGTTACCTGAGATAACAAAGTGATGTTGTTACCTGAGATAACAAAGTGATGTTGTTACCTGAGATAACAAAGTGATGTTGTTACCTGAGATAACAAAGTGATGTTGTTACCTGAGATAACAAAGTGATGTTGTTACCTGCAGTTAAGAAAATCTAAGAATGTCAAGGACGATAGCTTGATGCCAACCCAACAGGCAAGTCCTTTCTTCTGCAGCTCCAGGCTCGTGTTCCGGAAGATTCGAGGCTCGTTCTTAAAGAAGGTGTCCTCATTCCGTGTGAACATCCACTCGCTGATGTACCTGGTCAACGGTTCTCGAAGTATGGTGAACATGTGGTACCTGTACAGGTAGAAGTAAATATGTGGTACCTGTACAGGTGGAAGTAAATATGTGGTACCTGTACAGGTGGAGGTAAATATGTGGTATCTGTAATGGTATAAGTAAATATGTGGTACCTGTACTGGTGGAGGTAAATATGTGGTACCTGTACAGTTGAAAATAAATATGTGGTATCTGTAATGGTATAAGTAAATATGTGGTACCTGTACTGGTGGAGGTAAATATGTGGTACCTGTACAGTTGAAAATAAATATGTGGTATCTGTAATGGTATAAGTAAATATGTGGTACCTGTACTGGTGGAAGTAAATATGTGGTACCTGTACAGGTGAAAGTAAATATGTGGTACCTGTACTGGTATAAGTAAATATGTGGTACCTGTACTGGTATAAGTAAATATATGGTACCTGTACAGTTGAAAATAAATATGTGGTATCTGTAATGGTATAAGTAAATATGTGGTACCTGTACTGGTGGAGGTAAATATGTGGTACCTGTACAGTTGAAAATAAATATGTGGTATCTGTAATGGTATAAGTAAATATGTGGTACCTGTACTGGTGGAAGTAAATATGTGGTACCTGTACAGTTGAAAATAAATATGTGGTATCTGTAATGGTATAAGTAAATATGTGGTACCTGTACTGGTGGAAGTAAATATGTGGTACCTGTACAGGTGAAAGTAAATATGTGGTACCTGTACTGGTATAAGTAAATATGTGGTACCTGTACTGGTATAAGTAAATATATGGTACCTGTACAGTTGGAAGTAAATATGTGGTACCTGTACAGGTGGAGGTAAATATGTGGTACCTGTACAGTTGAAAATAAATATGTGGTATCTGTAATGGTATAAGTAAATATGTGGTACCTGTACTGGTGGAGGTAAATATGTGGTACCTGTACAGTTGAAAATAAATATGTGGTATCTGTAATGGTATAAGTAAATATGTGGTACCTGTACTGGTGGAAGTAAATATGTGGTACCTGTACAGGTGAAAGTAAATATGTGGTACCTGTACTGGTATAAGTAAATATGTGGTACCTGTACTGGTATAAGTAAATATATGGTACCTGTACAGTTGGAAGTAAATATGTGGTACCTGTACAGGTGGAGGTAAATATGTGGTACCTGTACAGTTGAAAATAAATATGTGGTATCTGTAATGGTATAAGTAAATATGTGGTACCTGTACTGGTGGAGGTAAATATGTGGTACCTGTACAGTTGAAAATAAATATGTGGTATCTGTAATGGTATAAGTAAATATGTGGTACCTGTACTGGTATAAGTAAATATATGGTACCTGTACAGGTAGAAGTAAATATGTGGTACCTGATACCTGTACAGGTAGAACTAAATAGATAAAGTAATACTTCCGTTCACCAAAAATAATTTAAAATTTGATAGAATCAAGAGAATGAGATCTTCTACCTATTTTAAGACAGGGTCAGCCACTGACCTGCGGTACGGACGGCTATCATGTCCACTTGTTTTGTACCAGTGGTCGACGTCACAGCTAGTCAGCGTGGTGAAGTCGGTTGTCTGCCCGCACACATAACCCGTGCTGTTGTAGGAGTGGAAGAACCAGTGGTCTCCCTGCCTGGTGACGTCATGGGAACACGTCAGTGGGGGCGTGACTTTAAGCACATCATTGTGTACACACAAATCAATGTCTACACTTTTCTAACAGATCATTGTGTACATGTGGTAATGCAACACCAAACTATAGTTCCCATGACTTCATACAACATTTCAAATGTCCTGACGACACATACAATACACAATGTTACATGACTGCGCTAAAATATGATAACGTCTCACTGTCCCACAGTCACACCAACAAAATGTGTTGTTCTCACAATATGAGAAACCGGAAGTAGAGTCAGTTAGCATGAGTTAGGGCTATCACTTCACGTCGCAATACTCACATTATTGACACTTTGGTTGAGTAAAACTCACATCACGTGATCAAGGTCAGCGACTCACCTGTTCAGACACCTGCACTTGGTCATGTTGCCCCTGCAGGTGCAGGGTATGCTGCTGGCTGTGATGATGTGGTTAGAGACTATACTCATGCCTGTTCTAGGGATGTGAAGCGCTACGATGACGTCATTTCCATTGATGTTGACACCAGACTGTTACAACAAGCATGTAGTTAGCATAGTTTGGGTTAGAACAGATGTTGGGTTAGGATGTTAACAAAGATTAGATTTAGAAAGTTAGCAGTGATTGGGTTAGGATGTTAACAAACATTGGTGTAGGACTGGAGACCTGACACATTTACCTCTGTCCCCTCTGAAGTCCAGTGCAAATCTTTGTTGAGCCGATTGAAACGGTTTGCCCCGAGTAGGAAGAAAGTCAGGCTACTGAAAAACACAAGTCCAAAACTGGCCCGTCTGTGGGATCTTGTCAGCTGGACAGAGAAGGTAAAATTAGGTGTAGGGCAGAGAAGGCAACATTAGGTATAGGGCAGAGAAGGCAACATTAGGTGTAGGGCAGAGAAGGCAACATTAGGTGTAGGGCAGAGAAGGCAACATTAGGTGTAGGGCAGAGAAGGCAACATTAGGTGTAGGGCAGAGAAGGCAACATTAGGTGTAGGGCAGAGAAGGCAACATTAGGTGTAGGGCAGAGAAGGCAACATTAGGTGTAGGGCAGAGAAGGCATCATTAGGTGTAGGGCAGAGAAGGCAACATTAGGTGTAGGGCAGAGAAGGCAACATTAGGTGTAGGGCAGAGAAGGTAACATTAGGTGTAGGGCAGAGAAGGCAACATTAGGGACTGGGCAGAGAAGGCAACATTAGGTGTAGGGCAGAGAAGGCAACATTAGGTGTAGGGCAGAGAAGGCAACATTAGGTGTAGGGCAGAGAAGGCAACATTAGGTGTAGGGCAGAGAAGGCAACATTAGGTGTAGGGCAGAGAAGGCAACATTAGGTGTAGGGCAGAGAAGGCAACATTAGGTGTAGGGCAGAGAAGGCAACATTAGGTGTAGGGCAGAGAAGGCAACATTAGGTGTAGGGCAGAGAAGGCAACATTAGGTGTAGGGCAGAGAAGGCAACATTAGGTGTAGGGCAGAGAAGGCAACATTAGGTGTAGGGCAGAGAAGGCAACATTAGGTGTAGGGCAGAGAAGGTAACATTAAGTGTAGGGCAGAAAAGGCAACATTAGGGACTGGGCAGAGAAGGCAACATTAGGTATAGGGCAGAGAAGGCAACATTAGGTGTAGGGCAGAGAAGCTAACATTAGGGGCTGGGCAGAAAATGAAACATTAGGTGTAGGGGTTGGGAGAGAGTACTTATATTCGCTTGAACTAGAGAAAGCAACAGTTGCTCAAGTTACAATAAATTATTGTTGATTAAATAACAGGTATAATGATAATGATTAAATAAACTAATTAAAAAGCTATTGTGTGGAAAACAATTAAAGCAGAGCAATTACCATCAGCTGCATCTTAGGTGAAACTTTGACTGCTGGGACGTTGGTTGTGGTGGATGGTAGCTCCTAGCTAAACTTTGCTGCAGTCGATGGTAGCTCCTAACAAAACTTTGCTGATGTAGATGGTAGCTCTTAGCTAAACTTTGCTGATGTAGATGGTAACTCCTAGCTAAACTTTGCTTTAGTAGATTTTAGCTCCTAGTTCAACTTTGCTGTAGTGGATTGTAGCTCCTAACAAAAATTTGCTGATGTAAATGGTAGCTCCAATAAAAAACTTTGCTGATGTAGATTGTAGCTCCTAGCTAAACTTTGCTGAAGTAGATGTTAACTCCTAGTTCAACTTTGCTGATGTAGATGTTAACTCCTAGTCCAACTTTGCTGATGTAGATGTTAGCTCCTAGTTCAACTTTGCTGATGTAGATGTTAGCTCCTAGTTCAACTTTGCTGATGTAGATGTTAGCTCCTAGTTCAACTTTGCTGATGTAGATTGTAGCTCCTATTAAAACTTTGCTGATGTAGATTGTAGCTCCTAGTTCAACTTTGCTGATGTAGATTGTAGCTTCTGTTACTTGTATACCGTCTAAAACATTATCTGACTATGGGCCACAATTCAAAAATGATTTTAAAGTTGGGCTGTCTCTAGTTAATAAAATAATCCTGCAATGGATTTCTGATGAAATAATCTCCACCCCCCCCCCCCCCCTACACCCATCCCCTGACCGATACTTTCCTCTGTTAAAAATTTAACTAGGTTAAAAAAAAGCAGATCAATATGGTCCGAGTTTTTATTTAACTGCGTTAAAATACGATGTTTAATGATGGCTATTTTACGGTACACATCTAGACTCTTGATTACCTTGAGATGTAATGGCGACTACTGGAAATCAATACGTCAAATATTTTTAATGTTGTTTTTTTATAGGCAAGACCGAAGTAGATTAAAGAAATAGCAAGTACGCGCATGCATGCTCTAGTCGCGTGTCCAGCTATAAAACCAATCAACGCCAATTAGATGTAGCCTGGTGTGCCAACTTTAGTTAGGTGTCTATGACGTAACATCTGAGGTGGCTATGACGTAAGATAATAAAGGTGTGGGCTGATGCAGCTTAAATCTGATGAAATTTGTTTCAATTCTGATGTAAGCCTCAAGCTGAATTGTTCAAATAGGTTTCATTTGTTTACCATTGTTTTAAAAACGTTTAGAGCTTCTTCAGTGTGATTGTAATTTTAAAATGTCCTATTGTCCTAAACTCTATAAAATGTCCTATTATCCTACACTCTATAAAATGTTTCGGGGACAACTCAAGAAAATATTCTGGTCACATTCACGTGATGAATGATTGGATAAATTCACGTTGATAAGACATTTTCCGGCTCAAGTAAAACTATTTTATGGGCACAGTTTGTCTGCTAAGAAAGACTTTATGGGTACAGTGCCTAGTAAAGAGTGACTTTATGGGCACAGTTTGTCTGCTAAGAAAGACTTTATGGGTACATTTTGTCTGAATAAGAGCACAGCTTTAGTCTGTCGAGTAGCCCTAGAAGGATCCTGACAGTCATGTAGGTAAACATTTGACAGGAAATGTACACATTACGTAAACATAAATAAACACACTAAGGAAATGCTGACCAATTGCAAAAAAAAATGAATAGTGAAGTAGACCTATAGCTGTATGTTTTTTATAACCTTGATGAAAGATTGTATAACAATACTGCGATCTCATTCATACATGATTGTATAAAGCACATTTTCTACTAAAAATTTAATAAGACATTGATCTCATAAGTATGTAAAAAAAAACCTTTAAATAATTTTTTTAATCAAATGCTATCAATATACCTCGATTATCGACCCGCATCGTGTATTATAGCGGGTGTTAAACGTCTGTCAAAAAGTGTTGAAAACGTTAAATTGGCGATTGATTAGCTACATGCAGTTTTAACAATGCGAAGTTAGGCGAGGGAAAACGTGTGTGAGTTTTTCTTCGCTGATTTCAGCTGACAGTTCGAGAACTGTTGGATGAACTGCTTGTAAACTTTAGCTGGAAATATTCTCTCTGCTTAACTATATTTGATGAGATTAAAAAAGACAACTATTGCTTAAATTCCTCCCCGTGTCATGTTTTATAAATCAGGGCGATTCGAATATACCGTGTCACTAGCCCAATGTGTGTGCTGCATCATGGGACTGTATGCAAATGATGCACACATGCATATGCATGAGGGCACGTGAAGGAGGTGTAGCTGGATTAAACGTGCTGGACACATTGATCAAAATGGACATTGGTCTTGCAGGTGAGAAATTTGAGTTGTCGATGTAAGATTTGTTTTCTCTGTTTCAAAAACTTTGAGTTGTTTAAGATTTGTTTTCACTTTAAAAAAAAAATTGAGTTGTCGTTGTAAGATTTGTTTCATGTGTTTCAAAAAATGTGTTTTCAAATGTAGATGTAGAATATATCTACTAGCATAATAACGTGCCCCGCCGCTATTAATTTCGTTAAACGTTTTGGATGGATGGACGCCAGAGTCCTGAATCTGAACTCAACACTTTCGGGTCTGCAGTCGAGCGCTCATCCACCTCGTCCCACAGAGTTAACTTATTACCTCAACAAATGAAATTTTTTTTTTAACCATTTCTCCGTTTGTTGGCTGCCAACCAAAAAAATTTTTTTTTACAATTATCTCTATAATTTACAATGACAGCCCCCTTTACTGCCCCCACCCCCCCCCCAATTACCCAACCATCAGACCCAACTGGCCCTATAGACCCCAGCCTGTGGACGTGAACCCGTGTATACCGTGTGTATCTCTAGCACCAATTGATCTGGTTTTACAGTGAGCAACAAGATGAACTACTCAGAGATCGAGCATGGACCTATGGCCGTCTACTGCCGCGGGCTCAAGAAAAGTGTGGGCTTTGGCAAGAGCAAGCTACATGTCCTGTGTGGCCTCAATATGTCGGTGCCGCATGGCTCCATGTAAGTCTGAAGGTGGGGGGGGGGCTGCTAATATGTCGGTGCCGCATGGCTCCATGTAAGTCTGAAGGTGGGGGGGGGGCTGCTAATATGTCAGTGTTATGTTATTCAGGATGGGGGTAATGGCTTTAATTGTAGCTGACTCGATTTATAATGTGAAAAATATCAGCCTATATGCTTTAATTAATTGACACAGACAAAATGTCTTGTATTAACTTGACCAACACAAAACTGTCTTGAACTAACTTGTCCAAGACAAAAAGACAAAATGTCTGGTATTGACCTTGACATGACCTTGACCACAGATACGGCCTGCTTGGTGCCAGCGGATGTGGGAAGACAACTCTCCTCAAGTGTATCATAGGACGGCTCAAGCTCAACGGTGGCCTCATTCTGACGCTAGGGAAGGAGCCGGGGTCAATAGGTCATGGTGTCCCGGGGCGGAGGGTAGGGTACATGCCACAGGTCAGTCAATGTTAGAGTTGTTTTTTTTTTAAAATCACAACTTAATTTTTTCTCTTGAGACCCCGTTTATTCATGATATTACAATGTATGTGTATGTGAATGTTTAGACGGATATTTTGTTAAGGAAATATTTTTCCCAACCAGGAACTCGCTGTTTTTATGAACTTCACCATAGCAGAGACGTTTTATTTTTTTGGCCGCTTGCACGGGATGAAGAAATCAGCCATTGAGTCACGGACCAATTTCTTGATCGGGTTCTTAAACCTGCCTGAACACGACCGTCGCATTGGCTGGCTCAGGTGAGTTTACATCTTGCTCAGGTAAGTTTACGTCTTGCTCAGGTGAGTTTACGTCTTGCTCAGGTGAGTTTACGTCTTGCTCAGGTGAGTTTACGTCTTGCTCAGGTGAGTTTACGTCTTGCTCAGGTGAGTTTACGTCTTGCTCAGGTAAGTTTACGTCTTGCTCAGGTGGGTATACGTCTTGCTCAGGTGAGTTTACGTCTTGCTCAGGTGGGTTTACGTCTTGCTCAGGTGAGTTTACGTCTTGCTCAGGTGAGTTTACGCCTAGCTCAGGTGAGTTTACGTCTTGCTCAGGTAAGTTTACGTGTCTTGTTAAACCCACCTGAACAGGTCACCCATCTCTTGTTAAACCCATCTGAACAGGTCACCCATTCTTGTTAAACCCACCTGAACAGGTCACCAATCTCTTGTTTAACCCACCTGAACAGGTCACCCATCTCTTGTTAAACCCACCTAAACAGGTCACCCATCTCTTGTTAAACCCACCTGAACAGGTCACCCATCTCTTGTTAAACTCACCTGAACAGGTCACCCATCCCTTGTTAAACCCACCTGAACAGGTCACCCGTCTCTTGTTAAACCCACCTGAACAGGTCACCCATCCCTTGTTAAACCCACCTGAACAGGTCACCCGTCTCTTGTTAAACCCACCTGAACAGGTCACCCGTCTCTTGTTAAACCCACCTGAACAGGTCACCCATCTCTTGTTAAACTCACCTGAACAGGTCACCCATCTCTTGTTAAACCCACCTGAACAGGTCACCCATCCCTTGTTAAACCCACCTGTATTGTCTACAGTGGAGGCCAACAAAGACGAGTCTCACTGGCCGCCGCCCTACTCCAGGAACCAGAACTCTTGATTCTTGACGAGCCCACAGTGGGGGTGGATCCAGTGCTGAGGGAGAGGTGACGCACATTTCACATTTCTAAATAGTATCTAGAGATAACTAATCTACTGATCGTCACTCCCTTGTGTTATCGCCATATATATATATATATATAACTGGTATTTTTTTCCAGAATCTGGGGACACTTGTTTGAAATCGCCAAGAGCAGTTTAAAAACTACAATAATCATCACGACACATTACATAGAGGAGGCAGCCGAAGCAGACAGGGTAGGTGGTAAATGCTTAGCGTTGTTCAGTCTTAACCCTCGTTCATTGGGTATGGCTCAGTCTTAGTCTTAGGGTTAACGTTGGCTCGTGGTTCATATATGGTCTCTGGGATAGAGGTCCTATCATCGTGAAGGTAACCGTTAAAAGGATGCCTGGAAATGTGCAGTCAACGTTTGGAGGTTGCTGGACATAAAAAGCGTGTTCTAACGTGTTTTGTTTTCACGTTTATGTTTGAAGATGGCCTTTACATGTAGTTGTGTCCTATCTACAGGTTGGTCTAATGAGAGGTGGGCGGCTGTTGGCAGAAGATAAACCGGAAGTGCTAATGACCAAATATGACCTGCTGGTAACACATTATTTACTCTTTCGTATTTTGTAACAGCACGTCTGTGATTTGTATTGTTAGTCTGTGAAGTTGGTTGGAATTTTCAGCTTATTTAACATGAATGCTTCTTATGAATGCTCGTTTCTGGCGCTAATGAGTGATCTTTCTGTGTTATCTTTATGTCTGATCTTTATGTCTGATCTTTATGTCTGATCTTTATGTCTGATCTTTCTGTCTGATCTTTCTGTCTGATCTTTCTGTCTGATCTTTATGTCTGATCTTTATGTCTGATCTTTATGTCTGATCTTTATGTCTGATCTTTATGTCTGATCTTTATGTCTGATGTTGAAACCTTTGTTTGACCTTGGCCAGAGTCTGGAGGCTGTGTTCCTACACCTATGTCACCGTGACCGCTTGCCTAACAACGACGACAGTGAGTTGCTTCCCTCTGTAACAGAAGCTTTACCCTACCAACACGACCAGGTAAACTATACGTTAGCAGGTAGACTATACGTTAGCAGGTAGACTATACGTTAGCAGGTAGACTATACGTTAGCAGATAGACTATACGTTAGCAGGTAGATTATACGTTAGCAGGTAGACTATACGTTAGCAGGTAGACTATACGTTAGCAGGTAAACTAGACGTTAGCAGGTAGACTATACGTTAGCAGGTAAACTATACGTTAGCAGATAGACTATACGTTAGCAGGTAGATTATACGTTAGCAGGTAGACTATACGTTAGCAGGTAAACTATACGTTAGCAGGTAGATTATACGTTAGCAGGTAGATTATACGTTAGCAGGTAAACTATACGTTAGCAGGTAGACTATACGTTAGCAGGTAGACTATACGTTAGCAGATAGACTAAAGTTTAGCAGGTAGACTATACGTTAGCAGGTAGACTATACGTTAGCAGGTAAACTAGACGTTAGCAGGTAGACTATACGTTAGCAGGTAGACTATACGTTAGCAGGTAAACTATACGTTAGCAGGTAGATTATACGTTAGCAGGTAGATTATACGTTAGCAGGTAAACTATACGTTAGCAGGTAGACTATACGTTAGCAGGTAGATTATACGTTAGCAGGTAAACTATACGTTAGCAGGTAGACTATACGTTAGCAGGTAAACTAGACGTTAGCAGGTAGACTATACGTTAGCAGGTAGACTATACGTTAGCAGGTAAACTATACGTTAGCAGGTAGATTATACGTTAGCAGGTAGATTATACGTTAGCAGGTAAACTATACGTTAGCAGGTAGACTATACGTTAGCAGGTAGATTATACGTTAGCAGGTAAACTATACGTTAGCAGGTAGACTATACGTTAGCAGGTAAACTAGACGTTAGCAGGTAGACTATACGTTAGCAGGTAAACTATACGTTAGCAGATAGACTATACGTTAGCAGGTAGATTATACGTTAGCAGGTAGACTATACGTTAGCAGGTAAACTATACGTTAGCAGGTAGATTATACGTTAGCAGGTAGATTATACGTTAGCAGGTAAACTATACGTTAGCAGGTAAACTATACGTTAGCAGGTAGACTATACGTTAGCAGGTAGACTATACGTTAGCAGATAGACTAAAGTTTAGCAGGTAGACTATACGTTAGCAGGTAGACTATACGTTAGCAGGTAAACTAGACGTTAGCAGGTAGACTATACGTTAGCAGGTAGACTATACGTTAGCAGGTAAACTATACGTTAGCAGGTAGATTATACGTTAGCAGGTAGATTATACGTTAGCAGGTAAACTATACGTTAGCAGGTAGACTATACGTTAGCAGGTAAACTAGACGTTAGCAGGTAGATTATACGTTAGCAGGTAAACTATACGTTAGCAGGTAGATTATACGTTAGCAGGTAAACTAGACGTTAGCAGGAAGACTATACGTTAGCAGGTAGACTATACGTTAGCAGATAGACTAAAGTTTAGCAGGTAAAATATACGTTAGCAGGTAGACTATACATCAGCAGATAGACTAAACTTTAGCAGGTAAAATATACAGATAATCTGCATGTGTCTTTCTGCATGTTTCAACATGATCCTTACGATGAAATATTTGTTGACAGGAAGCGGAAGCTCTGTACAGAAAGTACCCAGATGAAACGAATGACCTTCACCTTCTCGGTGCCAGACGAAAAAGGACGGATTATGGGACCGTTGTTGCTGGTAATGTAGAGCGGGTTCTGGTTGTGAGGTTTCTGGTATCGTTGAATGGGGCTTCAAGTTGTGCACAGTTAAGCCTGTGTGCAGTGAGCTTCTGTGGGTCTTTCCTGTGTCTTTCCAGGGTCTTTCCTGGGTCTTTCCTGGGCTTCTGGTAGGGCGTGGAAGGGTTTTATGAAGTTTCGGACTTTCGGTGGTAGTGTATTGAGATTTCGGGCTGTTTTAGACGGGATTAGTTGGACTTCTAGCGATGAGTAGTGATCAGTGGGGCTTCTTGTAGTGAGCAGTGGGGCTTCTCGTAGTGAGCAGTGGGGCTTCTTGTAGTGAGCAGTGGGGCTTCTTGTAGTGAGCAGTGGGGCTTCTGAAGTGTTCCATTACCTTCTACCTCTCGCCTACAAGATGTGTGTCACCACGTGATATGGTTCCATCCACCCAGGTCAGAAGACGTCGACCAGCAGAATGGTAACAGCCAAGTCCCTCCTACCCAGCAAGAAAAACATCAGTGCCGTGGCCATCAAGAACCTCATCTCTATGAAAAGAAACCTGGTGTAAGGATAAGTCGTTTTTTTGTGTCGTTTTAGGGACCTTGACCTTTACAAGTAAACTTGGCGAGGGTGGATTAGAACATTTGAATGTTATGGCAGGCCTTGGAGCTAGAAATATGTGCTAAAAGAGATCTGTTCATGTCTTTATATGTTTTTTAAATATACTAACTTACTTAACACAGTTGTGAGGACATACGTTCACTGATTTTTTAAATGCTCATAAATTTCTTAGACTTTTATTGTCACTTTCTTATACTTTTATCTTCATCTTTCATATACTTTTATCGTCCTCTTTCTTAGACTTTAATCGTCATTTTTCTTAGACTTTTATCGTCATCTTTCTTATACTTTTATCGTCCTCTTTCTTATATATTTATCGTCCTCTTTTTTATACTTTTATCATCCTCTTTCTTAGACTTTTATCGTCATCTTTCTTATACTTTTATCGTCCTCTTTCTTATACTTTTATCGTCATCTTTCTTATACTTTTATCGTCCTTTTTCTTATACTTTTATCGTCCTCTTTCTTATACTTTTATCGTCCTTTTTGTTATACTTTTATTGTCCTCTTTCTAATACTTTTATCGTCCTCTTTCTTATACTTTTATCGTCATCTTTTTTATACTTTTATCGTCCTTTTTGTTATACTTTTATTGTCCTCTTTCTAATACTTTTATCGTCCTCTTTCTTATACTTTTATCGTCATCTTTTTTATACTTTTATCGTCCTTTTTGTTACACTTTTATCGTCGTATTTCTCAGACTTTTGTCCTTTGAGTTCATGGTGCCGGTAGTTCAAATTATTTTGTTCTGTGTCTGCATTGGAGCCGAGCCCAGAGACCTGCGGGTCAGCATTTGTAACGAGGACATCGATGATCTGGGGAGTTTATTTCTTGGTTTTCTAAACAACAAAACTATAACCAAGGTGAGCACTTTTGGTTTTCTAAACAACAAAACTATAACCAAGGTGAGGACTTTTGGTTTTCTAAACAACAAAACTATAACCAAGGTAAGGACTTTTGGTTTTCTAAACAACAAAACTATAACCAAGGTAAGGACTTTTGGTTTTCTAAACAACAAAACTATAACCAAGGTGAGGACTTTTGGTTTTCTAAACAACAAAACTATAACCAAGGTGAGGACTTTTGGTTTTCTAAACAACAAAACTATAACCAAGGTGAGGACTTTTGGTTTTCTAAACAACAAAACTATAACCAAGGTGAGGACGTTTGGTTTTCTAAACAACAAAACTATAACCAAGGTTAGGACTTTTGGTTTTCTAAACAACAAAACTATAACCAAGGTAAGGACTTTTGGTTTTCTAAACAACAAAACTATAACCAAGGTAAGGACTTTTGGTTTTCTAAACAACAAAACTATAACCAAGGTGAGGACTTTTGGTTTTCTAAACAACAAAACTATAACCAAGGTGAGGACGTTTGGTTTTCTAAACAACAAAACTATAACCAAGGTGAGGACGTTTGGTTTTCTAAACAACAAAACTATAACCAAGGTAAGGACTTTTGGTTTTCTAAACAACAAAACTATAACCAAGGTGAGGACTTTTGGTTTTCTAAACAACAAAACTATAACCAAGGTGAGGACTTTTGGTTTTCTAAACAACAAAACTATAACCAAGGTAAGGACTTTTGGTTTTCTAAACAACAAAACTATAACCAAGGTAAGGACTTTTGGTTTTCTAAACAACAAAACTATAACCAAGGTGAGGACTTTTGGTTTTCTAAACAACAAAACTATAACCAAGGTGAGGACTTTTGGTTTTCTAAACAACAAAACTATAACCAAGGTAAGGACTTTTGGTTTTCTAAACAACAAAACTATAACCAAGGTAAGGACTTTTGGTTTTCTAAACAACAAAACTATAACCAAGGTGAGGACTTTTGGTTTTCTAAACAACAAAACTATAACCAAGGTAAGGACTTTTGGTTTTCTAAACAACAAAACTATAACCAAGGTGAGGACTTTTGGTTTTCTAAACAACAAAACTATAACCAAGGTGAGGACTTTTGGTTTTCTAAACAACAAAACTATAACCAAGGTGAGGACTTTTGGTTTTCTAAACAACAAAACTATAACCAAGGTAAGGACTTTTGGTTTTCTAAACAACAAAACTATAACCAAGGTAAGGACTTTTGGTTTTCTAAACAACAAAACTATAACCAAGGTGAGGACTTTTGGTTTTCTAAACAACAAAACTATAACCAAGGTAAGGACTTTTGGTTTTCTAAACAACAAAACTATAACCAAGGTGAGGACTTTTGGTTTTCTAAACAACAAAACTATAACCAAGGTGAGGACTTTTGGTTTTCTAAACAACAAAACTATAACCAAGGTAAGGACTTTTGGTTTTCTAAACAACAAAACTATAACCAAGGTAAGGACTTTTGGTTTTCTAAACAACAAAACTATAACCAAGGTGAGGACTTTTGGTTTTCTAAACAACAAAACTATAACCAAGGTGAGGACTTTTGGTTTTCTAAACAACAAAACTATAACCAAGGTGAGGACTTTTGGTTTTCTAAACAACAAAACTATAACCAAGGTAAGGACTTTTGGTTTTCTAAACAACAAAACTATAACCAAGGTGAGGACTTTTGGTTTTCTAAACAACAAAACTATAACCAAGGTAAGGACTTTTGGTTTTCTAAACAACAAAACTATAGCCAAGGTGAGGACTTTCTTCATCAGCCTCATTTAAGCTGAATGAAGCTTGTTTAGAATATCAGTTGTATTCAGCACTAAGATATGTAGGTAAAAACTCATTTTTTGCATCATTTGTTAACATATTTTATGAACTCTACAGCTTAATGCAACATTTGTGAACACAACTTAAGAGCTCTATATATTTAATTAGCGTTTTTGACTTAGAATGCTGTATCCCACACGTTAGAACTAGCCAATGGTCTGAATGTACAACACAACCTGCTGTATCCCATACGTTAGAACTAGCCTATGAATGTACAACACAACCTGCTGTATCCCACACGTTAGAACTAGCCTATGAATGTACAACACAACCTGCTGTATCCCACACGTTAGAACTAGCCTATGAATGTACAACACAACCTGCTGTATCCCACACGATAGAACTAGCCAATGGTCTGAATGTACAACACAACCTGCTGTATCCCACAAACATTAGAAGTAGCCTATGAATGTACAACACAACCTGCTGTATCCCACACGATAGAACTAGCCAATGGTCTGAATGTACAACACAACCTGCTGTATCCCACACGATAGAACTAGCCAATGGTCTGAATGTACAACACAACCTGCTGTATCCCACACGATAGAACTAGCCTATGAATGTACAACACAACCTGCTGTATCCCACACGTTAGAACTAGCCAATGGTCTGAATGTACAACACAACCTGCTGTATCCCACACGATAGAACTAGCCTATGAATGTACAACACAACCTGCTGTATCCCACACGATAGAACTAGCCAATGGTCTGAATGTACAACACAACCTGCTGTATCCCACAAACATTAGAAGTAGCCTATGAATGTACAACACAACCTGCTGTATCCCACACGATAGAACTAGCCAATGGTCTGAATGTACAACACAACCTGCTGTATCCCACACGATAGAACTAGCCAATGGTCTGAATGTACAACACAACCTGCTGTATCCCACACGATAGAACTAGCCTATGAATGTACAACACAACCTGCTGTATCCCACACGTTAGAACTAGCCAATGGTCTGAATGTACAACACAACCTGCTGTATCCCACACGATAGAACTAGCCTATGAATGTACAACACAACCTGCTGTATCCCACACGATAGAACTAGCCAATGGTCTGAATGTACAACACAACCTGCTGTATCCCACACATTAGAACTAGCTTATGGATGTACAACTCAACCTGCTGTATCCCCACACATTAGAACTAGCCAATGGTCTGAATGTACAACACAACCTGCTGTATCCCACACATTAGAACTAGCTTATGGATGTACAACACAACCTGCTGTATCCCCACACATTAGAACTAGCCAATGGTCTGAATGTACAACACAACCTGCTGTATCACCACACATTAGAACTAGCCAATGGTCTGAATGTACAACACAACCTGCTTTATCCCACACATTAGATCTAGCCTATGGTCCACACAATAGAACTAGCCTATGGTCTGAAAGTCTCAACCTGCTCTGCTGTATCCCCAGGTGATGAGGGACGACATTGACTCGGCCGTTATGGACGTCAAGATGGGCAACAGCTGGTCAGCAATGCACATCAAGCAAAATTTTTCGCTGGATTTGATCACTAGGTGGGATGGCATTGTGGCAGTTGATCATTTTCTTTCGGGGATGCTTATCCACCCCCCCCCCCCCTCCCTGGACACAATAGAAACATATTAGTTGTACAGAAACTATATACTTTAACCAATGTCCGCCCTACCCCCACGGAGAAAATGTTTGAAAGACAGCTGTGGATGCCATGACAGTGCTAAGTGCTGTAACTGTGACAGTGCTAAGTGCTGTAAATGTGACAGTGCTAAGTGCTATAAATGTGACATTGCTAAGTGCTGTACACGTGACATTGCTAAGTGCTGTAACTGTGATACTGTAAAGGCTGTCAGTGTCAATATTGTAAGAACTGTCAATGTTTAGTCCACCATGTATTGGCCAAACTCCGTTTGTCTACGGGCCGTTGAGAGACTTTGTTCCACCCCCAGGTACGATGAAGGTCTACACGCCAGCAACCAGACGATAGATGGCAGCACTGTCTGGCTCTACATGGACATGTCCAGTAAGTCGCCTGCTGCTGCTGCTTGTTATATGCACATATTGAAGTTGACATTAATAGATCAATACATTATCTTTACAAACTATTCAACGCTAACATTAATAGATCAATACATTATCTATACAAACTATTTAACGCTAACATTGATAGATCAACAGATTATCTTACAAACTATTTAACGCTAACATTGATAGATCAATAAATTATCTTTACAAACTATTTCACTAACATTGATAGATCAATAAATTATCTTTACAAACTATTTAACGCTAACATTGATAGATCAATAAATTATCTTTACAAACTATTTAACGCTAACATTGATAGATCAATAAATTATCTTTACAAACTATTTAACGCTAACATTGATAGATCAATAAATTATCTTTACAAACTATTTAACGCTAACATTGATAGGTCAATAGATTGCACAAACTATTAACGCTAACTTTGATAGATCAACAAATTGCCTTTACAAACTATTTAACGCTAACATTGATAGATTAATAAATTACGTAAACAAACTATTTAACGCTAACATTGATAGATCAATAGATTGCACAAACTATTAACGCTAACTTTGATAGATCAACAAATTGCCTTTACAAACTATTTAACGCTAACATTGATAGATTAATAAATTACGTAAACAAACTATTTAACACTAACAATGATAGATCAATAAATTATCTTAACAAACTATTTAACGCTAACATTGATAGATCAACAGATTATCTACACAAACTATTTAACGCTAACATTGATAGATCAACAGATTGCCTTCACCATACAATCCAGGGTCATGCTGGCCTTCAGGGATTTCTCGAGGATGCTTCTAGAATCTTTTGGGTACAACCCCAGCATCGCTAGCATACCTGTTGGGGTAAGGGACCACTGACCAGCACTCTATGAGAACCTCAGACAGTAGAGACGCTCTGCTCCACCTGGTCTATTCCAGACCTTACCGTTAGACAAGTAGACATATAGAAATAGACGTACATACATACATACACACATATACGAACATAGGCTTGTATTTCCCCAGCTTGCCAAACCTGTGTACGGTTCATTTAGCACAAGTTTCACAGATTTCATGGCTATGGGGCTGATAGTCAGGTATTACACTTCAACCATTTATCTGGTCTACGGGTAACTTTTACATTTAGACAGCCACAAGCAATTGTCTTTGGGTAACTTTTTGATTTAGACAGCCACAAGCAATTGTCTAGTGGATCAAATTTGATCAACTTTTACATTTAGACAGCCACAAGCAATTGTCTTTGGGTAACTTTTTGATTTAGACAGCCACAAGCAATTGTCTAGTGGATCAAATTTGATCAACTTTTTGATTTAGACAGCCACAAGCAATTGTCTAGTGGATCAAATTTGATCAACTTTTTGATTTAGACAGCCACAAGCAATTGTCTAGTGGATCAAATTTGATCAACTTTTTGATTTAGACAGCCACAAGCAATTGTCTAGTGGATCAAATTTGAGCAACTTTTTTATTTAGACAGCCACAAGCAATTGTCTAGTGGATCAAATTTGATCAACTTTTTGATTTAGACAGCCACAAGCAATTGTCTAGTGGATCAAATTTGATCAACTTTTTGATTTAGACAGCCACAAGCAATTGTCTAGTGGATCAAATTTGATCAACTTTTTGATTTAGACAGCCACAAGCAATTGTCTAGTGGATCAAATTTGAGCAACTTTTTGATTTAGACAGCCACAAGCAATTGTCTAGTGGATCAAATTTGATCAACTTTTTGATTTAGACAGCCACAAGCAATTGTCTAGTGGATCAAATTTGATCAACTTTTTGATTTAGACAGCCACAAGCAATTGTCTAGTGGATCAAATTTGATCAACTTTTTGATTTAGACAGCCACAAGCAATTGTCTAGTGGATCAAATTTGATCAACTTTTTGATTTAGACAGCCACAAGCAATTGTCTAGTGGATCAAATTTGATCAACTTTTTGATTTAGACAGCCACAAGCAATTGTCTAGTGGATCAAATTTGATCAACTTTTTGATTTAGACAGCCACAAGCAATTGTCTAGTGGATCAAATTTGATCAACATTTTGATTTAGACAGCCACAAGCAATTGTCTAGTGGATCAAATTTGATCAACTTTTTGATTTAGACAGCCACAAACAATGGTCTAGCGGATCAAATTTGATCAACTTTTTGATTTAGACAGCCACAAGCAATTGTCTAGTGGATCAAATTTGATCAACTTTTTGATTTAGACAGCCACAAACAATGGTCTAGTGGATCAAATTTGATCAACTTTTTGATTTAGACAGCCACAAGCAATTGTCTAGTGGATCAAATTTGATCAACTTTTTGATTTAGACAGCCACAAACAATGGTCTAGTGGATCAAATTTGATCAACTTTTTGATTTAGACAGCCACAAACAATGGTCTAGCGGATCAAATTTGATCAACTTTTTGATTTAGACAGCCACAAGCAATGGTCTAGTTGATCAAATTTGAGCAACTTTTTGATTTAGACAGCCACAAACAATGGTCTAGTGGATCAAATTTGATCAACTTTTTGATTTAGACAGCCACAAGCAATGGTCTAGCGGATCAAATTTGATCAACTTTTTTATTTAGACAGCCACAAACAATTGTCTAGTGGATCAAATTTGATCAACTTTTTGATTTAGACAGCCACAAGCAATTGTCTAGCGGATCAAATTTGATCAACTTTTACATTTAGACAGCCACAAGCAATTGTCTAGTGGATCAAATTTGATCAACTTTTACATTTAGACAGCCACAAGCAATTGTCTAGCGGATCAACTTTGATCAACTTTTACATTTAGACAGCCACAAGCAATTGTCTAGCGGATCAAATTTGATCAACTTTTACATTTAGACAGCCACAAGCAATTGTCTAGCGGATCAAATTTGATCAACTTTTACATTTAGACAGCCACAAGCAATTGTCTAGCGGATCAAATTTGATCAACTTTTACATTTAGACAGCCACAAGCAATTGTCTAGTGGATCAAATTTGATCAACTTTTACATTTTGACAGCCACAAGCAATTGTCTAGTGGATCAAATTTGATCAACTTTTACATTTAGACAGCCACAAGCAATTGTCTAGCGGATCAAATTTGATCAACTTTTACATTTAGACAGCCACAAGCAATTGTCTAGCGGATCAAATTTGATCAACTTTTACATTTAGACAGCCACAAGCAATTGTCTAGCGGATCAAATTTGATCAACTTTTACATTTAGACAGCCACAAGCAATTGTCTAGCGGATCAAATTTGATCAACTTTTACATTTAGACAGCCACAAGCAATTGTCTAGTGGATCAAATTTTATCAACTTTTACATTTAGACAGCCACAAGCAATTGTCTAGTGGATCAAATTTTATCAACTTTTTTTTCAGTGCTACATTTTTCCTGGCTTGTGGCCTCACAACGCTGGTCTTTGTTCTGGAACGAAAGGAAGGTTTGATGGAGCGTATGATTGTGGCAGGTAGGTCTTGATGGAGCGTATGATTGTGGCAGGTAAGTCTTGGTGGAGCGTATGATTGTGGCAGGTATTCTTTGTGGAGCGTATGATTGTGGCAGGTAGGTCTTGGTGGAGTGTATGATTGTGGAAGGTAAGTCTTGGTGGAGCGTATGATTGTGGCAGGTAGGTCTTGGTGGAGTGTATGATTGTGGCAGGTAGGTCTTGGTGGAGTGTATGATTGTGGCAGGTAGGTCTTGGTGGAGTGTATGATTGTGGCAGGTATGTCTTGGTGGAGTGTATGATTGTGGCAGGTAGGTCTTGGTGGAGGTGGGTTTGGTGAAGCGTATGATGGGGCAGGAGGGTTAGATGGCGCTTATGATTGTAGCGTGTAGTTCTATGTGTAGAAACTTGATTTAGCCTACTACTGCTGCTATTGCTAATATGAAGAATGTACTCTAATGACGCCTCTTTCTACTTCAGGCGTTGCACCCATCGAGATCATGATATCCCATGTACTGACACAGCTACTTGTGATGTTTGGACAAGTTTTGCTCATGTTCGCCATTGCTCTCTTGGTCTTTAATGTGAGAACCTTTACCATCATTTCTCTACATCTTTAGGCCGTGATGTTGCTGTAAGAATTTAACTATGCAAACACGATTTGTGACGTTTGTGAGATAACTACACTACCACAGCAGTGATTCACATAAAGGGATGAAAGTGTAAACAATTAATGTGGGAAACACGGTCGGGGTATGAGATCCTTTAATCATGGACGCCATCATCATGGAATTAACTTCGTATCCTCAGCCCCCCCCCCCTCCACCCTACCCACTCAATGGAATCTATTTTGGTTTCAGATGACGCATTTTGGGAATATATTCTGCGCCATTAGTCTGGTCATACTGCAAGGTCTGTGTGGCATGACTTTAGGTAAGTCAAGATCTGTTGACATGACTTTAGGTAAGTCAAGATCTGTTGACATGACTTTAGATAAGTCAAGGTCTGTGTGGTATGGCTTTAGGTAAGTCATGATCTGTTGACATGACTTTAGGTAACTCAAGGTCTGTGTGGTATGGCTTTAGGTAAGTCAAGATCTGTGTGGCATGACTTTAGATAAGTCAAGATCTGTTGACATGACTTTAGGTAAGTCAACGTCTATGTGGCATGACTAAGTCAAATACTGTGTGGCGTGACTAAGTCATGGTTTATGGTTTCCATTTGATTCCTAATCTGGCTCTGTGATTGATGCTGACAATATTCCCACTGCCGCCAGTTTCACCAAGCAATGTTTACTTTCAGGCATGGTTATCTCCGCCTGTTGTACGTCAGAAAACACGGCCATTCAAGCAACGTTGGGCATTATGTACCCGTCTTTATTTCTTAGTGGTGAGTCAATGGAGCGAACACATAAACTGAGAGAAACACACCACACTCCACATAAACAGAGACAAACACCACACATTCCACATAAACAGACACACACCACACATTCCACATAAACAGAGCGAGACACACACCACACATTCCATATAAACAGCGAGACACACACGACACAATCCACATAAACAGAGCGAGACACACACCACACATTCCATATAAACAGCGAGACACACACGACACAATCCACATAAACAGAGAGACACACACCACACATTCCACATAAACAGAGCGAGACACACACCACACATTCCACATAAACAGAGACACACACCACACATTCCATATAAACAGCGAGACACACACCACACATTCCATATAAACAGCGAGGCACACACCACACATTCCACATAAACAGCGAGACACACACCACACATTCCATATAAACAGAGACACACAACACACATTCCACATAACAGAGCGAGACACACACCACACATTCCACATAAACAGAGCGAGACACACAACACACATTCCACATAAACAGAGACACACAACACACATTCCACATAAACAGAGCGAGACACACACCACACATTCCACATAAACAGAGCGAGACACACAACACACATTCCACATAAACAGAGACACAAAACACACATTCCACATAAACAGCGAGACACACACCACACATTCCACATAAACAGAACGAGACACACAACACACATTCCACATAAACAGAGACACACAACACACATTCCACATAAACAGAGACACACAACACACATTCCACATAAACAGAGCGAGACACACACCACACATTCCATATAAACAGCGAGACACACACCACACATTCCATATAAACAGAGCGAGACACACAACACACATTCCACATAAACAGAGCGAGACACACACCACACATTCCACATAAACAGCGAGACACACACCACACATTCCATATAAACAGAGCGAGACACACAACACACATTCCACATAAACAGAGCGAGACACACACCACACATTCCACATAAACAGAGCGAGACACACACCACACATTCCACATAAACAGCGAGACACACACCACACATTCCACATAAACAGAGAGACACACACCACACATTCCACATAAACAGCGAGACACACACCACACATTCCATATAAACAGCGAGACACACACCACACATTCCACATAAACAGAGACACACCACACATTCCACATAAACAGAGCGAGACACACACAACACATTCCACATAAACAGCGAGACACACCACACATTCCATATAAACAGCGAGACACACACCACACATTCCACATAAACAGCGAGGCACACACCACACATTCCACATAAACAGAGCGAGACACACACCACACATTCCATATAAACAGAGACACACAACACACATTCCACCTAAACAGAGCGAGACACACACCACACATTCCACATAAACAGAGCGAGACACACACCACACATTCCACATAAACAGCGAGACACACACCACACATTCCACTTAAACAGAGCGAGACACACACCACACATTCCATATAAACAGAGACACACACCACACATTCCACATAAACAGCGAGATACACAACACACATTCCATATAAACAGAGACACACAACACACATTCCACATAAACAGAGCGAGACACACACCACACATTCCATATAAACAGAGCGAGACACACACCACACATTCCACATAAACAGCGAGACACACACCACACATTCCATATAAACAGAGAGAGACACACAACACATTCAATATAAACAGCGAGACACACACCACACATTCCACATAAACAGAGCGAGACACACACCACACATTCCACATAAACAGCGAGACACACAACACACATTCCACATAAACAGAGACACACACCACACATTCCATATAAACAGCGAGACACACACCACACATTCCACATAAACAGAGACACACCACACATTCCACATAAACAGAGCGAGACACACACCACACATTCCACATAAACAGAGACACACAACACACATTCCACATAAACAGCGAGACACACACCACACATTCCACATAAACAGAGAGACACACACCACACATTCCACATAAACAGAGAGACACACACCACACATTCCATATAAACAGCGAGACACACACCACACATTCCACATAAACAGAGACACACCACACATTCCACATAAACAGAGCGAGACACACACCACACATTCCATATAAACAGCGAGACACACACCACACAATCCACATAAACAGAGAGACACACACCACACATTCCACATAAACAGAGCGAGACACACACCACACATTCCACATAAACAGAGCGAGACACACACCACACATTCCACATAAACAGAGCGAGACACACACCACACATTCCACATAAACAGAGACACACAACACACATTCCACATAAACAGAGACACACAACACACATTCCACATAAACAGAGCGAGACACATACCACACATTGCACATAAACAGCGAGACACACACCACACATTCCACATAAACAGCGAGGCACACACCACACATTCCACATAAACAGAGAGACACACACAACACATTCCACATAAACAGCGAGACACACCACACATTCCATATAAACAGAGCGAGACACACACCACACATTCCACATAAACAGCGAGAAACACACCACACATTCCATATAAACAGAGACACACAACACACATTCCACATAAACAGAGCGAGACACACACCACACATTCCACATAAACAGAGCGAGACACACACCACACATTCCATATAAACAGAGATACACACCACACATTCCACATAAACAGAGCGAGACACACAACACACATTCCATATAAACAGAGACACACAACACACATTCCAGATAAACAGAGCGAGACACACACCACACATTCCATATAAACAGAGAGCGACACACAACACATTCAATATAAACAGCCAGACACACACCACACATTCCACATAAACAGAGCGAGACACACACCACACATTCCACATAAACAGCGAGACACACAACACACATTCCACATAAACAGAGACACACACCACACATTCCATATAAACAGCGAGACACACACCACACATTCCACATAAACAGAGACACACCACACATTCCACATAAACAGAGCGAGACACACACCACACATTCCACATAAACAGAGACACACAACACACATTCCACATAAACAGAGCGAGACACACACCACACATTCCACATAAACAGAGACACACAACACACATTCCACATAAACAGAGCGAGACACACACCACACATTCCACATAAACAGAGCGAGACACACACCACACATTCCACATAAACAGCGAGACACACACCACACATTCCACATAAACAGCGAGACACACACCACACATTCCACATAAACAGAGAGACACACACCACACATTCCATATAAACAGCGAGACACACACCACACATTCCACATAAACAGAGACACACCACACATTCCACATAAACAGAGCGAGACACACAACACACATTCCACATAAACAGAGCGAGACACACACCACACATTCCATATAAACAGAGACACACAACACACATTCCACATAAACAGAGCGAGACACACAACACACATTCCACATAAACAGAGACACACCACACATTCCACATAAACAGAGCGAGACACACACCACACATTCCACATAAACAGCGAGACACACACCACACATTCCACATAAACAGAGAGACACACAACACACATTCCACATAAACAGAGACACACACCACACATTCCATATAAACAGAGACACACACCACACATTCAACATAAACAGAGCGAGACACACAACACACATTCCATATAAACAGAGACACACAACACACATTCCACATAAACAGAGCGAGACACACACCACACATTCCATATAAACAGAGAGAGACACACAACACATTTAATATAAACAGCGAGACACACACCACACATTCCACATAAACAGAGCGAGACACACACCACACATTCCACATAAACAGCGAGACACACAACACACATTCCACATAAACAGCGAGACACACAACACACATTCCACATAAACAGAGACACACACCACACATTCCATATAAACAGAGACACACAACACACATTCCACATAAACAGAGCGAGACACACACCACACATTCCACATAAACAGAGACACACACCACACATTCCACATAAACAGAGAGACACACAACACACATTCCATATAAACAGAGCGAGACACACACCACACATTCCATTTAAACAGAGACACACAACACACATTCCACATAAACAGAGACACACAACACACATTCCACATAAACAGAGACACACACCACACATTCCACATAAACAGAGAGACACACAACACACATTCCATATAAACAGAGACACACACCACACATTCCATATAAACAGAGCGAGACACACACCACAAATTCCACATAAACAGAGAGACACACAACACACATTCCATATAAACAGAGACACACACCACACATTCCATATAAACAGAGCGAGACACACACCACAAATTCCACATAAACAGAGAGACACACAACACACATTCATATAAACAGAGACACACACCACACATTCCACATAAACAGAGAGACACACACCACACATTCCATATAAACAGAGCGAGACACACAACACATTCATATAAACAGAGACACACAACACACATTCCACATAAACAGAGAGACACACCACATATTCCACATAAACTCTAGTAGTAATCAAGTATTGGAATAATGTATAAATGAACACAACTGTGAGTAAAATGGATATTATTTTTTTATATTTGTGTGCATGTGTATTGGTGTGCATGTGCGTGTGTGTATAAAACAGACATTTGACATTTCAAAACTCTCTAACATTCTAACACTAGGAACCATCTGGCCAATCGAGGCTATGCCCTTTTGGCTGAGAAAAATTGCCCTCGGGCTCCCAATGACGTACCCAACATACGCAGTGCGGGCCATCATGGGGAGGGGGTGGGGCTTCGATATGACCCTCATCTGGTCAAGCTTCTGCATCACCATCGCCTGGATCATCATCAACTGCTCTGTGGCTGCCATCATCCTCAAGTTCAAGAAAGGCTAACGTCTGCTGTCATTACTGTAGGATCATATGTTTAACGTCTGCTGTCATTACTGTAGGATCATATGTTTAACGTCTGCTGTCATTACTGTAGGATCATATGTTTAACGTCTGCTGACATTACTGTAGGATCATATGTTTAACGTCTGCTGTAGGATCATATGTTTAACGTCTGCTGTCATTACTGTAGGATCATATGTTTAACGTCTGCTGACATTACTGTAGGATCATATGTTTAACGTCTGCTGTAGGATCATATGTTTAACGTCAGCTGTCATTACTGTAGGATCATATGTTTAACGTCTGCTGTAGGATCATATGCTGTCATTACTGTAGGATCATATGTTTAACGTCTGCTGTAGGATCATATGTTTAACGTCTGCTGACATTACTGTAGGATCATATGTTTAACGTCTGCTGACATTACTGTAGGATCATATGTTTAACATCTGCTGACATTACTGTAGGATCATATGTTTAACGTCTGCTGTAGGATCATATGTTTAACGTCTGCTGTAGGATCATATGTTTAACGTCTGCTGACATTACTGTAGGATCATATGTTTAACGTCTGCTGACATTACTGTTGGATCATATGTTTAACGTCTGCTGACATTACTGTAGGATCATATGTTTAACGTCTGCTGTAGGGTCATATGTTTAACGTCTGCTGACATTACTGTAGGATCATATGTTTAACGTCTGCTGTCATTACTGTAGGATCATATGTTTAACGTCTGCTGTAGGATCATATGCTGTCATTACTGTAGGATCATATGTTTAACGTCTGCTGTAGGATCATATGTTTAACGTCTGCTGACATTACTGTAGGATCATATGTTTAACGTCTGCTGACATTACTGTAGGATCATATGTTTAACGTCTGCTGTAGGATCATATGTTTAACGTCTGCTGACATTACTGTAGGATCATATGTTTAACGTCTGCTGACATTACTGTAGGATCATATGTTTAACCTCTGCTGACATTACTGTTGGATCATATGTTTAACGTCCGCTGACATTACTGTAGGATCATATGTTTAACGTCTGCTGTAGGATCATATGTTTAACGTCTGCTGACATTACTGTAGGATCATATGTTTAACGTCTGCTGACATTACTGTAGGATCATATGTTTAACGTCTGCTGACATTACTGTAGGATCATATGTTTAACGTCTGCTGACATTACTGTAGGATCATATGTTTAACGTCTGCTGACATTACTGTAGGATCATATGTTTAACGTCTGCTGTAGGATCATATGTTTAACGTCTGCTGTAGGATCATATGTTTAACGTCTGCTGACATTACTGTAGGATCATATGTTTAACGTCTGCTGTCATTACTGTAGGATCATATGTTTAACGTCTGCTGACATTACTGTAGGATCATATGTTTAACGTCTGCTGTAGGATCATATGTTTAACGTCTGCTGTAGGATCATATGTTTAACGTCTGCTGACATTACTGTAGGATCATATGTTTAACGTCTGCTGACATTACTGTAGGATCATATGTTTAACGTCTGCTGTAGGATCATATGTTTAACGTCTCCTGACATTACTGTAGAATCTTATGTTTAACGTCTGCTGACATTACTGTAGGATCATATGTTTAACGTCTGCTGTAGGATCATATGTTTAACGTCTGCTGACATTACTGTAGGATCATATGTTTAACGTCTGCTGTAGGATCATATGTTTAACGTCTGCTGACATTACTGTAGTATCATATGTTTAACGTCTGCTGACATTACTGTAGGATCATATGGTTTATGTGTTTATGTCATTACTATAAGATCACATAGTTTATACGTCTTTTAATATTTACTTTAGGCGCATTGTTTGAGTTAACTTGAGGTGTAGAATTCTGCAAATATAAAAACAATTGTCGTGAATACTGTTATTGTAAATAAAAAAAACTTGACTTCACATTCACATTGGATTAAAAATATAAAAGGTTTATTTTTTCATCTTCTTCTCATAAAGATACTCTCTATACTTTCATAATGTGTTTGTTAAATGTTTAGTTTTTTAGACTTAATTTATTAACTTTAATGAATTAAATTAAGTTTGGTGGTATAAAGTATAAAGCTACGTAGAACGTATCAGGGGCAAAAACCTCTTGCTTTTTTATTGTAAAAAAAAATAACCTTAAAAATACAGTATCTTTATTAGGAGCCAGATCATGATATTGGTTAATTTAATTAACTTTTGAACTTTTTTTAACTTGAGAAATTGATGTTAAATAACCACTACAGTCATACTAATACTAACTGAAGCCCCCCCCCCCTCCTCCAATGTCCCGACTGTGTTAAGGTCAGAAATTGTATGAACTACTAGCATTCCAAATGTTGAAGGAATCTAATAAAGTGTTACCCTTTTTATAATATCTGTAGAGAATTTTTATGACAATAAAACTTTAATGAAACATTATTTTTCTTTATTTTCATTGGTTTGTTTTACAATCGATAATTTTAGTGAAATATACTTTCTCTTCTTTAACCATATTTGAACGGCACGCCTAATGATATGAACAAGGAAAAATGTTTGTAAAAAAAAGTTTTTGTAAGAGTAAAATATTGTGGCCAAATAGCTGAGCATTAACAAAACAAAACAAAAACACGGTCTAGATCTATATGAATGTTAAGAGAAAGGTGTTTTGAACATTAGAATATACATATTTTTTTTATTTTTGTAAAACCTACTGGTAAATAAAAATAAAATATTTTTTCCCGAAATTGGAGAGACGAAACTCTTATTAGATACAAGGGGTCAAGGGGGTAAGTATTGTTAGGGTTAGGGCTAGTGGTCGGGCTGGGGGTTGGCTTGTGTGTTACTGTTAGTGTTAGAGTTATGGTTATGTTAAGGGTTAATGTGGTGATTACAGCTTGGGTCCGGATTACGTTTTAAGTTTGAGTTTGAGTTTCGATTTGGATTAAGGTTAGGGTTTGTGTTGGATACTGGGTTACAAACAGAGCTATGATTACTTTCGTTCGTATGTGTGTGTATATGGCTATATACACATATAAAAATATGCGTGTGTGTCTCATGCATCTACAGCCTTCATTCGTTGATGAAGTTGAAAATACTTTTAAGAAGGTTATTGCCATTAAAAATAATATCGGAGGGGCGGCGTACCGGCAGCTGCCTGCAGTTTGACGTCCAGCCAGAGTCTCCATACGTTTAATTTTTAGAGAGCGCCATACACTGACATACTTCGGGCTACAACAACCATGGAGGGCCTATATAACATAAAGGCCCATATTTAGTTGTGTATGCGTCTGACGAATTGAACCAACATAAACAGAGACACACCACACATTCGGGTGTGGGGAAATTGCGAGACGCGAAAAGCGAAATGGCGAGGCGGGAAAATGCGAGAAGGTAATGCGAGACATACCTGCGGAATTAAGGGTAAATAGCGAGACACTTTTTGCGAAAAAAGTTTTTTCCTTTTTTTTCCATCTTTATTTATTTCAATTATTTTTTTTTAAATATTTCAAAAATAAACAAGCATTTAACCATACCCTTTAACACGAGTGTTGTATGTTGTTATTTTTTATCTAGATACTAAGAAGATAGATAGATCTATATGTAGATCTATCTATTAAAAGATCCTAACATCGTTGCTGTGCTACTGTCATCGCCCGCTCTTGTTAGCGAGAGGAAAATCCCGTCTCAGTCGGCATTAATTTAAAAATCTAGCTCGCTCATGTTTATACAAACGTGAGCTGTGTCATTGTGAATTGGTATAATCTTGTCAGCAGGAGAGATATTTTGCAACATCTATTTATGGATTTTTGTACTTGCAAAAAGTGTAAAAGTATAAACAATTCTAAAAAGTGCAATTTTTTTAATTAAGTAATTTTAATTACAAACAAAATTTACAAACAAAATCTTCTGAAACAGTCCTCAAACACACCTCGTAACACCATCTTTCACACATAGTACACCCAACCCAGTTCATTAGACTCCCATTTATACATTTTTCTTTTGCTACTTCTTTCAATCCACATTCACAACATTTCACATTCTCATCACAGTTGACCTCCTCGTTCATCCAACAAACAACACTGGCACCCATGTTCTCATTATCATCATCCGCACGCTCAACATCTGTTTTCCGTTTTTTTTAATTTGTATTTTTTATCATTTCTGTAATTTTGGCAATGTCTTGCTCATTGTTGTCACCAGCAGTTGAGTTTTTTAAAACATCGATATTTTCCCAAAATCTTGTCTAATTTCGGTCAAAATAGAGTATTTTAATCAATTTCTATTATAATGTATTAAAACAGTTTTCTAAAACGCGAAAAAACGTCTAAAATTCTTTTTCTAACATTGCTTTTTTATAGTGTGACTTCACATCTAACCCCCCTCTCCTCCCCCTCATCACACATCGTCATAAAATTACAGACCCCCCCCCCCCTTACGAGTGTGACGTCATTTATGGAAGACCCCAAATAACACCACCACCAAAACCAAAAAATTCAGATAAGTTCAAATTGGTTTTAAAAATATTTAAGTAGGCCCATAGCTTACGATATAGCACGAGCAACTGATAATATCAGTGACGTCACTTTATTTTGTTGTATCCAAATGATGTAGGCATTTCCTTGTGCTTAGATTTATATGGTAAAAAAAGCTAGAAAAAAATCGTAGGCGGCGGCTATAATACAAAATTTCTATGCAACAATAGAAAATATGTTTGCGGCGGCAGCGGATCCGGGCACGGCGATCTTCAAAGACGGTAAATCAGGCGGCCTCGGCGTTCCACACAAAAGACAGAAGTTGATCTATCGTTGGCGGTATTTCCGTCGGTTTCGAACAAGGTGGTATTCTAAGTCGACACAAAAGATGGGGGGAGTTGACAAATCATTAGTATGTCTAGCGACGGAAAAATCGGAAGTTTTAACAATGTAAACGAAACGTCTTTGAAGTCTGGACCAAATACCACTGAAAATCGGGTGCGGTAAATTTTTCGCAGAAATCTTCGCATTTCAACACCACCCAGCGTAAGTATCGGCTTGTGGTAAAATGCGAGACAAAAAAGTCACGTGACCGACCGTTTTCGCGCCCTTCTCGCATTTTCCCGCCTCGCCATTTCGCTTTTCGCGTCTCGCAATTTCCCCACACCCCACACATTCCACAATACAAGATTTTAAGAGTATAAAAAGCGGTTTAATGGCATACACATTTTTAAAACTGAGAACCTTGAATGTTGGTGCTTAAAAGTACTTCGAATAAATTTTCTCGTCGTCCTAGTGGGCTAAATATGAAAAATGCGTTTATTTTTCATTTATTCTTGTTACTTTTATGGGCTTCGCGTTGCTTATAAATCTTTTGATAAATGGACTTAACTCAATACTATGTAAGCAAATGGGAAGTAATGCAGTTTAGTTAGTTTGTGAACTTTTTACTTTTAGTGTCAATTTTCTTTGTGAATCTGACAATTTTGTTAAACTTAAAGAAACTTCATTCAATAACTGGATACAAAATATGATAATTTAAGATTCTACATTAATTTCCTAATAGAGGATACCTACATTTTTATGGTAATTTTTTTAAAAAGGCTAGACTGCATCTGTCACTATCTGACCTGTAGCGAATCTTATGACAGAAGTTATGTTACTCATTTAATCTAGATTCTAGATCTAGATCTAGAATCTAGATCTAGTAAGTTAATTAAAGTTATAGTAGGCCTATAAATAATACTAATATTATATAATTTTAATTAGACTTCACTTTAGACTTTACTGTCACTTTACTAATGTCTTTAGTGTTAGTCTTTAGTTTAGAGTTTAGACTAAAAATTTTAGATCTAATCTAGATCTAGAATCTCTAGATCTAGATCTAAATCTAGAATCTAGACTAAATCTGTTATCTAGCTAGCTAGACATAAGATAGACTCTTCTACTCACTCACTCTACTGTAGCTAACTAGATTCTAGTAGCTACTGCTAGAGTCTAGACTAGAAATAGAATCTAGAAAAGATCTAGAATCTAGATCTATTCTAGATCTAGATTTCTAGATTTAGATTTATTAGAATAGAAACTTGAAACTCATTAACTCAACTGCCCCCCAACTGGTCTAGCAGCTAGAGGCTAGAGCTACCCTAGCTACTGTAAACTGTAAGTGTAAGTAACTGTATCTAGATCCTAGATCTATCTTCAGTTATTTACCCCTTTTGAACATAGATCTAGATGTAATTCTGTGGCTAAATTTCTTTTAATCTTTCAGATGAAGTGACAATGTTTGGACTAACAGAATCATGGAGCCAGATTGGCTTTTGTATATCATGTTCACCATATCTAGCCTCATACTTCAGTCAGAGTCCTTGCCACTACGCAATCTTTGGATGGAAAAATATGTTTGGCATCCAATGGTTGAAAGCAAAGAGTTGATGCTATGCTGGGTTGTTCAGATAAACACACTAAAGTCTTGTGACTGTAATCTCAAGATCTGCCAAGGTGATTGCACCTTTGAACACGCAGATGATGTTCTGTTTTCAACAGAGTGTTGCCATGGAAATGATGTTATAAACAATCATGTGCAAGGTAAAATTTTAAAACTTGTTGGTTTAACTGTCATATCTTGTTATATTTACTGTCGTATTTTATTGCTAAACTTTGCAAATTTTAAACTGATTTGTATAGATAGTTCAGCTGCAGTTATGACTTTAGTATAAGAAAATTCTTATAAAATATTCCTTTAAAATTTTAATTTGGATAAAACTACTTACCATTTATTCCCACAGCTATTGCAACAGAAGTTGGTTTAGAAATCCATCATGCCTTCGGCCACTTCCATGACCATTTTGTTTTATGCCATGAGGAGACGTCATCAGGCAAGGGTCGGTCACTGTCCACAATACATGAACTACATGCCAACTTTAGGACCAGTGACAGAACAGAGTTTGAGCTGCTCAAAGCTAACGTAGAAACCAAACTGAGGCAGCATGGGGAGATCCTGTGGTTCAGCCCAGAACATGCTCATCAGAGAAACTCTCGTCTGGTCATTCCTTCAAGCACCCACAGTCCTCATACAAAACAAGGCTACGCCAGACACACCACCACAGCAGCACACACTGAGGAAGTTCTGTACATACATGCCAACTTAGATGATCTGATAGACCCCGATGAGGAATTTGATGAGACCAGTCTGTTTCCTGTCTCTAGCCTCGGAGATTCAAAAAGCCAGCAAACTGAAGAAGACAATTCAAAGAAGAGAATTTTAACAAGTGACCAACTGCACCTGCTATATGGCCACCAGGCCGTAGGGACTCTCCTGTTGAACACATCCAGTCCAGTATTACCCAGTGTGTCAGCTAGCTCCATCAAGAAACGATCTCTGACCATTTCATTTAATGACCCAGCCTTCCAGGACCAATGGCACCTCTTGAACAGAAGACTGCCAGGCATGGATATCAATGTGACAGGGGTGTGGCAGCACAACATCACAGGCGCTGGCATCACTGTCTGTGTGGTTGATGATGGGGTGGAGTGGAAGAATCCAGACTTAAAAGTAAGTTCATTTCATAACCTGAGATCTCCTTCATGAAAGTCTACTGAAGCTGAAGGCAAAGGAAAAAAATATAGAGTAAGGTCTAAAAGTTTGTACCAATACCGTTGTTTTTAAATAACATAAATTATACTATAAATTATTATCTAAAGTTAAGTGAATTTGTAAAATACTCTGGCCCTAAATCCAAACCTTATTTGCCAACAAGTCAAGTATCAACTTATTATCCCTTTTCGTACTAACATTTTTTCTTTACCTTACTTTTGTTGTCCTGGGTTTCCATGAACAAAATTTTTCCTCACTTATTTCTCAAGTTGAACTACAACCAGAAAGGCAGTTGGGACCTGAACAACGATGACCCTGACCCTTCACCAAGTTTGTCCAAGTTGTCCAACCATCACGGCACCAGATGTGCAGGGGAGATTGCGGCAGTAGCCAACAACAATGTTTGTGCTGTTGGTGTGGCCTATGGTGCTCAGTTCTCTGGTCAGTTTTACCTGTGCTGTGTTTTTGGCTCATTACATTCTTCACACCTCTAACCACACCTTATGTTTTGATTTCAATTAGCTGTACTTGTTTGAAGAGTTGGAGCAATATTAATACATTTTAAAAGTTCATCAAACTGTACCATACAGATGCATTAATTATAAATGTTTATATGGCATGCTACAATTATTTATTAAATTTTAAAAGTTTCTAGTTTTCTTAAAATCCACATAATTATGTTAATCACTGGTTTAATTCTTGAAATATCTCTTCAGGTCTTCGTATTTTGGATGGTGTAATGACAGACAGTTTAGAGGCGGAAGCTTTCAATAAGAAAATGGACATCAATGACATCTACAGCTGCAGCTGGGGACCAGATGACAACGGAAAAACTGTGGATGGACCCCACCTGATGGCAGTCAAAGCTATGAAGTACGGGGTAGACTTTGGTCGCCAGGGATATGGGAACATTTTTGTTGTTGCTAGTGGCAACGGAGGGGTCAACATGGATAACTGTAACTTTGATGGCTACGCTAACTCTATATACACTGTGACTATTGGTGCAGTGGATGACAAGGGCAAGATGCCGTACTACGCTGAAGAATGTGCCTCAATGCTGGGTGTCACCTTCAGCAGTGGCAGTCAGAGAGACATTGTGACGACAGACTGGATGTCAGGCGCAGGTAAAGGCTGTACAGAAGGTCACACTGGCACCAGCGCTGCGGCACCGCTGGCCGCGGGGATGATAGCTCTGATGCTGGAGGCCAGGTCCTGCCTGTCCTGGAGGGACGTGCAGTACATCATCATCCTGACCTGTCAGAAGATAGACCTGGACCTGGCCCACTACCAGGACAATGGCGCTGGCCTCTCTCACAGTCACAAACATGGCTTTGGTCTGCTAGACTCCTGGCGGCTGGTCAACGCGGCCAAAGTCTGGGAGACTGTCCCCTGGCTGACCTCCTACTCCTACATGGACTCCAGCTTTGACAAGGTCATCCCCAAGGGACCAGACTCACCCCTGACGGTGGTTCACACAGTGACAGACACTGATGTCCGAGGCTTGGGTCTGTTGACACTGGAGAACGTCCAGCTGACAGTCTGGCTGTCACATCCCTACAGGGGCAAGATTGGTGTCACCTTGACAAGCCCAGCTGGAACTACATCTGTTCTAGCAGCACCCAGGTCAGTGGCGCCAACTTGTTGCTCTCTATAGTTGCTAGTTCATACACTTAAAGCATACGTAGAGCTCCACTAAGTTATAGCTGCTAGTTCATACACCTAAAGCATACGTAGAGCTCCACTAAGTTATAACTTATAGCTGCTAGTTCATACACCTAAAGCATACGTAGAGCTCCACTAAGTTATAGCTGCTAGTTCATACACCTAAAGCATACGTAGAGCTCCACTAAGTTATAGCTGCTAGTTCATACACCTAAAGCATACATAGAGCTCCACTAAGTTATAGCTGCTAGTTCATACACCTAAAGCATACGTAGAGCTCCACTAAGTTATAGCTGCTAGTTCATACACCTAAAGCATACATAGAGCTTCACTAAATTATAGCTGCTAGTTCATACACCTAAAGCATAAGTTAGTAGAGCTCCACTAAGTTATAACTTATAGCTGCTGGTTTATTCACCTAAAGCATCAAGCCATGTATAGCTTCACCAAGCAATAACTAAGCAACCTTGTCCATCTTGTAGGCCCTTGGACAATTCAAGTGCTGGCTTCACAGACTGGACATTTACAACAGTCAGGTGTTGGGGGGAGCAGGCACTGGGCAACTGGACCATTCAGTTTTTTGACACAGACAAGAAAGATTACGGTAAGCATGTAAGTTTTAACAGTTGGGTTCAAAAATAATATTGAAGGCTGGTTAGGTTTATGCTGTATGATGGTTTACTTTATATTTTTGAAAAGTATTTGCTCAAAATATTTAAAATATAAATGATAATTAGACTGTTTACAATATTTTATAAACAAATATATATTCATATATTGGGTGTAATTTATAATTGTTCAAACCTTTAGACTAGATACAGGCATGTACCAACAACACAGAATTTATTTGTCAACTTTTCTCTTTCTGCCTTATACAACTTGTTTTGAATCTGCAGCTTATTTCAAATGAAAATATTTGGAGTGTCACAGCCTGAAGTTCTCATACCTTCCCACACATGGACAGCCATCAAGCTTGTAAAGCTCCTGAGTTAAGAAATGTGTCAACTTTAAACATGCTTCTAAGCTCCAATTGTTTTCTTTTGACAGGAAATGGTATAGTGAACAAATTTCGCCTGACCTTATTTGGCACGCCCATGACATCAGAGGAGTTTGCAGGGAGGCGCAGTCATGTACAGGCAGCCATGAGCGGGGAGTTCCTGCATAAGAACTTCTCCCTGCCCTGCCAGCCACCCCAGAAATATGCCGCTGACTATGTGCCAGTGTCAGACAGAATCCTCAAGGTCAGTTTCTGCTTGCACTCTCAGTAGATGTCGTCAGTTATTTCTGTGACATAGATATGTCTTGCACTGTCAGTAGATGTCACATGTGTCATCAGTCATTTCTGTGTCATAGATATGTCATAGGACCAGACAAGAGCATGTAATGATGGCCTATGCTGCCAACCAGTTAGACTGTAGAAATCTGTTTGCACAAGTGTGCTTTGTTGCTTTAAGTGGCCATGAAACAACTGACATTATTACTTTGTTTCTGTGACAGATCATTCTTTTGTCTGGTGCCTTCTGTCTGGCCATGGCCATCTACGAGACCTTTGAATATATTTTTTGCTACAACGATGAGAAGAAGGAGGCGCGGCAGCAGAGACGCTTGAGTGAACAAGCGCGTAGACTTGCCAGCAACACTTTAGACGATTCCAATACCCCAGCTCTTTCAGAACCACCAGTTAATGGTGCCAACTCCAGCATCAACATGGTACTTGATGATGATGATGATGAAGAAGATGATGTATTTTATGCAATGGAGACTTCCAGCTTGTTAAACAAGAAAGATACCAGCCATGCTGGGAACTATATTCCTCTGAAAACTTTGAGCAGGAGAGAAGTTGAAGACGTGGAGATGGACGCTGTTGGTGCTCATGCTTTAGCCCATGGTGCTGCTCAAGCTTCATCTCATGATCTGGACACTTCAGGCAGCTAACCTTGTTGTTGTTATTCTTTCATTAAGACATTCCATTTTATGTTTTTAATGTTACTACATTTACAATGCTTCAAACATTACAGCATAAAATTATTTGCTATTTAAATTATTTGAATGTAACAGCGGGCTTAGCTAGTTTTGGTATATAATATATATATTTTTTGTTATATATTTTTTTGTTACTTACCTGTAAGTTTGTTTGCCTATTTATGATGTAGATAACTCTTGAGATCAATTTAGAACCAGTGGGTACCACTTACTGCTGTCTGAGAAGTTCTGGTAAACACACAAGCACACACCACACATACATACACACAAACCACACACACCACAAACACAGAGGGGAGTGGAGAAAATGTGGTGCAGCATAATGTCTAGGCTGGAGTTTTATATTGACTTCCATTTTATCTTTTAAATATTTTCATTGGTTCTCTATATTTATTTCTTGTGATCAGGAAATCCACTTCTTCTCATCAGCCTACCATTGTGTTCTACATTAACACTTAGACATTTATATTCTTTGCTATTATTAGAATCCTCTCAAAATGTGTTGAATATATCTTTAGTTAGTGTTAGATTTACATTTTCTGTTGCATACTTGTAAACTTCAAACCAAAAGACACAATCTTTTAGATTTGAAAATGTTACCTGTAATTTAATCATGTTACATCAGAGGGAGAGGGGGGGGAGGGTTGGGTTGGCGTGAAGTCAGGTAGTGCCTAAATAGAATTCTTATCTATTAAATTGTTTTGTTTAATGTTGTTCTCTGAACTTCTACTTACCTCAGAATACAATTTTCTGAAAGGTTTAATTTAAACTTGAAACAACTATGGGAACAGTGAGTAATGTTACTTTGACCTCATCGAACTTGTGTTTGTTTTTATGCTCACTATATTTTTTACCCATTTCATTTGCTAGAAATTTTCATTTGGTTTCTTATTCATCTTACAATCTGTGATTTTTTTCAATTGTCTCTGCATTTATTCAAGTATACAAGTATTGTAGTTTCTTCCAATGAGATGCTGGGTTACTAGTTGTGGTTTTTTTTTTTATAAATTCCCAGCATACAGGATTTTATCATGCTATTTATAAATATTTATAGTATATTCTTTTGTAAACACATGTTATAGTTTTCTAGCAGAATTGATGTAACAAGTTGAGAGTGATGTCTGTTGGAGACTGGTTGTTGTAGGGGTGTGGATGACTTATGTGGGACTCTTTATTGTGGGGAGTTTTACAATAAATTGTTATGGTGTTTGTTACTGTTTTTAACAAATTTACAGATGGAATTGAATACATTTTTTGAGTATTTTTATTATTTTAATATTTTACAAGTATTTTTGTTATATTTTACTAGTACTTCTGTTATAATAACATTTCTGTAGTATTTATGTTATGGTAAGATGTATGCTAGTTCTTCTGTAATGGAAAGATTCTTGCTAGTATTTATGGTAATATTTATGCTATTTATTTATCCCATCTTCAAGTGATGAAGTATCAGATAAAAACAGATGGTCGCATACACTCAGTGCCTTCATATTCTAGAATTGATCTCTTGTCTCTACCAAGTTATTCCCCCTTATGCAAACTTTCCATGTTAGAAATCTTTTATTTTAATTGTAAAACAAGTTGTTCAAAAATCTAAGTTCTGTCTAGGTACAATAAATGATTTATTAAAGACTACAATAGTTTTAAGAACCCAGTGTCATTTATTTACTGCACCAGTCATGTCCCTTGATTGGTTGCTCTAGAAAAATGTTGCCTTTAATTTTGTCTTCCATTGTTGATGTGGCTCAGACAACCAAATGATGATGTCATGATTTTATAATCAGTATAATTTATGCTTGGGATAAAATGGCACTTGATCTGTTATATCTAAAACATTTTTTTAATTTAAAAACACCATTTCAAGTGAAGCCTTTTAAAGTAACTTCCCTTGTGACATGTATTAAGTGACCCTCCACTATCAAATGAGTCGTTCTGTACCTTCTACCAGTTGAACACAAGAGGGTCTAGGTGAACTCTGTTGGGATTTTATTCTTTGATAATTCTTTATTCACATGGACACACTTAGTGGTGGATGTGGGGTTCTTTTTTTAAATTAATTGGTCTCTTTGAAAACTGTTAGAATGATATTTCCTAAGAGTTAACTTTCAAACAGTTTTCACCTTTATTATGGGTACAAAGTCTTTAAAAATATCGTAAAAAGCAACCATGTGTGTTAAACAAGGGCTGAGGGTCACCCTAGGGGGTCACCCTAGGGGGTCACCCTAGGGTGACATGTTGAGCCAGTCAGTTGCTCCCCTTTTGGCATAGTTCTGGTAGCAGTTCTTGATGTCAAATTGCTCAAGGTCGGAAGGCAATGCAATTTATTGTTTCGGATATATTCAGTTGATATGTACAAATATTAATTTTTATGATTTAATAAAAAAACCAATAATACTTTTTGTTTTGTGATTTTTAACAAATTTTAAATAAAAGGATTGTCGATAACAGTGGCTGCAAGATTGTCAACCCCACTAAACACCAAACATCTATAACATAACATTTTGGGTGGCCAGTTGGGCTGTTGTATTCTGACCACACTAGCTGGTAATGTAAGCAGTTGACCAGCTGGTGACCACACTCTAGCCGGTAATGTAAGTAGTTGACCAACTGGTGACCACACTCTAGCCGGTAATGTAAGCAGTTGACCACACTCTAGCTGGTAATGTAAGTAGTTGACCAGCTGGTGACCACACTCTAGCCGGTAATGTAAGCAGTTGACCAGCTGGTGACCACACTCTAGCCGGTAATGTAAGCAGTTGACCACACTCTAGCCGGTAATGTAAGCAGTTGACCAGCTGGTGACCACACTCTAGCCGGTAATGTAAGCAGTTGACCAGCTGGTGACCACACTAGCCGGTAATGTAAGTAGTTGACCAGCTGGTGACCACACTCTAGCCGGTAATGTAAGCAGTTGACCAGCTGGTGACCACACTCTAGCTGGTAATGTAAGTAGTTGACCAGCTGGTGCCCACACTCTAGCCGGTAATGTAAGCAGTTGACCAGCTGGTGACCACACTCTAGCTGGTAATGTAAGCAGGTGACCACACTCTAGCCGGTAATGTAAGCAGTTGACCAACTGGTGACCACATTCTAGCTGGTAATGTAAGCAGTTGACCAGCTGGTGACCACTCTCTAGCCGGTAATGTAACCAGTTGACATTTGGTTTTTTCTTTTAAATTAAAAATAGATTTGAGATATTTTCTCTACTCAGAGTTATGTGTCTTTTATTTGCTACAATATGCAGTAGACTGTTGTGATAAAGGAAAACTTTGGTTCATTTTTCCTGTTTCTGATTGCCCAATCTGGGTCTATCAGTCTAATGAGATGTGCACATTATCTCTTATGTGTAGACTGCAGTGGATTTAGTGTGTTCGACTTGCAGTAATTATGGCGACTGTAGGTATGGCATTGTTAATTAAGGAAGTATTAATTATTTAAGCTAGAACTCTCTTAGAAAAAACTAGTTGGGGGCCATCCATTAATGACGTCCACACGTAAAGGGGGGGGGGGGGAGGGCGGTCCAAAAATCGACGTTTGTGTACTGTTGGAGTTGGGTCTATGTGGACGTCTACATTATGAATTTAACACCGAAATACTTACATTCTAAAACAATACTAAAACTCGTAACCTGTATTTAAAGTGTACAATTAAAACAGCTAGTCTCCTCTTGTTATTTTTTAAAACCAGCTCAATGTGTGAATAAATCACGACACTTTAACCAATAGATCCGCCATACTGGGGTTATCTATAACTAATTGATGACCCCAATCTTTAATGATTTAAGCTCCTACCCAACGCAGAGGCGTAGCGACCCTTCCCGGCGCCCGGGGACAAACTTTTCGATTTGCACCCCCCCCCCCCCCCCCTCGAGATTTTGATTTGCAACCCCCCCCCGCTCGAGATTTTGATTTGCACCCCCCCCTCAAACTTTCAATCTATTTTTCCAACCCATTTTGGCGCCCCCTAAGCTCGGCACCCGGGGTCATATGTCCCCCCCCCCGCCCCCCCCCCCTCGCTACGCTACTGACCCAACGTCACTCGTCATTAAAAGTCAGAACACACCCTTTATAATGACGTCACACCTCAGCCCAGTGATTATTTTTGCTAAAATATTTTTTGAGCTCGTTCAACGTTTAGGTCCACATTAGAACAATAAAGTAAACAGAAATGAGAGGTTATGAAACTTACGACTTTTTCTTACTAATGTTATGATTGTTATTTTAATACATCCGGGAGTAGATCTACAGAAAAGACATTTAATACACACCCCCCCCCCCCCACGCACACACACACCACAAAATTTAGTGTTCAATACCTTGCAGGAGTTTTGGGTACAATCGTGTGTGATTTAATGTGAATACAAATCTTTACCTGTGAAGATTAGCAGATACAACTATTAGTTTGATCTTGTACTACAAAATGTAGGTGTAACTTAGACTCACGCCACCCATGTTGTCACGCCACTCATGTTGTCACGCCATGTATGTTGTCACGCCCCCCCCCCCCGTATTGTCACGCCACTCATGTTGTCACGCCACGTATGTTGTCACTCCCCCCCCCCGTGTTGTCATGCCACTCACGTTATCACGCCACTCATGTTGTCACGCCACGTATGTTGTCACGCCACTCATGTTGTCACGCCACTCATGTTGTCACTCCCCCCCGTGTTGTCACGCCACTCATGTTGTCACACCACGCATATTGTCACGCCACGTATGTTGTCACGCCACCCATGTTGTCACGCCACTCATGTTGTCACGCCACTCATGTTGTCACGCCACTCATGTTGTCACGCCATGTATGTTGTCACGCCACCCATGTTGTCACGCCACTCATGTTGTCACGCCACTCATGTTGTCACGCCACTCATGTTGTCACGCCATGTATGTTGTCACGCCACCCATGTTGTCACGCCACGTATGTTGTCACGCCACCCATGTTGTCACGCCACTCATGTTGTCACGCCACTCATGTTGTCACGCCACTCATGTTGTCACGCCATGTATGTTGTCACGCCACTCATGTTGTCACACCACGCATGTTGTCACGCCACTCATGTTGTCACGCCACCCATGTTATCACGCCACTCATGTTGTCACTCCCCCCCCCCCGTATTGTCACGCCACCCATGTTGTCACCCCACTCATGTTGTCACGCCACTCATGTTGTCACGCCACTCATGTTGCCACGCCACTCATGTTGTCACGCCATGTATGTTGTCACGCCATGTATGTTGTCACGCCACCCATGTTGTCACGCCACTCATGTTGTCACGCCACTCATGTTGTCACGCCACTCATGTTGTCACGCCACTCATGTTGTCACGCCATGTATGTTGTCACGCCATGTATGTTGTCACGCCACTCATGTTGTCACGCCACGTATGTTGTCACGCCACCCATGTTGTCACGCCACTCATGTTGTCACGCCACTCATGTTGTCACGCCACTCATGTTGTCACGCCATGACGAATATGTTGACAGCCTGCCCTAGCTTGCAAGATGAAGCCAGTAAACTTGGGCTGAGACTGAGTACACCGAACACAACAGAGGGCACCCGTGTTTCTGTCACGTGTCTAGACAAACATCTGACGTCACATTATGTCTACATATGTCAGTCTAATGGGAGCTGGACATCGCACTTACAACAGTGTCAAGGTAGGTCAAGTCTGGGTGGTCACTAGATACTGACAAAATTGTGTGTCCACTATCTACTGACAAGATTGTGTGTCCACTATCTACTGACAAGATTGTGTGTCCACTATCTACTGACAAGATTGTGTGTCCACTATCTACTGACAAGATTGTGTGTCCACTATCTACTGACAAGATTGTGTCCACTATCTACTGACAAGATTGTGTGTCCACTATCTACTGACAAGATTGTGTGTCCACTATCTACTGACAAGATTGTGTCCACTATCTACTGACAAGATTGTGTCCACTATCTACTGACAAGATTGTGTGTCCACTATCTACTGACAAGATTGTGTGTCCACTATCTACTGACAAGATTGTGTGTCCACTATCTACTGACAAGATTGTGTCCACTATCTACTGACAAGATTGTGTGTCCACTATCTACTGACAAGATTGTGTCCACTATCTACTGACAAGATTGTGTCCACTATCTACTGACAAGATTGTGTCCACTATCTACTGACAAGATTGTGTCCACTATCTACTGACAAGATTGTGTCCACTATCTACTGACAAGATTGTGTGTCCACTATCTACTGACAAGATTGTGTGTCCACTATCTACTGACAAGATTGTGTGTCCACTATCTACTGCCAAGATTGTGTGTCCACTATCTGCTGACAAGATTGTGTCCACTATCTACTGACAAGATTGTTTCACTATCTACTGACAAGATTGTGTGTCCACTATCTACTGACAAGATTGTGTCCACTATCTACTGACAAAATTGTGTGTCCACTATCTACTGACAAGATTGTGTGTCCTGTGTCCACTCTGCAGATGAGGATGATCTGACGGAGCGAGAGATCGCCATCATTGCCTCGTGTTCTGCTGCTGTTGGGGTCCTGTTGGTCATCGTCCTGGTCGTGGTCGTGTGGCTTAGGTGTGCCAAAAGGAAAGAGATGTTCATGAGGTGAGTGGACTCATTGGAGGATGGGTGGGGGGGGGGGGTGGTGCAGGGATAGTGAGAGATGGGAGGCATGTATAGGCATTAGAGGATGTGTAGGGTGGGGTGTTCGGGCATTAGAGGATGGGTAGGGTGGGGTGTTCGGGCATTAGAGGATGGGTAGGGTGAGGTGTTCATTCACGGGTATAGGAGGATGGGTAGGGTGAGGTGTTCATTCACGGGTATAGGAGGATGGGTAGGGTGGGGTGTTCATTCACGGGTATAGGACGATGGGTAGGGTGGGGTGTTCGGGCATTAGAGGATGGGTAGGGTGGGGTGTTCGGGCATTAGAGGATGGGTAGGGTGAGGTGTTCATTCACGGGTATAGGAGGATGGGTAGGGTGGGGTGTTCATTCACGGGTATAGGACGATGGGTAGGGTGGGGTGTTCATTCACGGGTATAGGACGATGGGTAGGGTGGGGTGTTCGGGCATTAGAGGATGGGTAGGGTGGGGTGTTCGGGCATCAGAGGATGGGTAGGGTGGGGTGTTCATTCACGGGCATAGGAGGATGGGGCAACCGATACACAGCAACTGAAGAATGGATGGGGTAGGGGAGTTGATACACGGGCATAGGAGGATGGGGCTCAATCGGACTTGCTTAGGTGGGTTCTGAAATTCTGTCTAATGTTGGCTTTATGTTAAATGTTGACATTCAGTCTAATGTTGACATTATTCTTGATGCTGACATGTTATCAGAACAGAAAGGCTCCAGTCAAGGCTCCAAGCAACATCGATACGAGATCCTCTCGAGGAGATGGTGATACGTGAGTCCAAGAGAAACTTCACCCACCCGCCGTCAATACAGACAAGTGCTCAGAGGTGATCTAGTTCAGAGAGACCAGTTGTCTAGTTCAGATAGACCAGTTGTCTAGAAGGGTCTAGTTCAGATAGACCAGTTGTCTAGAAGGGTCTAGTTCAGATAGACCAGTTGTCTAGAAGGGTCTAGTTCAGAGAGACCAGTTGTCTAGAAGGGTCTAGTTCAGATAGACCAGTTGTCTAGAAGGGTCTAGTTCAGATAGACCAGTTGTCTAGAAGGGTCTAGTTCAGATAGACCAGTTGTCTAGAAGGGTCTAGTTCAGATAGACCAGTTGTCTAGAAGGGTCTAGTTCAGATAGACCAGTTGTCTAGAAGGGTCTAGTTCAGATAGACCAGTTGTCTAGAAGGGTCTAGTTCAGATAGACCAGTTGTCTAGAAGGGTCTAGTTCAGATAGACTAGTTGTCTAGTTCAGATAGACCAGTTGTCTAGTTCACATAGACCAGTTGTCTAGTTCACATAGACCAGTTGTCTAGACGGGTCTAGTTCAGATAGACTAGTTGTCTAGTTCGGATAGACCAGTTGTCTAGTTCACATAGACCAGTTGTCTAGACGGGTCTAGTTCAGATAGACTAGTTGTCTAGTTCAGATAGACCAGTTGTCTAGTTCACATAGACCAGTTGTCTAGTTAAGTTAGACTAGTTGTCTAGTTCAGTTAGACTAGTTGTCTAGTTCACATAGACCAGTTGTCTAGTTCAGATAGACCAGTTGTCTAGAAAGGTCTAGTTCAGTTAGACTAGTTGTCTAGTTCACATAGACCAGTTGTCTAGTTCAGTTAGACTAGTTGTCTAGTTCAGATAGACCAGTTGTCTAGTTCAGTTAGACTAGTTGTCTAGAAGGGTCTAGTTCAGTTAGACAGGTCTAGTTCAGATAGACTAGTTGTCTAGACGGTTCAAGTTCAGATAGACCAGTTGTCTAGAAGGGTCTAGTTCAGATAGACTAGTCGTTTAGACGGGTCTAGTTCACATAGACCAGTTGTCTAGTTCAGATAGACCAGTTGTCTAGTTCAGATAGACCAGTTGTCTAGCAAGGTCTAGTTCAGTTAGACTAGTTGTCTAGAAGGGTCTAGTTCAGATAGACCAGTTGTCTAGACGGGTCTAGTTCAGATAGACCAGTTGTCTAGAAGGGTCTAGGTTGGTTAGACCAGTTGTCTAGAAGGGTCTAGTCCACATAGACCAGTTGTCTAGAAGGGTCTAGGTTGGTTAGACCAGTTGTCTAGAAGGGTCTAGTTCACATAGACTATTTGTCTAGAATGGTCTAGTTCACATAGACTAGTTGTCTAGAAGGGTCTAGGTTGGTTAGACCAGTTGTCTAGAAGGGTCTAGTTCACATAGACTCGTTGTCTAGAATGGTCTAGTTCACATAGACTAGTTGTCTAGAAGGGTCTAGTTCACATAGACTAGTTGTCTAGAAGGGTCTAGGTTGGTTAGACCAGTTGTCTAGAAGGGTCTAGTTCACATAGACTAGTTGTCTAGAATGGTCTAGTTCACATAGACTAGTTGTCTAGAAGGGTCTAGGTTGGTTAGACCAATTGTCTAGAAGGGTCTAGGTTGGTTAGACCAGTTGTCTAGACGGGTCTAGGTTGGTTAGACCAGTTGTCTAGAAGGGTCTAGGTTGGTTAGACCAGTTGTCTAGAAGGGTCTAGGTTGGTTAGGCCAGTTGTCTAGAAGGGTCTAGGTTGGTTAGACCAGTTGTCTAAGAGGGTCTAGGTTGGTTAGACCAGTTGTCTAGAAGGGTCTAGTTCACATAGACTAGTTGTCTAGAAGGGTCTAGGTTGGTTAGACCAGTGGCTTAAAGGGATTTAGTTCAGATGGAGCTCATTTTGTTCAGACAGACTAGCTTTCAAAGATGATTTAGCTGAGTACAGATAAATTGTTAACATCTTTATCTTTCAGATACATTGTTTTAATTAAACTAATTGAAAGTATTTAATATAAAATATTTCAAAATCCATTCCACTGATTGATAAGTCATTTACCTATGTGTTATTCTCTGATTTTCTATAAGAAATTGTATCAGTGTAGATGATGGATAACGATACAAAAATAGTCAAAAATTTTTTAAGCTGGTTAAAAAAATAATAGTTTAAATTTAACAAGGTGTTAATTTACATGGAACTTTTATTTTTCCAGCACTTTGTACAAAGTTTGGAACTTGAACCGAACAAAAAAACAATTTGTTTATGCTACATCACTAAAGGATCTCATTGAAAAAGGTTTTATGTTTTAAATCTCACTGTTTTATATAAATATATATATATATATATATATATATATATATATATATATATATAGGTCCCAGTATTTTCTTTTAAATCTCAATGTTTGTTATATATAGGTCCTTGTATTTTCTTTTAAATCTCACTGTTAGTTATATATAGGTCCTTGTGCTTTCTTTTAAATCTGAATTTTTTTTTTTTTAAATCTAACTAGCTACACCTTATAATTGTGTACAATACAAACGTTTATTTAAAGCTAAGTAGTACCAACAATAATTTTCTTGTTGCCAGCAACAGAAAAGTTGGAGTTAAAGAGAGCAGAGAAGATAGTTCTAGAAGAAGATGGAACAGAAGTCAGCTCTGATGATGTGCTAGCAGCCTGTGTTGGTGCTGTGCTGATGGTGCTGGAGGATGGAGAAGAATGGGTTCCAAGTATCTCCATCGTCAATCTCAACTCCACACCAGGACCAAGGACTAGTGGCATCAGTTTGGTGAATGGTTACAGCTTCAGGGGGAGTTTACTTGGTCAGAAACTTGTCATTAATGAAGGGGAGGTCAATGATGGCTTTGTATTGAATGAAGATAAATTATATAAAAATTTGTAAATAGTTTAAACAATGTAATCTTGAACAGATGCGTTGTAGGTTGTATTTAATGTATTTACCTGCGTCTTGCCTAGTTGACCTTATGACATTTATTAAAGGATTTTTTTAATCATGCCAAAGTATGTCCAGCAATAAATTTCAAACTTAATTTATACCATAACCATTATTAGCTTGTATTGTATATACCATACTTCATCACCAAATAAATCTGTTATCTCCATCTCTTTTGTAATTGCCTGTTTCTAGAATCCAGCCATGCAGTGACAAATTTTATACATACAAAGATATTTTTAAAAATAAACCGGGAGTGATCTCCCCTAAACTTTCTCGAATATTCTTATATAAAATAACAGGGGATGGGAACTCGGGCTATAGACTTCTAGACATGATTTTTAATCCATTTTAAATACTTAAAGTTTTAAAAATAGAATAAAATCTCGTAGACAAATTAATTGCACACCAAGTGAACGCGAATAAAAAAGCGCATAATAGTGCGCAATATTATTAGTACTTTTAAAATTTACATTAGTTTTTTGAGAAATCGGAAGTAGCGTAAATAAGTACTTCCGGTCAACGAAAAATTCTCAAAATTTGACAGAAGGTAGAGAATTAGATCTTTTACTTACATATCAAATTTCATTTATCTATCTGAAATAGTACTCAAGTTATAGGCTTTTGAAAAATTCAAAGTAGAAAAAGTACCACTTCCGGTTATCCGAAATCGCTCAAAAGTTGATACGGATCTACGATTTTGATAAAATACTTGTATATGAAATTTCTTCAACCTAGCTGTAACGGTACTCAAGTTATCGTGTTTACACATGGACACACACACACACACAGACACACAGACATACGGACAAGATTGCAAAATTATGTTTTTCCGTATCAGTGAGATGTAAAATGTCGAGATTTGCAAAAATCTCGATTTTTTTTTTTTTGCATGATTACAAGACTTTCTCTATACTTCGTATATACGAGAAAGTAAATTAAAACATTCTAAGTTTGATTTCCACCAAATGTATTGCATCACAGTACAAAAATGACACCAAAATATTGTATGGCGTTGATTGTAAACATTCACATGGATAGTATGTCTTGTTTCCAGTGTTTCTTCCAGACTTTTTTCTCCGGGGGGGCACTTGAAATCTTCGGGGGGGCGGTAAACTTTCTTCGGGGGGGCGGACACTGTTAAAAGTATATATTTTCTATATAAATTATATAAAGTTCATTTCGTTCGGGGGGGGCGGTAAAAATTTTTCGGGGGGGCTTTGCCCCCCCGAAGAGATGCCTGGAAGAAACTCTGCTTGTTTCTAATAAGATGTCCAGTGGGTTGTCACATGTACAGTGGGTTGTCACATCAGGTTGTCATATGTCCAGTGGGTTGTCCCATGTCCAGTGGGTTGTCACATGTCCAGTGGGTTGTCACATGTCCAGTGGGTTGCCCCATGTCCAGTGGGTTGTCACATGTCCAGGGGGTTGTCACATGTCCAGGGGGTTGTCACATGTCCAGTGGGTTGTCACATGTCCAGTGGGTTGTCCCATGTCCAGTGGGTTGTCCCATGTCCAGTGGGTTGCCCCATGTCCAGTGGGTTGTCCCATGTCCAGTGGGTTGTCCCATGTCCAGTGGGTTGTCACATGTACAGTGGGTTGTCACATGTCGATAGGGTTGTAACATGTCTAGTTGGTTGTAACATATCCAGTGGGTTGTCACATGTCCTGTGGGTTGTAACATGTCTAGTTGGTTGTAACATGTCTAGTTGGTTGTAACATATCCAGTGGGATGTCACATGTCCAGTGGGATGTCACATGTCCAGTGGGATGTCACATGTCCAGTGGGTTATAACATGTCCAGTGGGTTGTCACATGTCCAGTGGGTTGAAACTCGTGCAGTGGGTTGTGGGTTGTAACTTAAATATATTGCTTACAAAATTGCATGAAATATACAAGTGACAGTGTAAATGGTGCAGAAGTAAGTACATTCAGCTGAGAAAGTTGACAAACATTGCTGATGGTTGCAGGAAGACATTAGAGTTCTGGCCCTTGTGTCTACATTGCTACAGGTGTTTTCTACCAAGAGCATCTGTGGGTGTATACATGACTAACCAGATAGGAGTGGAGCTGTGATGTCAGACCACACAGATAAAGCCACCCAGTTGAGAGATAACAGGGGAGATAACACAGCTTAATGGTACTTAGAGACTGAGATGACAAGCAAAACATGACTTACAGGATAAGCTGGTTATCTCACCCTGATCATTGGGTGGGATGACATCCTGCTACATGGGGGGCACTCAGTGGTCCAGTGCTAGAGTTGTTGGCTGCTTTAGCACAAAATGTTCAGATCTCAGTTCAAACTTGTGACTGTAGGGTGACCCTAAGTCCACCCAGCTCTAATGGGTTCCTGACTTATGTTGGGGAAAGTAAAGGTGGCTGGGCATACTGCTGACCACACCATCCCTTCATAAGCTGGGGTAAAAAAAGAATGAACTCTACCATGGTAGCACTGTGTCTAAAGAGGAATCTTTGTTTGAACCATGATGACAAAGAATAAGGATTGATTTAGGCCAGGTTAAGGGCTTGTGTTCAAATAAAAGGATGTCTGGAAAGAATATGACACTTGACAGATATGGCACATCTTCATGTGGTCTAAAACATTGGTGTAGCCTAACACTGGCTTAATGCTGGGTTGTGTGGGCAGGGGAGGGAGGGGGAGCTATAGCACCTGACCTTGGCTCTATGACACATGACATTTGGTCTAGAAAAAATAAACTGAAGCTAAAAATATGCTGGGTGGTAACATTCATCTGTACACTAAGAAATATATGGAAGTATAAATATTGCAGTGGTTACATGTAATACACATGATCAGTAGAGTCTCTGATGGCGTAAGTAAAGATGAACACAGCATTCATCTGACACAGGCAAAGTTAATGGGTTACACTACTATACAATACAAGCATACAAATATTGCACATCCAGGATCACTTGATGAGTCACAGAGCTCAACACAAACATTTGCTAGGGTATAATTACAACTACATGACAACCAAAGAGACTAAATATAGATCTTTGAAGGCAAACAAGCCTCATAAATGTGTATTGAAATGGAATTACAACAAAGAGTAAGTAATAAATGCCCACTGTCTTAATTGTCTGTTATTTTGACTTTGTCCAAACAAACTAAATCTTTCTAACAGACAATACAAGAGCAGCCACAACCATAATACATTGTGTAAGGAAAGACAACTTGTATCCATATGTATAGAAGACACCCTATAAGGGCTTGGTCGTTACATTTTTGCTACAAGTAGTAACTGACCCAACACCTATTTACAACTGTTGTACATGTCAGATTTCCAAAGCTAAACAACATCAAAGTATAAAAAACAGGAGTAAATCCTGGCACAAAGGTAAAAATAGTCAGGATAAATTAGTTGGCTTTACTGCAATGACTGGTGTATTGAAGTAACAATACATGAATTTAAAAAATATATAAATGCAAAATAGATTTTAAACTGAGTAAATGCTAGTCTGATGTATGAAGATCTTCTTTGTCAGAGGGTGAGACTCAGGGAGTATCAGATTTGGTGGTCAGACATGTAGAATAAATCTGTAATACAACTTGTGAAGTATTGATCCCATGGTCACACATGTAATACAACTTGTGAAGTAGTGATCCCATGGTGACACATGTAATACAACTTGTGACGTATTGATCCCACACAAGAATGAATGCTAGTTGGTCAGTAGTAAAGGTCAAGTAAACTTCCACAAAATGTGGTGTAAAACTCCACAATAGAAAAAGCCAAGCATTGACACCAAGAATTACAAACAAAATATACAGATACAAGCACATGTCAAATAGACAATGTTTTCATTCCATGAAAATCCAAAGCTTTCACTTGTGTTTACACAGAAAACTAAATTGTTGCCTCAGCTTTGTTCTGGCCAAGTTGAATGTCCCTATTAATGTCATACTCCTATAAGGATGTCTCATTAGGTTGTGCTCGAAGAGATCTGTTCTCTATACAACTTAAACGCTGCCTCAATGCTGTAGTTTCTATTTCATATTTGTCCCGCATATTTTTTAACTGCCCCTCCATCTTTTTCAAACGTCCCTGGTACTTTTTCTTAGCTTTATCAAATGCAGCTATAAGTGCAGAGTTGGCTCTCTTTAAATCATTGACAAACTCTGCTGATTGTTTATGTCGACTCTCTGAATTGCGTGAAATTTTTTCTAATGTGGACATCAGTTCTGAGACTTTACTTTTCAATGTGCGTTCACGCTCCACTGAGATGCTGAGGTCTTGGATCAGTTCACAAGGTTCACGAGACTTCAGCTCTAAAATAAACCTCGAGTCTGCTGGAGAGGGTTCCTGTTTCTGCTGGTAGGAGAGCTCCCCCTTCAGGTAGTCTATCTGGACCCTGTACGCTTGCTCTTGGGTTTCTTTACCATTCAACCTAAGCTCCAGAGCTCGTTTTTCTTTCTCTAAGAGGTAACTTTTAGCTTTAAGCTCAGCCTGGGAATGAAGGAAATAAATGTTGACAAACTATCAATGAAAAGTTGACTTCAATGGATATATTTTCAAATAATGTCAATTAGTCTTATGATAATTAAAATAAATGGGTCTATTATCTCTTGAAATTAAACCAGAAGAGTACTTAGAACACCGAGTCAACTTTATGGCTTGGTTGTACTTTGAATGTGACACATGTCACAATTCAATTATTTCATCTTTTCATCACAAACCTGACACAGAGCTGTTAGAAACAAGCAGGAGTTACCTTTTCTTCCTTAACAGCCATCAGTTCCTGCACCAGTACAGCGTTCTCCAGGTCCAGCCTCTGAGCTTCAATTCTTCTCCTGGGCTCATTGGTTATTGGGTCAACATGGACGCTTTCTAGCTCAAGAACTTTGGAGGAGATCAGTTCAAACAATCAGCAATGACATCTTTCATAAAGTCAGGACAATTGGACACAGATCAAAGTAAAAAGTAATGTCAAACTGACCAGTGGTCCTGACAGCTGCCCTCTCAGACTTTAACTGCTGGATGTGGTCTCTGAGTCTGACCTCATCCGACTTGCTGAAGTCAATGTCTGTTGAACTGCTGGTGCTGCTGGTGCTGCAATCATTCACACAAGTTACATTCACTTCATATGGCTACATCACTTCATGTGGCAACATCACATTTTTGTTACATTCACTTCATGTGGCAACATCACATTTAATTACATTCACTTCATGTAGCTACATCACATTTTAATTACATTCACTTCATGTGGCTACATCACATTTTTGTTACATTCACGTCACATCTTACATTCAACTGACTGTGTGAATACAAGACCCATCTACCTAGATGTGCAGCTATAAAACCCACCAAGCTAGATGTGCAGCTATAAAACCCACCTAGGTAGATGTGCAGCTATAAAACCCACCTAGCTAACTGCAGCTATGAAACCCACCTAGGTAGATGTGCAGCTATAAAACCCACCAAGCTAGCTGTGCAGCTATAAAACCCTTCTAGCTGTGCAGCTATAAAACCCACCTAGCTGTGCGACTGTTGGTAGAAACATCTTCCCAGGGATGGCAGGAACCAACAGACATCTGATTTCCGTTGTTGCGATCTAGTCGTGTAAGTAGATGACGGGCCACGCCTTCTGCACGTCTACGGGCATGATGAGCTCGTTGTAGAATAGCAGTTATCTCCTCCTGATCATCATCTCCTTCACCTAATGGAGAAAACAAAATTAATTAAACAAGCTTTTCATGACATCAAATCACCTACAAAGTACACTCTGTTAGGTGCAAGATTATCAGGTTTACTATCAATAGTTAGCAGGCTTTCAATGACCATGGAGGACAAGGCCACCTAAGTTACCAGTCTACAGTTGGCCATGGAGCACCAGGCCACCTAAGTTACCAGTGTACAGTTGGCCATGAACTCACACAGGCCACCTAAGTTACCAGTGTACAGTTGGCCATGAACTCACCCAGGCCACCCAATCCAGCGGCCCTACAGTTGGCCAATAAGACCCCCATCTCTGTGTCCAGCAGAGCTGTGAGTACATCCTGCGCCTCTGTGCAGTGGTCAGAGAAGACAGAGGCCAGCTGGAGTGCTGTGTTGTTGGACTCGTACTTGCCAATGAGAACACTCAGACGTTCGGCATGTGACTTGCTCTCCTCCAGTGTGGCTGTCAGTACATCATTCTGTGCCTGAAGTCAGCACACTCAAATCATTACACTATCTCAAATACAACAACTCAATATTACATAGAAGAAACATAGTGCTACAATAAAAGAACAAAATATTACATTACGGAAACTTAATGCAACAATAATACAACAAAATATTACATTACAGAAACTTATTGCAACAATAATACAACAAATTATTACATTACAGAAACATAATGTAACAATAATACAATAAAAAACAAGCAGTGAAAGTAAATTTGAAGAAGAAATTATATGTACTTTTTCTGACTTTATTTTCTGCTTTTTTTTTAATACATCGTGAAACTCACAGACAATAAATTTATTAACAAAGAAAAGCATTAAAATTGAATACATTTTTCCTTAGATAAAATTAAATTCAAACCTTGAGATGATCAATTTTGGCTTGCCGTCTTTCCAGCTCCACCTCAAATTCCTTGACAACAACTTCCCCTATGTTGGCCCCTCCATCTCTGGACACTGTCTTCAGCAGCTCTGCCACACTGGAGCCATCATTCAATGACTGGACAAGGTGCTCTGCTGTGGGTGTACTTTGGACCTAATACAAGTAATCACCACAAGTTGGTTTTATATTTGTACACAGCATAATCATAACAAAAACTAGCATATGGTGAGCACTCAGGTTAATCTAAACTAATCAGTCAACAGGTACATGAGTGAGTAGCATAACTTACACCCAACATGGCAACCTCTGACCCCAAAACTTGCATATCATTAGCACAGGTCCTCAACTTCTTCAGTTCAGCCATTTTAGCTACAGGATAAACCTCAGGTTCTGAATTTTTCCTAAGACAACAACATCAGTCTTTGAGTGAAAACTCAGCTGCTTACAAAAGTAATCTTTCTTGCAAATTATAAAATCAGCTGGTGTAATAGTAGTAGCTCATACAACTTTATATCCATCAACCATCACTCCTAAGAATTCTAGGATTCCCCCCCCCCCCCCCCCCCCACCTAACACAAACCATCCCTGTATGAAAAAGTTGTTTAGATTTATAATGTGTTACAAGAAAAAAAAACATGTGTAAACCAGTTGTGTCAATGTATTTATCCAACCCAACTTAGTGGTCAAAGTTATCAAACACAAAAGACAGTGTTATATCATATTGCAGACCTAAACTACATAACACAACATAACTAAGTTAAACAACCCCCACCCCATATGTATTGTATAATATGAGCAGCATAAATTGACAACTGACTGACATTTGGAGCCTTTTCATGACATATTTACCTGTCAGGGTGAGTTAGGTTTGTTGACACCTGTTTGGTAGGGGTGACAACTCTACTGTGGGAAGGACTTGGTGAAGATGTGTAAGCTTGCAGACGTTGTTGAAGCTCTAGGACCTAAGAGAGTAACATCATTTATATATAGGCTGCATGGGGTAACAGGTATCATATAATAGGCTGCATGGGGTAACAGGTATCATGTTTATAGGCTGCTTGGGGTAACAGGTATCATGTTTATAGGCTGCTTGGGGTAAGAGGTATCATGTTTATAGGCTGCATGGGGTAACAGGTATCATGTTTATAGGCTGCCTGGGGTAACAGGTATCATGTTTATAGGCTGCCTGGGGTAACAGGTATCATATAATAGGCTGCATGGGGTAACAGGTATCATGTTTATAGGCTGCCTGGGGTAACAGGTATCATGTTTATAGGCTGCATGGGGTAACAGGTATCATGTTTATAGGCTGCTTGGGGTAACAGGTATCATGTTTATAGGCTGCATGGGGTAACAGGTATCATGTTTATAGGCTGCATGGGGTAACAGGTATCATGTTTATAGGCTGCCTGGGGTAACAGGTATCATGTATATAGGCTGCATGGGGTAACAGGTATCATGTTTATAGGCTGCCTGGGGTAACAGGTATCATGTATATAGGCTGCCTGGGGTAACAGGTATCATGTTTATAGGCTGCTTGGGGTAAGAGGTATCATGTTTATAGGCTGCTTGGGGTAAGAGGTATCATGTTTATAGGCTGCTTGGGGTAACAGGTATCATGTTTATAGGCTGCTTGGGGTAACAGGTATCATGTTTATAGGCTGCTTGGGGTAAGAGGTATCATGTTTATAGGCTGCTTGGGGTAACAGGTATCATGTTTATAGGCTGCTTGGGGTAACAGGTATCATGTTTATAGGCTGCTTGGGGTAACAGGTATCATGTTTATAGGCTGCCTGGGGTAACAGGTATCATGTTTATAGGCTGCTTGGGGTAACAGGTATCATGTTTATAGGCTGCTTGGGGTAACAGGTATCATGTTTATAGGCTGCTTGGGGTAAGAGGTATCATGTTTATAGGCTGCTTGGGGTAACAGGTATCATGTTTATAGGCTGCTTGGGGTAACAGGTATCATGTTTATAGGCTGCCCGGGGTAACAGGTATCATGTTTATAGGCTGCCTGGGGTAACAGGTATGATATAGACTGGAGTCACCTTAGTGAGGTCAGTCTTGTAAACAGAGAGTCAGATGACCAATGTCCACCAGTAAGTGGCTGAGCTAGAGTAGAATAGAACCAGATGCCACTAACCTTCTTCATCAAACTTTCCTTTTCTTTCATGACTGTCCCCATCTGTTCTGACATCTGACCAAGCTCCACTTCTAGGTTTGATGTCTGGCGCCTCAGCTCCTCATTGTCTGTCCTGAGAGCCATCATCTCCACTCTAACCTGGGGGTCCAGGCTTGTGGAGGGGCTGTTGGATAAGGAGCTAGGGCGGACAGCTCGAGGAGGAAGTTTTGGAGGAGTCTCTGTGTCTCTGTCTTCTTTGGTCAAACCTTCATCCTGCAAATACACATGATATATAGTATTTAGAAAAAAAAAAGTTAAATAGAGCTAATTGTTTCCTGACATCATCATGTAAAGGAATGTTATGATCAGCCCTAGGCCCAATCTATACTCCCCCTGACTGAAGTCAGGTACCCTTTAGAGCTGGGTGACACTCAAGGTTTTAGATTTTAAATGGTTCAAAAGAAAATTGAGTTAATCCTTTATTTTTAAAAACAAACATGTAGACAACACATATGCAAACATGTCCACAACTCATATAGAAATAGCTCAGCACACCCACCAGAGGTACTGTCCCCATCAATATTTTTATTTTCCTCTTTTTAATACTTTGTTCTAAATGAAGTTAACACAACGTAGGCTATGACTTCAAACATTTGTGATAACAATCAATCTGTAGATTGCAATCTCTAAAACACAGTTATATGCCCTTCTTAGTCCGTGGTCAACACTCAGGCATATAAAAAAAAATCTCTCAATTGTGGAAACCAGTTTACAACTGACAGTCCCAGATGATCAGATTAATTTTGATTAAACTCTGACCTTTTTGTCTTCTGATTCCTCCACGGTGAAACTGGTTCCCATCAGAGCATCACTTCCATGGCTAGACTCCATTGGTTTCTTGGCCAGGGCGGTTTCAAAGTCTGACACCACTTGACTAAACTCTCGACTGATTTCAATGTTCTCATCTAGACAAAATATTCAAATATATATATATATATATATATATATACATATATATACACATATAATTATATGTGTATATATATATATGTTTATGTATAGGCCCTATATGTTATATATATATATATATATATATATATATATATATATATATATATATATATATATATATATATATATATATATATATATATATATATATATATATATATATATATATATATATATATATATATATATATAATATATATATATAATATATATAATGAAAGTGAATGGAGGGTTTACTAAATCCCCCCCCCCCCCCCCCCCAGCCCACACATCCCTGATTATCAACACTGAAATGATCTAAACTTTTGCAGCAAGTATCAACCAGCCCAGGAATTTGTATAAAATTGGTCTCAAGCCAAGCCCGAAGTTATTTGAACATGTAAAACTCAGCATGCTAGATACAGAGCAGCCTTCTACATGTTCAATACGCCAACAGGGAGTAGCTGTATTACCTAATCAGAGTCTAGACTGCAAGCCTAGCTCTTGTTTATTTATATAATTTTTTAAACAAGTCCACATAAAAAACGGGAAGCATGGCAAGCTAATATAACAGAGTTAAATGAGTTAACTCTGTTGGGCAGCTCTCTTCATGTGTGCCCTTATAAGCCCTGGCTTCTCCTTGCACTGAGCTATTAACTGATTTAGGTGGTACAAATGACTGGGATCAACTGGTAAGACAGTGACTGTTTTGGTCAAACAGTAAGTATGTTATGGATGGTATCAGAGTAGTGTAAGGGTATGAAAGTTTGTGTGTTGTCAAAGGTTTTGCATAAATAAAAGATGGTGAGTTTATGACACAGTAAGCAATAATGTGAGGTTTCAGTGTAGTATCATTCTTGCTGGGTAGAAGGTTAGGGGAGTCTTCATCTTGTACTAGGGAGAGGATGTGTTTGTGTCAATGTCATATGTCCATATAGATTCTAGTCCTATATCTGTTATGAATGTGAAACAAAAAGAACTACTCTCAGTCATCTGTGTCAAGTCATTATTGTCTGTGTAGGTAGGAAATAGAACTGGTAGTGTAACCCATATAAGCTAGGAAGAAATAGAACTGGTAGTGTAACCCATATAAGCTAGGAAGAAATAGAACTGGTAGTGTAACCCATATAAGCTAGGAAGAAATAGAACTGGTAGTGTAACCCATATTAGCTAGGTAGGAAATAGAACTGGTAGTGTAACCCATATAAGCTAGGAAGAAATAGAACTGGTAGTGTAACCCATATAAGCTAAATAGGAAATAGAACTGGTAGTGTAACCCATATAAGCTAGGTAGGAAATAGAACTGGTAGTGTAACCCATATAAGCTAAATAGGAAATAGAACTGGTAGTGTAACCCATATAAGCTAGGTAGGAAATAGAACTGGTAGTGTAACCCATATAAGCTAGGTAGGAAATAGAACTGGTAGTGTAACCCATATAAGCTAAATAGGAAATAGAACTGGTAGTGTAACCCATATAAGCTAAATAGGAAATAGAACTGGTAGTGTAACCCATATTAGCTAAATAGGAAATAGAACTGGTAGTGTAACCCATATAAGCTAGGTAGGAAATAGAACTGGTAGTGTAACCCATATTAGCTAGGTAGGAAATAGAACTGGTAGTGTAACCCATATTAGCTAAATAGGAAATAGAACTGGTAGTGTAACCCATATAAGCTAGGTAGGAAATAGAACTGGTAGTGTAACCCATATAAGCTAGGTAGGAAATAGAACTGGTAGTGTAACCCATATAAGCTAGGTAGGAAATAGAACTGGTAGTGTAACCCATATTAGCTAGGTAGGAAATAGAACTGGTAGTGTAACCCATATAAGCTAGGTAGGAAATAGAACTGGTAGTGTAACCCATATAAGTTAGGTAGGGGAACCTAAGGTAAAACTCTATGGCAAAACTGCAGAACATTTTCCCCAGTTCTAACAAAGTCAATGTCTGCTTTGATCAAGCTTTAAACCTGTGACTGTGAGAGGCATAAAGTACTCACCCCTAAGACTCTCCCCATCATTGCTGTGTGTACTCTGTGCCTGGTCAGACTCTTCATATTCATCCTCTTCTCTGAAACATAGTTTTCTAGTCAAATATGCACAAGTTCATGTCTAATGAACATCATTAGGTGCAAACCAATAAATACTTTGAGAAAAGAAACTTAAAAACAGGTGCCAAAAATGTTACTGGACGGCAGGTGGAGAACAGCCGCTGAGAGGGAGTGGGGGGGGGGGGGGGGGGATTAAGGTAATTAGTACCATAGACATGTAAATGAATGTTTTCAACATATTTAATGTGTCTGCACTTTCAAAGGTTTAAAATTCAAACCAGCAGGGGTTTAAAATTCCAACTAGCAGCAGGAGAAGTAGAGCTCTAGACTTACCTGATGACATTGATGCCTCTCTAGCAGGTGTAAGAAGTAGAGCTCTAGACTTACCTGATAACATTGATCTGATGCCTCTCTAGCAGGTGTAAGAAGTAGAGCTCTAGGCTTACCTGATAACATTGATATGATGCCTCTCTAGCAGGTGTAAGAAGTAGAGCTCTAGACTTACCTGATGACATTGATGCCTCTCTAGCTGGTGTAAGAAGTAGAGCTCTAGACTTACCTGATGACATTGATCTGATGCCTCTCTAGCAGGTGTAAGAAGTAGAGCTCTAGACTTACCTGATAACATTGATGCCTCTCTAGCAGGTGTAAGAAGTAAAGCTCTAGACTTACCTGATAACATTGATCTGATGCCTCTCTAGCAGGTATAAGAAGTAGAGCTCTAGACTTACCTGATAACATTGATGCCTCTCTAGCAGGTGTAAGAAGTAGAGCTCTAGACTTACCTGATGACATTGATGCCTCTCTAGCAGGTGTAAGAAGTAGAGCTCTAGACTTACCTGATGACATTGATCTGATGCCTCTCTAGCTGGTGTAAGAAGTAGAGCTCTAGACTTACCTGATGACATTGATGCCTCTCTAGCAGGTGTAAGAAGTAGAGCTCTAGACTTACCTGATGACATTGATCTGATGCCTCTCTAGCAGGTGTAAGAAGTAGAGCTCTAGACTTACCTGATGACATTGATGCCTCTCTAGCAGGTGTAAGAAGTAGGGCTCTAGACTTACCTGATGACATTGATGCCTCTCTAGCAGGTGTAAGAAGTAGAGCTCTAGACTTACCTGATGACATTGATGCCTCTCTAGCAGGTATAAGAAGTAGAGCTCTAGACTTACCTGATGACATTGATGCCTCTCTAGCAGGTGTAAGAAGTAGAGCTCTAGACTTACCTGATGACATTGATCTGATGCCTCTCTAGCAGGTGTAAGAAGTAGAGCTCTAGACTTACCTGATAACATTGATCTGATGCCTCTCTAGCAGGTGTAAGAAGTAGAGCTCTAGACTTACCTGATAACATTGATGCCTCTCTAGCAGGTGTAAGAAGTAGAGCTCTAGACTTACCTGATGACATTGATCTGATGCCTCTCTAGCAGGTGTAAGAAGTAGAGCTCTAGACTTACCAGATGACATTGATGCCTCTCTAGCAGGTGTAAGAAGTAGAGCTCTAGACTTACCTGATGACATTGATGCCTCTCTAGCAGGTATAAGAAGTAGAGCTCTAGACTTACCTGATGACATTGATGCCTCTCTAGCAGGTGTAAGAAGTAGGGCTCTAGACTTACCTGATGACATTGATGCCTCTCTAGCAGGTGTAAGAAGTAGGGCTCTAGACTTACCTGATGACATTGATCTGATGCCTCTCTAGCAGGTGTAAGAAGTAGAGCTCTAGACTTACCTGATGACATTGATGCCTCTCTAGCTGGTGTAAGAAGTAGAGCTCTAGACTTACCTGATGACATTGATGCCTCTCTAGCAGGTGTAAGAAGTAGGGCTCTAGACTTACCTGATGACATTGATGCCTCTCTAGCAGGTGTAAGAAGTAGAGCTCTAGACTTACCTGATGACATTGATGCCTCTCTAGCAGGTGTAAGAAGTAGAGCTCTAGACTTACCTGATGACATTGATCTGATGCCTCTCTAGCAGGTATAAGAAGTAGAGCTCTAGACTTACCTGATGACATTGATGCCTCTCTAGCAGGTGTAAGAAGTAGAGCTCTAGACTTACCTGATGACATTGATGCCTCTCTAGCAGGTATAAGAAGTAGAGCTCTAGACTTACCTGATGACATTGATCTGATGCCTCTCTAGCAGGTGTAAGAAGTAGGGCTCTAGACTTACCTGATGACATTGATGCCTCTCTAGCAGGTGTAAGAAGTAGAGCTCTAGACTTACCTGATGACATTGATGCCTCTCTAGCAGGTGTAAGAAGTAGAGCTCTAGACTTACCTGATGACATTGATCTGATGCCTCTCTAGCTGGTATAAGAAGTAGAGCTCTAGACTTACCTGATGACATTTATGCCTCTCTAGCAGGTGTAAGAAGTAGAGCTCTAGACTTACCTGATGACATTGATGCCTCTCTAGCTGGTGTAAGAAGTAGAGCTCTAGACTTACCTGATGACATTGATGCCTCTCTAGCAGGTGTAAGAAGTAGAGCTCTAGACTTACCTGATAACATTGATCTGATGCCTCTCTAGCAGGTGTAAGAAGTAGAGCTCTAGACTTACCTGATGACATTGATGCCTCTCTAGCAGGTGTAAGAAGTAGAGCTCTAGACTTACCTGATGACATTGATGCCTCTCTAGCAGGTGTAAGAAGTAGAGCTCTAGACTTACCTGATAACATTGATCTGATGCCTCTCTAGCTGGTGTAAGAAGTAGAGCTCTAGACTTACCTGATGACATTGATGCCTCTCTAGCAGGTGTAAGAAGTAGAGCTCTAGACTTACCTGATGACATTGATCTGATGCCTCTCTAGCTGGTGTAAGAAGTAGAGCTCTAGACTTACCTGATGACATTGATGCCTCTCTAGCAGGTGTAAGAAGTAGAGCTCTAGACTTACCTGATGACATTGATCTGATGCCTCTCTAGCTGGTATAAGAAGTAGAGCTCTAGACTTACCTGATGACATTTATGCCTCTCTAGCAGGTGTAAGAAGTAGAGCTCTATACTTACCTGATGACATTGATGCCTCTTTAGCTGGTGTAAGAAGTAGAGCTCTAGACTTACCTGATGACATTGATGCCTCTCTAGCAGGTGTAAGAAGTAGAGCTCTAGACTTACCTGATAACATTGATCTGATGCCTCTCTAGCAGGTGTAAGAAGTAGAGCTCTAGACTTACCTGATAACATTGATGCCTCTCTAGCAGGTGTAAGAAGTAGGGCTCTAGACTTACCTGATGATGTTGATCTGATGCCTCTCTAGCAGGTGTAAGAAGTAGAGCTCTAGACTTACCTGATAACATTGATGCCTCTCTAGCTGGTGTAAGAAGTAGAGCTCTAGACTTACCTGATGACATTGATGCCTCTCTAGCAGGTGTAAGAAGTAGAGCTCTAGACTTACCTGATGACATTGATCTGATGCCTCTCTAGCAGGTGTAAGAAGTAGAGCTCTAGACTTACCTGATGACATTGATCTGATGCCTCTCTAGCAGGTGTAAGAAGTAGAGCTCTAGACTTACCTGATGACATTGATGCCTCTCTAGCAGGTGTAAGAAGTAGAGCTCTAGACTTACCTGATGACATTGATGCCTCTCTAGCAGGTGTAAGAAGTAGGGCTCTAGACTTACCTGATGACATTGATGCCTCTCTAGCTGGTGTAAGAAGTAGAGCTCTAGACTTACCTGATGACATTTATGCCTCTCTAGCAGGTGTAAGAAGTAGAGCTCTAGACTTACCAGATGACATTGATGCCTCTCTAGCAGGTGTAAGAAGTAGGGCTCTAGACTTACCTGATGACATTGATGCCTCTCTAGCAGGTATAAGAAGTAGGGCTCTAGACTTACCTGATGACATTGATGCCTCTCTAGCAGGTGTAAGAAGTAGAGCTCTAGACTTACCTGATGACATTGATGCCTCTCTAGCAGGTGTAAGAAGTAGAGCTCTAGGCTTACCTGATGACATTGATGCCTCTCTAGCAGGTGTAAGAAGTAGAGCTCTAGACTTACCTGATGACATTGATGCCTCTCTAGCAGGTGTAAGAAGTAGAGCTCTAGACTTACCTGATGACATTGATGCCTCTCTAGCAGGTGTAAGAAGTAGAGCTCTAGACTTACCTGATGACATTGATGCCTCTCTAGCAGGTGTAAGAAGTAGGGCTCTAGACTTACCTGATGACATTGATGCCTCTCTAGCTGGTGTAAGAAGTAGAGCTCTAGACTTACCTGATGACATTTATGCCTCTCTAGCAGGTGTAAGAAGTAGAGCTCTAGACTTACCAGATGACATTGATGCCTCTCTAGCAGGTGTAAGAAGTAGGGCTCTAGACTTACCTGATGACATTGATGCCTCTCTAGCAGGTATAAGAAGTAGAGCTCTAGACTTACCTGATGACATTGATCTGATGCCTCTCTAGCAGGTGTAAGAAGTAGAGCTCTAGACTTACCTGATGACATTGATGCCTCTCTAGCAGGTGTAAGAAGTAGAGCTCTAGACTTACCTGATGACATTGATCTGATGCCTCTCTAGCTGGTATAAGAAGTAGAGCTCTAGACTTACCTGATGACATTGATGCCTCTCTAGCAGGTGTAAGAAGTAGGGCTCTAGACTTACCTGATGACATTGATGCCTCTCTAGCAGGTATAAGAAGTAGAGCTCTAGACTTACCTGATGACATTGATCTGATGCCTCTCTAGCTTCTTCCTTAGTTCTGCTATGACACTGTGCAGCTCAATGATTCTCTCTTCATATCTGGCAGTCAGCTCCTCCAGCCTCTCCTCAAAATCTGTTGCACCAAGCTTGGCATCATTGGGGATCTGAAGAGACCACTTTCTATGTTAGTCATCAGGTCAACAAGTCTCTTCTTTGTTCACTACTCGCACACCTAGGCTGTGTAGACTGTACTTCTACATATGCTATCTATTTACAGTCCAGTAAAAATATACAAGCTGTGACTGTTCTCATGACCACAAAAAGAGAATACAACTGAAAATCTAGTGCTTCAGTAGCTACAGCTGGTATAGTTTGGATGGCTAGTTGTGATAGCTGAGTTTAGCACTGACAACAGAGATAAACAGGGATGCCAAGATTTAGCTGGATTACATTGAGATGGTAGGATTTAGCTTAGATTGAAGAGTTAAGATTACGTGGTTAGATTTAGCTTAATTAAACCACAATCAACCATTAAATGACCTAATAAAGCAACAATTGACTAGGCAAAGTTTAAAGATTCACCAATGATCTAATCTATATCTACTGACAAAATGTGAATAACCCAAGTACTGACCAGTCTATGTGGCTGCTGCCCATCCAGCATGCTCCTGTCAGTAGCCAGTCTCAGAATGTGGTTCTTGAGCTCAAATATTTCACCTTTTAGAGATGTCAGTGCTGCGGCATGAAGCTAAAACAAATAGTTTTGGACATTTTATTTCTAGTTTAATACAATCATCTTCATGTTTAACACCACTGTGTTACTTTACCAAAACCCATGCAAAATTTAACATAGTTCTTTACCTAAAATTATTGTTTAACAGCAAATATGATTTTTGGCAAAATTAAATCCTGTATAACAAAAAAATCCATCACACTCATACTGAAGTCACACAGATAAGTCCATCAAACAAATCCCTACTGAAGTCACACAGATAAGTTCATCAAACAAATCCCTACTGAAGTCACACAGATAAGTCCACCAAACAAATCCCTACTGAAGTCACACAGATAAGTCCACCAAACAAATCCATACTGAAGTCACACAGATAAGTTAACCACTGTGTTACTTTACCAAAACCCATGCAAAATTTAACATAGTTCTTTAACTAAAATTATTGTTTAACAGCAATTATGATTTCTTGCAAAAATTAAATCCTGTATAACAAAAAAATCCATCACACTCATACTGAAGTCACACAGATAAGTCCATCAAACAAATCCCTACTGAAGTCAAACAGATGTCCATCAAACAAATCCCTAAAATCAGACAGATAAGTCCATCAAACAAATCCCTACTGAAGTTACACAGATAAGTCCATCAAACAAATCCCTAAAATCAGACAGATAAGTCCACCAAACAAATCCATACTGAAGTCACACAGATAAGTCCATCAAACAAATCCCTACTGAAGTCAAACAGATAAGTCTATCAAACAAATCCCTACTGAAGTCACACAGATAAGTTCACCAAACAAATCCCTACTGAAGTCAAACAGATAAGTCTATCAAACAAATCCCTACTGAAGTCACACAGATAAGTTCACCAAACAAATCCCTACTGAAGTCACACAGATAAGTTCACCAAACAAATTCCAACTGAAGTCACACAGATAAGTCCATCAAACAAATCCCTACTGAAGTCACACAGATAAGTTCATCAAACAAATCCCTACTGAAGTCACAGATAAGTTCACCAAACAAATCCCTACTGAAGTCACAGAGATAAGTCCATCAAACAAATCCCTACTGAAGTCACACAGATAAGTTCATCAAACAAATCCCTACTGAAGTCACACAGATAAGTTCACCAAACAAATCCCTACTGAAGTCACACAGATAAGTTCACCAAACAAATTCCAACTGAAGTCACACAGATAAGTCCATCAAACAAATCCCTACTGAAGTCACACAGATAAGTTCACCAAACAAATTCCAACTGAAGTCACACAGATAAGTCCATCAAACAAATCCCTACTGAAGTCACACAGATAAGTCCATCAAACAAATCCCTACTGAAGTCACACAGATAAGTTCATCAAACAAATCCCTACTGAAGTCACACAGATAAGTTCATCAAACAAATCCCTACTGAAGTCACACAGATAAGTTCATCAAACAAATCCCTACTGAAGTCACACAGATAAGTTCATCAAACAAATCCCTTCTGAAGTCACACAGATAAGTTCATCAAACAAATCCCTACTGAAGTCACAGATAAGTTCACCAAACAAATCCCTACTGAAGTCACAGAGATAAGTCCATCAAACAAATCCCTACTGAAGTCACACAGATAAGTTCATCAAACAAATCCCTACTGAAGTCACACAGATAAGTTCATCAAACAAATCCCTACTGAAGTCACACAGATAAGTTCATCAAACAAATCCCTACTGAAGTCACACAGATAAGTTCACCAAACAAATCCCTACTGAAGTCACAGAGATAAGTTCATCAAACAAATCCCTACTGAAGTCACACAGATAAGTTCGTCAAACAAATCCCTAAAATCAAACAGATAAGTCCATCAAACAAATCCCTACTGAAGTCACACAGATAAGTCCATCAAACAAATCCCTACTGAAGTCACACAGATAAGTTCATCAAACAAATCCGTACACAAAGAAATCTTGCCGAGACGAGCTCATATTGGAGCACTCCTTAGACTAGATTTCCCCAGTGAGGGGAGAGCAGAACATGTGCTAAGTGTTTGTTGGAGTTGTAGCCTGATGGTGGACAGCTGGGACACCTGTAGCCTGGCTGGCTATGTCTTGTCTCAAACACAGCACAAGTAAACCTGTGTAGCAACTGCTCGCGTCAATAGTCGGGATGCTCGATGAAAACAGTTGAAAATGTAAACAACTGTTTTAAACTACACCTCGCTAGCCTAACAAGCAAAACAACTCACAGCCAAGACGCGGCAGTTTGTGAAAGATGGTCTGCTGGCCTGGCAAGGGGCACAACTCCAGATATCTACAGAAGGGCTTGTGTCCACGTGAGCAGAGGCCAGGAGGTGGGGAGGAAGTTGGTGAGTTTACTCGCCTCGTTAAGTTAAAAGTGGGAGAAACTTTGGGCAGGGATGGGGGCTGGCGGGTGGGGGGGGGGGGCTTGACGTTACATGGTGAGAAAAAGGTAAGTTTATTTCTACAGTAGCACATATCCAATAATGTCGAGGGAAATCGTTGAAGTTATTTTAGTATTGAGATTTGTTCTTCCGTCGGTAGCGCTGTCTGATTTTGGACAGGTCTAGAGTTATATGTATACAGGAACCAAAACTTCTATACCACAAGATGAATTATACTGGATTTGGACAATAGGTGAATAGGTGAGAAGAGTAGCAATATTCAAGTTATGTAGAATGACAGCAATCAGAGTAGCAACATTCAAGTTGTGTAGAATGACAGCAATCAGAGTAGCAACATTCAAGTTGTGTAGAATGACAGCAATCAGAGTAGCAACATTCAAGTTGTGTAGAATGACAGCAATCAGAGTAGCAACATTCAAGTTGTGTAGAATGACAGCAATCAGAGTAGCAACATTCAAGTTGGGTAGAATGACAGCAATCAGAGTAGCAACATTCAAGTTGTGTAGAATGACAGCAATCAGAGTAGCAACATTCAAGTTGGGTAGAATGACAGCAGAGTAGCAACATTCAAGTTGTGTAGAATGACAGCAATCAGAGTAGCAACATTCAAGTTGTGTAGAATGACAGCAATCAGAGTAGCAACATTCAAGTTGGGTAGAATGACAGAAATCAGAGTAGCAACATTCAAGTTGTGTAGAATGACAGCAATCAGAGTAGCAACATTCAAGTTGTGTAGAATGACAGCAATCAGAGTAGCAACATTCAAGTTGTGTAGAATGACAGCAATCAGAGTAGCAACATTCAAGTTGTGTAGAATGACAGCAATCAGAGTAGCAACATTCAAGTTGTGTAGAATGACAGCAATCAGAGTAGCAACATTCAAGTTGGGTAGAATGACAGCAGAGTAGCAACATTCAAGTTGTGTAGAATGACAGCAATCAGAGTAGCAACATTCAAGTTGGGTAGAATGACAGCAATCAGAGTAGCAACATTCAAGTTGTGTAGAATGACAGCAATCAGAGTAGCAACATTCAAGTTGGGTAGAATGACAGCAGAGTAGCAACATTCAAGTTGTGTAGAATGACAGCAATCAGAGTAGCAACATTCAAGTTGTGTAGAATGACAGCAATCAGAGTAGCAACATTCAAGTTGGGTAGAATGACAGCAATCAGAGTAGCAACATTCAAGTTGTGTAGAATGACAGCAATCAGAGTAGCAACATTCAAGTTGGGTAGAATGACAGCAGAGTAGCAACATTCAAGTTGTGTAGAATGGCAGCAATCAGAGTAGCAACATTCAAGTTGGGTAGAATGACAGCAATCAGAGTAGCAACATTCAAGTTGGGTAGAATGACAGCAGAGTAGCAACATTCAAGTTGTGTAGAATGACAGCAATCACGAGACTGATGACGATCTAGGAGATAGAGGGATCAAACGTTTCACTGTAACTAGGTGTAACCGTTTAGCCACGGAGCTCTCAGTGAAGCAGAAACACGATTTGTTTCACTATCGCTTGTAACGGGTCGACAGTAGAGCGTTTTAGCGGTGTCCCGGGAGCTGCAGGGGGTCTGGTGAATTCTGTCAATGGGTGCACTGTCGTAGGGGCACTGTGTCAATGGGTGCACTGTCGTAGGGGCACTGTGTCAATGGGTGCACTGTCGTAGGGGCACTGTGTCAATGGGTGCACTGTCGTAGGGGCACTGTGTCAATGGGTGCACTGTCGTAGGGGCACTGTGTCAATGGGTGCACTGTCGTAGGGGCACTGTGTCAATGGGTGCACTGTCGTAGGGGCACTGTGTCAATGGGTGCACTGTCGTAGGGGCACTGTGTCAATGGGTGCACTGTCGTAGGGGCACTGTGTCAATGGGTGCACTGTCGTAGGGGCACTGTGTCAATGGGTGCACTGTCGTAGGGGCACTGTGTCAATGGGTGCACTGTCGTAGGGGCGTGGAACGTCGTAGGGGCACTGTGTCAATGGGTGCACTGTCGTAGGGGCACTGTGTCAATGGGTGCACTGTCGTAGGGGCACTGTGTCAATGTGTGCACTGTCGTAGGGGCGTGGAACGTCGTAGGGGCACTGTGTCAATGGGTGCACTGTCGTAGGGGCACTGTGTCAATGGGTGCACTGTCGTAGGGGCACTGTGTCAATGTGTGCACTGTCGTAGGGGCGTGGAACGTCGTAGGGGCACTGTGTCAATGGGTGCACTGTCGTAGGGGCGTGGAACGTCGTAGGGGCACTGTGTCAATGGGTGCACTGTCGTAGGGGCACTGTGTCAATGGGTGCACTGTCGTAGGGGCACTGTGTCAATGGGTGCACTGTCGTAGGGGCGTGGAACGTCGTAGGGGCACTGTGTCAATGGGTGCACTGTCGTAGGGGCACTGTGTCAATGGGTGCACTGTCGTAGGGGCACTGTGTCAATGGGTGCACTGTCGTAGGGGCGTGGAACGTCGTAGGGGCACTGTGTCAATGGGTGCACTGTCGTAGGGGCGTGGAACGTCGTAGGGGCACTGAGTCAATGGGTGCACTGTCGTAGGGGCACTGTGTCAATGGGTGCACTGTCGTAGGGGCGTGGAACGTCGTAGTAGTCAAGCTTGGAGCAGGAGAAC